GGAAGTAGTGTTTGGCATATAAGATCTAGAGCATAAGACAGTACCTATTACTTGGTGGTGTTTGATTGTGAGAATAGGTGGGGCTCTGCCCCATGGGGTTTGGATAAATCTTTTGGCAGAAGAGGGAATGAAAGGTTTCCTGTCAAAGTCAGACCTTCCAACCTCTTATGTCTTTTTTAAGTAGAGGAGAAATGGATGAGGATGTAGTTATGATACAGCACCGTTTTTAAATCTGTTTTCTTGGGAGCATTGTAAAATCTCATAAACATTATTAAAATCCATAAATGTGTAGCAGCTGTGAACACCTTGATTTGATTTCATTGGAGCCCAATTCTCTTTAAGAACTTTTAGACATCCCTTCTCCCCCGACTAGAAGTTACCCTACAGTGCTACTGTCCTTCTACAAGGGCCTGGGAATGCAGTCTTCTTCACTCTCCATTCAGAAATTGTCCTCACAGTGGTTGCTTTGGCAATGTGGGATTTTTTGCTCTTCTATTGCTGTGATTCTAGCCCTCTGTTGAATTAAAATCCAGGGTTTGACTGCTCCGCAAGTAGTAAATGCCCTAGTAACTCAGGGACAGCTATTTCTGAATTTATACGTGCCACGGTATTGTATTTACCTTGGGATAACCGTGTGGTTCTTTGTGCTAGATCAAGGACTACTGGAGAGCTAAGAGTGACTGCCTTTCTCCTGAAGGTCTTTCCCCTTATGGTGCCCTGACCATGTTCTACACATGAAACAGAAGCCTAAATGTTATGGCTTACTTTCCTATCAGAGATGTCATCTGTGCCTTTCCTAGTGTTCATCTGACAATGTGGATTTAAATGCCTCTACATTTGATTTAAAACTCACACTCAGGTGGCTTTTGTCCCACTAATGCATCATCATTAGTCTGAGGCAATTCTGTTTTAGAGAAAGTCCCATCATTATACCCCAAACCCCTGCCACCTATGTCAGCCATCAGCTACACCTATAAAGTCCTTTAGATTATAGAACTGTTGGCTGTCACCTAATTTATTCAAAGTTCTTGTAGAGGCTTGCGAATTTCACTCTGTGTTTGTAATGGGATGATATTGGTGGCTTTATGGCCTTATGTGTTTAAAATCCACACAGTGATTTCTTTGTCAATAGAAGGTAATGCTCAAACATTTGGGTTTTTTTTTTTATTAGTTTTGTGATACCTGGGTGTCATAGTATCATTTAATGGCCTTTGTTCCCAGTTGTGAAGTTTTATTTATATGCTCATTCACTCTCTACAAACCTGCCCACCTTGGGTCTTGGTGCCTGTGTATCTTTGTCTGGTCTCTAGTTGGTGGAATTACCTTCTTTTTGTACTGCCACTTCTCAACATTTTTGAAGTTTGACATAATGTTTTGCTTCATTCCAGTTTTTTTTTTTTTTTTAGTTCTGTAATTTGTTGACTGTATTTAACTATGTGAGTTTTGTTGTGATGTTTACTGTATTGTAAAGCACCTTAATCATGTGATGGGTGCTCTATAAATCAATAAATGATGACTTAGAGGCTGTATTATGAGCTATTTTGGTTTTAGGTGCAGGTCTCAAGCAAGTTATGGGATGCTTTCTATATAAACAGCATATCATACCAAATGATACACACAGAAACCTTGATGGATTTCACAAGCTTTATTTAAAGAAGAAATTTGAAAGCAGGAGTTAACTTCCAGTCTGGTAAAATGCTCTTTAAATTTCCAATATATGGCCAAACATTATTTCATCAGAGTTTCTGTTCATGGTGACTTAGAAGCTTAAAGTGAACATATGGCAGAACATTATTTGGGATCTGTCTTGTTTAAACTAGACTGGCTCTACCTTAGAGATCAGCTAATCTAGAGGAACCTAAACTGAAAAGTGAACTGGATGAGACCACCTGTCCTCTAAGCAGATTGTCATCCCTACTCGATGTGACTTAGTGGCAAAAGAGATAAGACTGAACACTTTTCTTTCTCTTAAAGATAACAGTATCTAGCTTCTTGTCTTGAGCCCTCAGTTTATATGCATTTAGTGTTAGAACTGATAACTGACTTGATGTATTTATTGATGATGATGCTCATAAGTTCCTAGTGGCTGTTTGGCCTCTTCTTTACAAACTGAAAAATGTGGAGCCAGATACCATAGAGCTGAATTAGAAACAAGAAGAAAATTCTAACCCTGATAAAAGTATTGGACTGAAATTGCTATAGAAGGGTTTAGATGTTGCACACCTGTGAACTCAATTTTACAGTTATTCATCACTAGGTAAAAAGAAAGTTCTATTTGCATGTTGCTTCAAATGCAAATGAACAGGTTCATTAGTATGATCTGTGTGCTAGGCACTAGGCTTCCAAGGAATTTTTTCTCCCTTGCCCTCAAGAAGATACAGGAGTAACTACCTTACCCAATTTACATTTTCTGGAAGCCTGTAGAACTCAACAGAATTTAGTTTGCAGAGAAAATTACTTTCTGCCTATGGTATTTTTGGGTGTTTGATTTCAGGTGTGCAGTCTGGCTGCCAAGGTAGGATTAGACTTTTTGGCTTGATGAATTAGTACCTCTACACTGACCTTTAGTGATATGATCACAGACTTTTGAATCCTGTTCACATATGAATCAAACAGCTTTCAACAGCCAGGCACATGTTGCACAGAAAGTCCTAGGCAAGAAAAATGACTCTTTCTGAAGTAGTATATAATAAAAATAATTGTAGGGCTGAGGGTGTTATCCAGTGTCAAAGGACTTGCTTAATGTCCAAAGCCCTGGGTTTAATTTCTAGCATCACAAACACACAGAGTTGGGGAGATGGCTCAGTTTGGTAAAGTGTTTACCATGCAAGCATTAGGACCAGAGTTCAGATCTCCAGCACAGCAGTCCCTAAAATTCCAGTGCCAGGGAGGTGGAGTCAGGAGGTCTCTCCTTGGTCTGTCAGTCCAGTCAAATAAGTCAGTGAAAGACTTAAAACATGTGAGCTGAGTGTGTTGAGGTACACCTTTAATCCCAGTATTCTGGAGGCAAAGGCCTCCAGTTTGAGGCTAGCCTGGTCTACAGTGAGAGTTCAAGGACATTCAGGGATACATAGACCCTCTCTCAACAAATAAGGTGAAGAGCAAATGAATAAAGTACCTTGAGCTCTGGTCTTCGCAAACAGATGCTACACCTTCACACAAATCCTATAAAAGAAATACAACATTTGAATGCTCACAATACCTCATTCCTAACAACACTAGAAACCATGTTTCTGTTAATCAGGCTACTCCTTGATAGCAGATTTTGTTATTTGTGCATCTTGAAGGATCTGGTCAAATTCTTAAAAGGATCATTCAAGGTAATAGTATCTTAAGAAACTAATTTGAGCCAGATGTGGATACCTCTGATTCTAGCACTTGGGAAGGCAGGAGGGTCAGGAGCTCTTGGCCAGTCTGGACTACATGAGAACTTTTGTCAGAAAAAGTGAAAAATGAAACAGACTCAGGTTAATTTACAAGGGTTGCAGAGTAAGGCAAAGAGAACATATGCTGTAAAGAGATGTCCACTATGACGGCACTTTGCAACCACTTAAGTCATTTTAGTGTTAGGATCTTGAGGTTTTTTTAGGGGACTCCATGTAGAGGAAGGAGTCTGTTTATGCTTGAGGCTGGCTCACCTAGCCACCTGAAGGTCTGACAAGCTCAATATTTGGTACACCTATGAACTATCCTCAACAGACAGAAGCTTTGAGCTCTGGCAGTTCTATTGAAATTGACAAATACTGCACTGTGTTGTTCTTTACCCACATGCCGCTTACGCAGTGCCACTACCCAAACATTCCTCTGCCCATGTTCTCTTCACTCCTGTAGTCTCCTGTTACACCTGGAACATAGTTTTTAGCACATAATTTTTTTAAATGTATTTCAGTGCCCTTCCATCTTCGATTTTCTAGGTGTTTATCAGTCAGGGTTGCCCCCCTTTCAAAATTTTAACCCTCGGCCCTACGTTTTTGTGATTTAAATTCCAAATTCCTTCATCACTCCATTTCACTACCCATCCCAAAATGCTTCAGTTGTGGCAGATCTTCCTAAAATCTGGCTGTCCTCTATAGCACACTTGCTTAACTGTTGGTGCATTATTTTTATTCTCCTGAATTAAACTTTTTCGTTGAACCGAAGGCCTCATGTGTTCTACTTACACATGCTAGTTCAGCAAGCCAAGAAAAAAAATTTTAAACTGGGTGTAGTGGTGCTCGCCTTTAATCCCAGCCCTGGAGGTAGAGGCAGGTGGATGTTTATTAGTTCAAGGCCAGCCTGGTCTACATAGTGAGTTCCAGGACAAAGTTATGTGAAGAGACCCTGTCTTAATTCGCCACCCCACCACACCGCCAAAAAAAAAGTTGAGAGGATGTTATCTAGGTATATTTCCCCTCTATTTTGCTATTATCAAATCATATAATCATTCTCACATTCACCAAAAGTTTTACAATCTTCCTTCCCTGTGTTTAATCTCCCAGTATCTAATTACCCTTGCTTCTCATTTCTACTCCATGGCCCTGTCCTGGGCGTTTTTTAATAAGCTCCTAATGTTATTTGGCTTTGCCACTTTGACCTCAGGGATCTCACAGTTTTCCTCGCACGACGTTGGCCTTTAATAATTATAGAGCCTTACAGTTACCGCAACCCCTACTCCAGTAGCCAGTGCGTGTCATGATTGATGACCTGAGTTGTAGTCTGGTTTTGGCCATAAAATTCCCAAAGCCCAGGACCAATGCTGTCATTCAAGATTTCTGACAGCATCTCATGGTTACAAAGTAACCATGCATCAGAGTAGTTCACGTTCGCTGTTCCCTGACGACCGCCTGGAATATGGGAGATCAGTCAGTGCCTGGCAATACCCCCAAATGTCTAGTGTGTAGAGGCGGGGGAGCTCGGTTTCCCCGGGGGTATAGCTTCCCGCTCCACTTTCATTCACCTCTTGTGTGCTCAGGCTCCTCCCTTTGCCGCGCCTCCACCCAGGTCTCGCGAGACTTGTTGACTCCGTTCCGCAGGCACATCTCGCGAGGCTGCAGGCAGGGCAGGGCCCGACATGGCGGAAGGTAGGATTTTTTGTGGACCGGCGCGGGAAGGCACAGAGGTGTGAGGGCACCGTTGGCCTGGCACAGAAGCCCCGAGAGGGGTTGGTCGGGTGTGGTTGCACGGGGCACCGCGTGTCTCGCGAGCCTTCCTGTCTAGCGTCTCGGGGCTTCCCGGGCCGGGGGTTCCTCTGCGCCGTTCCTATGGTAACGCCCCTCCCGCGGTCTGGCCCCTCGGGTCCTAGGTGGGCTGAGAACGCCAGGGGTGGTGATCAGGTGCTAGGAGCAGCCGCAGCAGCGAAGCTCGGCACGGCTGTCCAGGAGGCTCCTTGTAGTGCCAGCGATGCTGGAACGGCGAGGGAAGTGTCCATCTCCTTAGGAAATCGAAACTGCTGTCATGGCAGGTCCTGCATCCGGAAGGGGTGCATCCCTTGCTTGCGGAAGAGCTTGAGACTCTTCCTTGCAGGAGGTCGGGAGGAATCGGGGCTGCAACTGGGCAACGGGTTTCTTGGGCCAGCGCTGTAGTCTCTGGGCTCTTTCACAGCCCCGGCATGCGGGCGCGCCGAGAGTCTCTTGAGGTTTGCAATGGGGGCAAGAGGAGGGGTTTGCTTAGTAAGGGAGTTGACCAAGGCCACACTGCTGGTGAGAGGTGTACTAAAGCCAGACCTGCGTTCCTTTACCTCTTGGTTCCTTACCCTCTTTTTTAGTGTACTCTCTACAACACAGCAGGTAAAGGTATCTGATTTCTCACGTTCAACTTCCCGTAATGTAGGATCTCTGCTTGTCAAAACTTTACAAGTGGGGAAGAAAGGCCAGAGATGGTGAGTTACCTGCCAGGGATCATAGAGTGATATTGGACCTGGCCTGTGTGTTTCTCGAGTGTACCCCATTGTTGGAGAAAAACACTTCTTGTTGGACATTATTGAGTGTTGAAGGGTGCTTGATCAAGACCTTCCCTGTTTTGGTTTGTTTGTTTGCTAAGCCTTGGCGGAACCCATCATTTCTTGTTCTGAGATTTGGGTAGCATGACAGTTTGTGTAGGTTTCTCTGATTTGGATTAGGTTTAAGAGTAGTAATACGAAGTAGGTCTGCTAGGTATGTTATTTGCCCTTAATAGCTAAGTGAATTGAGACTAGAGTTATGGCTGGGAACTGGATCCAGTTTTCCTTTTTCTACCACGTTAAACACCTTGGAGGTGGAACCTCAGGCGAATATTGTCCCAAAGAAGACGAGGAAGCAAAGGGACTTCTGAAAGGGCTGAGTGTGGTGGTACATGCTTGTAGTTCATTCAGAACTTGGAGGTTGGAGGCAGAAGGATCAGGAATTTAAGGTCATTCACAGCTGACCTGGGATATACAAAAGCCTATACAAAAAAGGAGCTAGATGATCTGTAAACCACAGAAATATTGTACACTGGAGGCAGCCAGTGAATTCTCAGCAGTGAGGTGTGGGAGGAAGGTTCAGGAAGACACTGTGAGATTGTGAGTAGTATAGTGCTTTTAGGAAGGGAATTTGAATGTTGAGGAAATACATTACCAAGTTTCAGGGTGTAGTTTTTCTTTTCTTTTTTCATTCAGTAGTTTTATTGAGCACTTACTGTGTTTGTGCTCCCGGTCCAATTGTGGGGAGTTCATATGGACTGAGATCAGTCACTGATAGTTTACTTGTGATTGCCTTGAGGTGATTAGAAACATCTATCTAGCCAGTGGACCGTACACCTTAACCACAGACAAGACATACAGGATTAAATTGGTTGGAGGGGTTAAGTGATGGGGGGATGATAGGTAGACACTCTTAGGCTCTGACCTCACAGTTTGCCCTATTTACATTCCAGTTTCCTAAGTTCCAGTTAAGGCTGTTTGAAAATGATGTTGTAAAGTTCAGGTAGGAAAATTTGAGGAAAGCATTCTGGGTCAGTTAGCTCATTAAATGGAAGGCATTTCCTATGCAAGGAAAAACAAAGTCATCTAAAGATATTTTGTGAGATGTTTCTTACGTTGCTTGTATTTTTGTTCTGTTTGTTTTTGCTGCTGCTTGAACTTTAATCGGATTGTCAGAACTGGCTGCTGTTCAGACTAATAGATTTTTGTGAGATGTCACAGTTCAGTTGTCAGCATACTCTGGAGACTTTCCTAGTAGTTGATCATTTGGTGGTGGTTTGTGTGTGGTTCATTAGTTCCCAGGAATAGTAAGCAGAATCTTGAGAAACCATATATACTTGCCATACAGTAACTTATCTGCTTATATAGAAAACTTCCTTTTTTTCTATGGCTGTTCACTTGACTAAATACAGATCCTTAACTCAGGTCCACTCTAAAAGCAATTTTTTTTCTTTTTAATTTTTTAATTTTTTTGAGACTAAAGTCCTGGTTAGCCTGGAACTTGCTGGGTAAATCAGGCTGGCTTAGAACTCACAGAGATCCGCCTGCTTGTGTCTCCTGAATTCTGGGATTAATGAGAGGGGTGTGATACCACACCCAGCCTCTAAAAGCGATTTCTCTTTCCATTTTGTACACCTTTGCAGCTGTTCTGATCTGTGTTTTCTTCAAACTCAAATGAGCTACTTTAAAGGTGTTCATGTGGTCTTCCAGTTGTTACTTTTTGTCTCCTTTAGTTTGCTCACCCACAGCCTCTTTTCAGTTTCTTACGTTCTCTTTAAAACAAATCTGATTTATGCCAGACATGGTGGCTCCCACACTTGGGATGCAGAAGCAGGAGAAACACAGTTCAAAGCTTTTCTTAGCTATATGGCAGTTTAAGGCCAGCCAGGGCTACATGAGACATTGTCTCAAAAAGAATATAAAAATCAGTGCCAGGGTAATGGCTCAGTGACTACAGGCTTGCCACCAAGCCCGACTACCTGAATTTGTTATCTGTGACCAATGCAGTGAAAGTGAGAAGTGACTCTCTTTACTTGTCACATTAGCCCCACTTCAAGTGCTAACAACCATATGACAGTCCCCCTCCAAATAAATGATTAAATGTAATAAAATTTTAGACACAAAATCAGATCTTAACTCTCCTTTCAAAAAATTTTATATTTTTAATTTATATGAATGGATGTTTTGCTTGCCTGTGTGTTTTGTACACTACATGCATGCCTGATGGGGGGAAGAGGCCAAAAGAGGGGATCAGATCCTCTGAACTGAACTTAAAATGGTTGTGAGCCTCTCTACAGGGTTTGGGAATTGAACCTAGGTCCTGGGAGAGCAACCTGTGCTCTTAATCACTGATCCATCTCTCCAGCCCTACCTTTCCTGTTCTTAACACCCTCCCCCTCCAACTCCTGTGGTATATTCCAAATAACCTTGAAGTCTCAAAAGAGATCTATCTGGTCCTAGTTCACAATGAAACTTGTTTCTGGCTTCTCGCTTACTGTGCCTCTGTCATACGAACTGTTCTTGTATGTTTCCAACATGCTTTTACCTCCGCCTTTGTCCCCGCAAAGCCATATCTCTGTATGGCTGATGAGCTTTTCTTCCAATAGCTGTTCAGTTGTCACCTAGAGGGTTTTCCTGCATGGAGATCCTGTGAAGCAGGAGCTTTGCTTGTTTCATTCAGTGCTGTCACTCAACCTAGAATCATGCTTATGCTTGAAGGCCTGGCATTTTGATCATCCCTTAAGTTGCTTGGTGCCTGAGGGTATCACTCCATGGTTGAGCATGTATTGTGTATGCTCTTGACATGGATGAAATACTTAGCACCCAAACAGTTTGCTTGTTATGTCTTTAGTCTCTTGTCACATGTGCTGGTTTGTTTTTGTCAATGTTATACAAATTTACTGTAGACATATCTGGGAAGAGGGAATCTCAATTGAGTAATTGCCTCCATCATACTGACCCGTAGGCAAGTCTGTTGTGTATTTTTTTGATTAATAGTTGATTTGGGAGGGGCCAGATCACTGTGGGCAGTGCTACCTCTGGGCAAGTAGTCTTGGATTGTATAAGAAAGCAGGCTGAGTAAGCCATGGGGAGCAAGCCAGTAAGTAGTGTTCCTGCATGTCTTTCTCCCTCCAGGGGCCTGCTTTGGCTTTCCTCAATAAACTGTGATGGGGAATATGGAAGCCAAATAAATGCTTTGCTTCCCAAGTTGCTTTTGGTCACATTGTTTTTTATATCAGCAATAGAAAGCAAACTAAGACATCATGTAAACTGGTGGGTTTCTACTACATTACTCTGAAAAACATCAGTTTTCTAGGAGTGCCCTAATCAACACCTAGTACTTGGTTTTTAAGATAGTGCCTCCCTTTGTGGCCCATGCCTTGATCCTTTTGCCTTTCAGGTATGCAAACCATACCTGGCTTCTTTAAACTGCTGTCTTAGTGGCTGTTCTTGCTGTGAAGAGACACCATGACCAAGGCATTTAGTTGGGGCTTGTAGCTGAAGTTTTTTCTAGTCCTGTCCAGCCCGACGGACCCCGAAGCTGCTTATAAAATAATCACTCAGGAGTTTATATTAATTAAAACTGCTTGGCCATTAGCTCAGGCCTACCACTGACTAGCTCTTACACTTAAACTCAGCCCATTTCTGTTAATCTATGTGTTGCCACGTGTTCCGAGGCTTTACGTGGTGCTCCCCGGACAGTGGGCTGGCATCTACTGACTCCGCCTTCCTCTCCTAGAATTCTCCTTCTCTGCTTATCCTGCCTATACTTCCTGCCTGGCTACTGGCCAATCAACATTTTATTTGTCAACCAATCAGAGCATACAGAGCATATCACATTCACAGCATACAGAGCAACATCACCCGTCAGGAGCTTGCTTACAGTTTCAGAGGCTTAGTCTATTACCATGGACTGCATGGTGGTATGCAGACAGGTGCTGGTGTAGTAGCTGAGAATGCTACATCCTGATCTGCACAGAGAGAGAGCCTGTACCCGGTGTGGGCTTTTGAAACCTCCAAGCCCACCCTCAGCGACACACTGTCTTTAACAAGGCCACACTTCCTAATCCTTGTAATCCTTTCCAACAGTTCCATTCCCGGTGACTAAGCATTCAGATAATATAAGCCCGTGGGGCCATCCTTACTCAAACCGCCTCAGCTACTTTTCTTTTCTAGCACATTTAAGTCTTAGCAAATGAAGTGTAGTTCTTGAGCTGGAGATACAGAGTGCTTGCCTTGGGTCCATTCCCAGCACATTTTTTTTTTTTTTTGAGATTGTAATTATAGCATTTACCCTTTCCTCCTTGTAAAGCCTCCCATATACCCCTTCCTACTCTGTCTCCAAATTCATGATTGTTTTTTCATTAGTTGATATTGTGTGCATATATGTGTACACACGTGTACACGCATGTACACACACACACACATTCCTAAATATAGCATGCTCAGTTTGTATAGTGTTACTTGTGCGTATGTTTTTTCTGGGCTGACTGTTTGGCACTAGATAATTGGTGTGTTCTTCCTTAGAGAAGACCCTCTCTCCCAGCTTTCCTCAGTTGCCTATAGTTCTTTGTGTAGGGTTGAGGCCTTGTAGGCTTTTCAGTTCACTTGGGCGTATCCATTGGTGTTATCCTTGTTCAGCTCACATTTGGGCAGTCTGTTCATGAGACTTTGTGGGTGTAACTTCTGATAATTACTAGGAGACACAATCTCACAGCAAGCTTACTGATCCTGTGGCTCTTAGAATTCTCTCTGCTCCCCTCTTCCAAAATGTTCTCTGAGCCTTAGATGCAGGAGTGTTTTGTAGATGTATTTATTAGGACTGGGCTCCACAACTCTGCATTTTGATTGGTTGTGATTTTATGGGGTGGTCTCTGTTGCAAAGCAGTTTCCTTGATGGGGGTGGAGACTACACTTGTCTGTGGTATAAGGACAAATGTTCATGCATTCTTAGGAATTATGCTGGGTTAGTAACTTAATGATTGTTGATTCTCCTCCAATAACCATGCCCTAACTAGCACTGAGTGAGTAGTTAACTAGGTTCCAGTACCCGGCATGGTTTACCTAATATTGAGTGAGTCTTAAATCCAATTAGAGAGCCATTGGTTAATGCCAAGGTATTTGTGCCACTGCTGCACCCTTAAGGTTATCTTGCCATGTTGGTGGCTGATATGATTCATAGCTGTCATCATAGTGGGGAGAATTTTTTTTTATTCTTACGTCTGTAGTGTTTTGCCTTCATGTACATATGTGTGTCATGTGCATGTCTGGTGCCTGAGGACGTTGGAAGAGGGCATTGGATGCCCTGGAATTGCAGTTACAGATATTTGTGAGCTATCATGTAGGTGCTACAGTTGAACCTGGGTTCTCTGTAAGACTGGCTAGTGCAGGGCTGGAAAGATGACTCAGCAGTTATGAGCACCGGTTGCCCTCCCAGAGGACCTGGGTTCAATTCCCAGCACCACATGGCAGCTCACAACTGTCTATAACTCCTGTTCCAGGGCATCTGACATCTTCACACCAATGCACATGAAATAAAATTAAATAATTTGTGGGCTGGAGAGATGGCTCAGAAGCACTGACTGATCTTTCAGAAGACTTGGGTTCAATCCTCAGCACCCACATGGCTTCTAACAGCTGTCTCTAACTCCAAGAACTGAACCCTCACACAGATGTACATGTAGGCTGTTGGTTATGCGGCGGCACTCTGGCTGCCGCCATGCCGACAGAGAAGAAATCACAAGCCATGGTTACCTTTCTAGAGCTTTATTGAGAGAGAGAGAGAGAGAGAGAGAGAGAGAGAGAGAGAGAGAGAGAGAGAAACTGTGCAGAGGGGGAGGACAGATGGAAGGAGAGAGAGTGTGGAAAGAGAGAATGCACAGAGGGCACGCCCGCTTTTTAGGCTGGTGATGTAATTAAGGACATAATCCTTACACAGGCAAAATACCAATACAAATAAAATAAAAGTAAATAAATTATTTAAAAAAAAAAAGACTAGCCAGTGCTCTTAACCATGAGTCATTGCTCCAGATCCCACAAAATGAAATCAAAATATATATAAGTGGCTTGTTACATAGTTGATTATAGGCTTTTACTAATTTAGTGGAATTTGGTCAGGAAAGTACTTGGGACAATTGAATAACAAGGTGAAGACATTTTTACACTGTTTCTTCACTGGTCAGAACAATAACTGCTAGCCACATACGGCCACTTGAACTTAAAATTAAATGCTATTAAACAGTTAGTTCCTGGCCACATTAATCACATTCCAAGTGCTCAGCTGCAGTGTGGCTAATGACTCTCTGGGATAGGCAGATCAGTAGAATATTGTACCACACAGAAAGTTCTGTTGGAGAGCAGTCTTCTAGAAAGTGTTTTGTTAACATAGGCTGGTAAAACTGGGAGCAAAGAAACTCTCCAAGTTTGAAGTAAAGCTCTACTCATTCAACAAAGGTCCCAGGCCATTATTAATGAATTCATCTAGTCTGTCGATGTGTGGGGCAGTCTTCCTTCCATACTCTCTCTCCTTTTCTCTGCTGTGACCCTGTCTCAAGAGAAAGAAAAGAAAAGAAAGGGTGGGTGGGGAGTGGTGGCACACCTTTAGTTCTAGCACCCTGGAGGCAGAGGCCAGCCTGCTCTCTCTATAGACTCTCAGGGCAGGCAGAGGGATAATGGTGATGTGGTGGAAGCCAATCTCAAGAAAAATTAAATTAAGAATATATGAGTTTGTTTACTTACTTAAAGGATTTCCTTTAGTAAATGGAATTGTAAGGTGGTTTTATAAGGCGTATTTTTTGGGTTTAGGGATAAAAGCATTCATAGGGTTAAACTCAAGGTCACATTCTAACTGTAAGTAAACAGAATATGATGTTTTTAGCATCCTTGTTGAAATATCTTGACAAGAAGTATCTATAGGCCAAAGAAAATTTTTAGTTTTGTTTTTTGAGACAGGGTTTCTCTGTGTAGCCCTAGCTGTCCTGGAACTCACTCAACAGGCTGGTTTCAAACTCAGAGATCTGCCTGCCTCTGCCCCTGGAGTGCTGGAATTAAAGATGTGCAGCACCACTGCCCAGCTTTAAAATTTGGTTTTATTGCTTGTGTGGAATGTAAACTAGATTCTGCTGTGATGGGCCTCTAAATTTTCTCTTTCTGCCCTGCTTCAGTACCTACTCATTCTGTGACGTGGAGCCTGTATTTCCCGTGCTGGTGTCGAGTTCTCTTGCTTAGTATTTCCCTCTCCGAGGTGGAGAGTTGTACTTTCTTGGTTCTTTAGTCTTGAGTCACTAAGAGCTCTTCAGAGTCAGTGACCTGAGTCTAACTCAAGGTGCTTGGTGTAATTTTAAGTTCAACTCCTCTGTTGTTTTCAAAACCAGGTTAATTGTGAGTATTGTTTTCGTCTGTAGGTGGTGGTGGCACACACCTTTAATCCCAGCACTCAGGTTGATCTCCGAGTTGGAGACCAGCTTGGTCTACAGATAAAGTTCCAGGACAGCTAAGGCTACACAGAGAAACCCTGTCTCAAAAAACAACAAACAAAATAAAACAAAAAGTATGTTTTCCTTTAGCCAGCATTTTAAGAGAAATGTTGTTTGGGAGGCTGGAAAGATGGCTCATCAGTAAGAGCAAAATAAACACATGTTTTTTGATTTTTTGTTTGTTTTTGTTTTTCGAGACAGGGTTTCTCTGTAGCTTTGGAGCCTGTCTTGGACTAACTCTGTAGAGCAGGCTGGCCTCAAACTCACAGAGATCCACCCGCCTCTGCCTCCCGAGTGTTGGGATTACAGGCGTGCGCCACCACCACTCGGCTTGTTTTGTTTTTTAAAGAAATGTTTTGTTTCAATATTTGTAAGACAAATAATTGCAGAATTAGAGAAAAATGTTACTGTTGTCATCTTGTAAGTGCTTTTCAAGTTTATTTTCCTGGGAATATTGATTTCTACCTGAGACTGGGTGGGCATCCAGTTCTTCACTGCAGGCATTTATTGACTGCCCAAAAGAGGAGAAAAAACAGCCACATATATACATACATGTGTGTATATGTGTGACGATCATAGTACATTAGCATTTAAAGATTTATTTATTTATTTATTATGTATACAGAAGAGGGTGCCAGATCTTATTACAGATGGTTGTGAGCCACCATGTGGGTGCTGGGAATTGAACTCAGGACCTCTGGAAAAGCAGTCGGTGCTCTTAACCTCTGAGCCATCTCTCCAGCCCCACATTAGCATTTAAACACATCTTTTGAAAACCTTTTTCTAATTATGAAAGCAGTACATATCTGCTTATTTTTTTTTATATTTTGTGTGTGTGTGTGTGTGTGTGTGTGTGTGTGCGCCCGCAAATGTCCAAGTCCGTGCCACATGAGAAAGTGGAGGTCAGAGGACAACCCAAGGGAATTGGTTCTTTCCTTCTACCGTGTGAGTCCTGGGGATCAAACTCAAGTTGTCAAGTTCATCAGCAAGCACCTTTATCCGATGAGCCATTTTACTGGGTCTCTTCTTTTCAGTTGTGTTTTTTCTTACTATTTTGTATGTGTGTATGTATATGTGTAGGCACATGCATGTCACAATGTGTGTGATAGAGGTCAGAGGACAACTTACAGGAGTAGGTTCTCTCCTTCTGTTATGTCGGTCTAGGAACTGAACTCAGGTCCTCAGGCTTGACAGTAAATACCTTTATATGCTGATCCTTCTTGCCAGCCCACAAAGTCATATTTGAGTCTCTCAGATTATACAGAAATAGTAGACCATATGGCTAGAGAGTGGTGAATGAGATTTGCCTTGCAACTGCCATGTAAACATTCTTTGTTTGCCTTGCAGAGGAGGTGGCCAAGTTGGAGAAGCATTTGATGCTTCTTCGACAAGAGTATGTCAAGCTGCAGAAGAAACTGGCAGAGACGGAGAAAAGATGCACGCTTTTGGCTGCACAGGCAAACAAGGAGAGCAGCAGTGAGTCCTTCATCAGCCGTTTGCTGGCAATAGTGGCAGGTCTCTATGAGCAGGAGCAGTACAGGTAAGCTCCTGGATCCAGAACTGGACCTCTTGCTTCATCCCTAGCCACTTCACATATGTTAGAGTGTCTTCTCATTCTCTCTTATTTTGTACTCCTCGGGGTTGAAACAGGGACTTTGCATATCTAGACAAGTGCTGAGCTGCATCCTCATCCTCAGATCTTGTCAACCTTGTTCTGAGACAGTCTCACTAGGTTGGCCAGGTTGCCATTGAACTTGTGATTCTCCTGTTTGAGCCTCTCAGGTAGACGAGATTAGACCTATCTGCTCTACTAGGCCTGGCTTCTCTTTCATTTTCTTGTCAAATTTATTTTTCTGTAATCCACATTACCAGCACTGAGCCACATGTGGAAGCTCAGCTTGTAATCTCAGTACTAAGGAGACTGAGAGGAAGATTATCATGAGTCTGAGGCCAGCCTCAGCTATATAGTGAGGTCCAGTCCAGTGTGGGCTAGGTTAGATGGAGTCCTTATCTATAAAACAAAAGTAAGAGCTAGGCTGATGTCAGTAAGGTACATGAGAACCTGAATTTGATCCCAAGAACCCATGTGAAAAAATTTGGGCCTCATGGCAGGCACTTAAAATCCTAGGAGTAGTAGGAGGACAGAGACTAGCAGTTTCGGGGCTCCCTGTCCAGCAAGCCTAGCCTAAGTGGTTGTGTTTCAGGCCAGTGAGAGACCCAGTAACAGGTAGATGGCACCTGAGGAATGGCACCAAAGGTTTTCCTCTGGCTTCCACATGCACACTATCTGTGTGCTCATCTGTGCCCTCATACACTCAAACCAACACCAAACCAATGAAAAAGATGAGCAATGCGCCTTTGTTACTCAAAATGTCATTCTTTGTTAGAGACCTGTATGCTACTTGCTAGCCCTTTGGCCTCAAGCTATGACATTAGGTTCCTGATCTGTAACAAAGGATGATATATTAGTACTACTCAATTTAGGGTTGGAGTAAAGATTAAGTCATAGATGTTAAGACACTTAGAATAGTGGGCACATACCAAGGATTGATTATTAGCAGTAGTATTTATTTATTTTATTTATTTGTTTGAGATATGGTTTTACTGTGTAGCCCTGGCTGACTTGGAACCTGCTGTGTAGACCAGGCTGGCCTTGAACTCAGCAGTCCATCTCTTTCCTGAATATTGGAATTAAAGGCATGTGCTACTATACCTAGCTATTTATTTAGGTGTTCTGTAGCCCAGGATGGCCTAGTACTTGGTTGTGGTCAAGGATAACCTTGAATTTTTGATCCTCTTCCCACTGCTTCTCCAATGCTACAGTTTTGCTAAGTGCCACACATTGGCACTTTTCTCTGTTGCCAGCATGGCTGGCCATATGACCCAATCCTGTCGGCACAGAGGGTCATCATTGATGTTTCAGTTAATTGCCTAGAAGCCTTTTTTTCTTAGCATTTGACATTTCAGAGTTAATGTACCTATCTTTTTTTGGGGAATTTTTAAAAATATAATAGTATGTAGGAAATATCCTTACCTCTCTTCTTGTTTGCTTTTTTGAGACAGTGTCTTGCTATGTACCCCAGATTGATTTCAAACTTGTGATCCCAATATGCTGAGGTTATATGAAAGTGCCACCCAGCCCCAACCTCTTCTCTTGATAAATGGTTAGATATTAAATGATTAATGTTAGATATAAATGTTTCTGATGGAGACAGGAGTCCAGGTATTAGGTTTTGTGTTCTTTACTGCTTTGTGTGAACTTATGTGTTCATAGTCTCTCCGTTTCACATTGCTTGACATTATTATGGAGCAAAGCAATAGCACAGTCTGAGTTTTGTGCTATCCACATTTATTACTCTGGTGGTTTATTCGATACATTCTGCATAAGACATCTTATATTTTATGTATAACTTAGTCATCCTGCTTAGCTTGTAAGTTCAGCACAAGAATCCTGTTAGATGTATTTGAGACTAGATCATCCCATGGAATTGAGGTAGAAGTTAAAATATTCCCAGGAACATGTAAGCATGGTCCACCGTGTGGAAATGCCATTGTGGTTTATTTTTTTCTTTTGCAGATTCATGTTGATAATCATTATCCATGTATTTGTCAGGTAGAACTCCTAGCTTACCTAGTTATGATGACATTTTTCTTTCTGTATCTCTGGATATTTTCTTCATCAGTGATTTGAAGATCAAGGTTGGGGGCAGGCACATCAGTGCTCACAAGTTTGTCCTGGCAGCTCGCAGTGATAGCTGGAGTCTGGCCAACTTGTCTTCCACAGAAGAGCTAGACTTGTCAGGTGAGTCTGACTTCATCAGAACACAGAACTAATGCACAAGACCTCTTGGCAGAAAGTTATAATGCATCACTGTAAAATATATGTGGTATGATAAAAGTAAAGTACTTATCAATTGATGGGAACATGAACTATTGAAATAAGATATCACCCTAAGTTGGTTGTTCTATTTTCTTTTAATTTTTTTTTAAATTTTAATTTATATGTGTGGGTGTTTTGCATGCGTTTCTGTCTTTGCACCATATGCATGCAGTGCCCAGGGAGGTCTGAAAAGGATGTCAGATACCTTGGAACTGGATTTACAGATGGTGGTGCATCATGTGGGTGCTGGTAATTGAATCCAGGTCCTCTGGAAGAGCTGACAGTGCTCTTAACCATTGAGTCATCTCTCCAGCCTCAGGTTGTTCTTTATGATTATATTTAATCCATGGATAACAAGTTAAATATTTTAGTATCTATTATGTTCTTATATTTAGAAAGTACAAGAATCTTTCAATAAGCTTATTTCTTTTTTTTTTTTTTTTTTTTTTTTTAAAGTTCCTAGAAGCTTGTCCTAGGATGCTATTTATTTATTTATTATGTACACAGAAGAGGGCGCCAGATCTCATTACAGATGGTTGTGAGCCACCATGTGGTTACTGGGAATTGAACTCAGGACCTCTGGAAGAGCAGTCGGTGCTCTTAACCTCTGAGCCATCTCTCCAGCCCAAGCTTATTTCTTTAAAAAAATTATTACTGTATGTATGCTTAGCTTGGGAGATCAGAGAACTTTGTGGAGTTCTGGGGATTGAACTGTGGTTGATAGGTTTGTCTGGCAAATGTCTTTATCTGCTTAGTCATCTCTCCAGGCCTGCTTATTTTAGCTTTTGCATGTAGTATATGTACATGTCCTTGTAGGTGTGTGTGCTGTGTGTGGAATCCAGAGGCTGATAACTCAGTCATTCTTCCTATTGATTGACTGATTGAAGACAAGAACTCATCATGTAGCCCTAGCTGGCCTGTAACTCAAGATGTAGACCAAGCTGGCCTTGAACTCAGATATGCCTGCCTCTGCTTCTTAAAAGCTAGAATTAAAGGGGTATGACCACCTTTAGTATCTTTTCCTAAAAATATTTTGCATGTATTTTGTGTGTGTGTGTGTGTGTGTGTACATGAGAATACAAGTGCCCTTGGAGCCATTAGAGTTCCCTGGAGCTGGAGTAACGGGATTGTTAGTGACTTGATATGGCTTCTGGAAACCTAACTTGGGCCCTCTACAGTAATAATATGTGCTCTTAACACTGATATATCTCTCCAGCTCTATAGCTCTATTTATTTTTTGTGTGTCTGTGTGTTGGTGTGTGTCTATATGCATGGTACCTAAAGAGGCAGATCTCCCTGAAGTTGGAATTAACATGTGGTTGTGAGTCTCTCAATGTGAGTACTGAGAACTAAACTCAGGTGGTCTACAAGAGCAGTATATGCTCTTACCTGCTGAGCCCCACTATATAGTAATTTTTGTATGTGTATCTCTTTATTTGTTTGTTTGTTTGAGATAACATCTTACTGTGTGGATTAGGCTAACCTGGAATTCACAGAGGTCTACCTGCTCTGCCTCCCAAGGGCTAGGATAAGGCATGTGCCATCATGCCCAGCTATATGTGTGTCTCCTAATAACATGTTATATACTTAAACATATGTAGTAAATTTCTTTCAAAACAATTTTAATAGGACTGTGGAGATGGCTCAGTGAGTAAAGGCATTTGCCACCAAGCCTGATGATCTGAATTTGATCCCCAGAATTCACATGTTAGAAGAAAAAAATAAATAACTCACCTCCTCAAGTTGTCCTCTAACCTCTACACAGGCATCATGATATGTGTGCTCATCACACACACACACACACACACACACTCAAATGTAATTTTAAGAAAGGTTCTTAGTAGATACGCTAAATTATTTATATTATTGTCTTATGTATATTTGTAGCTTATGACTAAATGGAAGTTTTCAAAAGTTCATCTAAAAATTGTATTGTGTTAGTATTTGCCTAACTACTCTTGAAAACAAGGCATGAAGCAAAATTTTCATTGAACTCTGCTCTTAGTGACTATTGCAAAAAGTATAAAATGGAGACTGTCAGGATATTAAAATAGGACATTGGACTGGGAGTGTAGCTCAGTGGTAGAGTGCTTGCTTAGCATGTATCAATCCCTTGGTTTGATCCTGAAGACTGGGAGAGAGAATGGGGGTGGAGAGTGATTTTCAGAAGTGATTGACTATGAAAGCTCTACTGAGATGTCTGTTCAGAGGCTCTCCTGTTTAGAAGGTCTATTTCTGTGTGCTGAGGACTGAGTGATTATGGTGGGTCTCTGCCTCAGAGCTCATGCTCTGGGAGAAGTAATGGACTGTTACTAAATCAGTTCAAACCCGAGCCATGAATGTAACAAAGTAGCAGCAGAAGAGATTTGAATGGGGCTGTAAGGAAGATGCCAGGGGTGGCTAACACTTGAGCAGTATTGTACTGGAAGAATGGGTGTTGATCTCCTGAATTTCGGAGAACAGACATTTCATGTTTTTCTGTTGTGAGTGAACTCTCTTTATGATAATTCCAAAGGTTTAACTTGAAGGCCTCACTTCTCCTTGTAAGCACAAATAAACATACATAAAAGCAGATTCATGTGGATGTGTCATTCATACCTAGGATGAAAATACCTGTATGGAAGGTCTTTACCAGAAAGGCTCCAGTCCATATGAGTGCACTCAGAGTGGTGGCTTCTCTTTTTAAAAATGTATCTTTTGAAGCCACATATCTCTGGCCACCTGTAGAATAAAATTAGGATAGTTTCTGAGAACCATTTGATTATGAAATGTTCTTCACAAAATGTATGGTAGTATCTTGACTCCACAGTCACATATTTTGCAAGGCTAGAAAAGATAATAAAAACAGGAATTATTCAAATTCATTAGAAAGATGTTAAGAGTAGGCTACGATCTTTTGATCCTTCCATTATAAAAAATTGGTGATTCCAGCAGTTGTGAGACTTACGAAATGTACTTTGTTGTACTGTCAGTGACATTTTTTTTTTTTTTTTGGTTTTTCGAGACAGGGTTTCTCTGTGTAGCTTTGCGCCTTTCTTGGATCTCACTGTGTAGCCCAGGCTGGCCTCGAACTCACAGAGATCCGCCTGGCTCTGCCTCCCGAGTGCTGGGATTAAAGGCGTGCGCCACCACCGCCCGGCTGTCAGTGACATTTTGGTCAGGGCTACATGAGACCCTGTTGTTTTATGGCTCAGTGTATATCTGTCTCAGTGAATATACTGTGTGCACATGGAAAAATAATGTACCGCAGTTGCTGGATATAGTGCTTTGGTTATTTACAGTTTGAACTCAGGGCCTCTTACATGTTAGGCAAGCACTCCAGCACCACCCCACATACACTTCTACCCTACTTATTTTTTATTATGAGGTAGACTCTTGCTATGTTACCCAGGCTGGCTTGAAGCTCACTATATAGTTCAGGCTGATCTTCTACTTTCCTTCCTCCTGCCTATATTTTTTTGAGTATATATTATATGATTCAGCACTGTTCCAAGTGCTGGGATTACCTATATTCACCAAGACTGGGTGGATGTAGTCTTCTTTAAATACCATTATGTCAAGGAGATTGTTCAGTATGTATGTATGTATGTATGTATATCTGTGTGTATATATATATATATATATATATATATATATATATATATTTTCCTTTATGTCTAGTTTATCAATTCTTTAAAATTCAGTGTTACTATTTACTGCAATCTTGAGATAGAAATTTTAGCTGGATAGGAAGAAAATGGGTGCTAGGGAAGTTCCCAGGAATCCCCAAGGATGACCCCAGCTTAGACTACTAGCAGTAGTGGAGAGGGTGCCTGAACTGCCTTACCCTATTAATCAGATTGGTGAATACTCTGTCATCATAGAGCCTTCATCCAGTAACTGATGGAAGCAGATGCAGAGATCCAGGAGTCCAGTCAAAGAGAAGAAAGATTCTATGAGCAAGGGGTATCAAGATCATTATGAGGAACAACAACCAAACCAAACTAGTGGGCACTCATGAAATTTAGATCAACAGCTATGGAGCCTCCACGGGACTGGACTAGGCCCTCTGCATAAGCGAGACAGTTGTGTAGCTTGATCTGCTTAAGGGGCCAAGGGGGCAGTAGGATCAGGATCCATCCTGGGTGCATGAGCTGGCTTTTTGGAGCCCACTACCTATGTTGGGACACCTCACACAGCCTTAAGGCAAGGGGAGAGGCTTGGACCTGCCTCACCTGAATGTGCCAGGCTCTGCTGACTCTCCATGGGAGGCCTTACCTTCTTGTAGGAGGGACTGGGGGTGTGTGTAGGGGGGGGAGGATAGAGGGTGGGAGGAGAGAAGAGGGGGATCTGTGATTGGTATGTAAAATGAGTAAAAAAATTTCTTTTTTTAATACATGAAAACAGGTTATAATTCAAAAGTCCAGGGTTATTTGAAACTGGAAAATATTTTCTCTGTAGAAAATAGTAAAAATTATAACATTTCCCAATAAGCCCTTTTAAGCCAAATAATAGCTGAATTATACATATAAATATTGATTAGATTCTGGGATACAGAAGAAACCTATCTTCATCTGTTCAGAGAGCTATGTTTTACTTAAGTTGTGTAAAGGAGATTCTTGTTCAAATTCCCCTTCACTGTTTGATTTACAGCAGACATTTTTCTATAGGCTAATCCATAATCTAAAAAGATTTTAGCCTTCCCTCCTGAAAGTACGGCCAGCATTTTCTTTCATTAGCTTGATACAGTACAAATTCTTATCCTAATAGTGAAATGTTTCACTAAATCTTGCCCATTGATTGGGCAAAACCAAAACTTATTATAAGCCACAGTCATCCTAGGGTCCCCCCTGCTAGGTAGCCTCCCTGGATGTGTGGGTTGCAGTCTGATTGTCCTTTGCTTTATATCCAGTATCCACTTATGAGCAAGTACATACCATGTTTGTCCTTCTGAGTCTGGGTTACCTCACTCAGGATGATATTTTCTAGTTCCATCCATTTGCCTGCAAATTTCATGCTGTCATTGTTTTTCTCTGCTGAGTAGTACTCCATTGTGTATGTAAAATGAATGAAAAATTTCTTAATAATAAAAAAAAAGAAAAAAAAGTTGTATCCACAAGCCTTAAATTTTTTTTTTTTTTTTTTAGCTGGACTGGTGGCATGTTCATGTAATCCTAGGATTTAGGAGACTGAGGTAGGAGGGTTAGGAGCTCCAGGCCATCCCGGATTACCTTGTCATGACCTTGTCTCAGAAAATCAAAAACAAAGCAAAATGAAAACTTTCCACCATTACTGTGTTACTGAGGAAGACAAAGGAAAAAAGAAAAAGCTACGGTTTGTTTTTGCTCCACCCTTGTTTGTCTGTTGTTTAGTAGACAACAGTGAATCAGTCTGCTTTGCGTACATCAGGTTTTCAGTTCCACTCAACATCACTCCCTTCAAACCCATCCTCCTCACTGCGGGTAGTTGGAATAGAGGGTTAATCAGAGCTGATCTGTTGTTGCCTAGTTACTAATAATATATTACTGGTCCTTACTGTACTTTTCCTTGATAATTAAGAATTGAATATAGTCTCCTAACCTTAGTGAGCATCACAATAACATCATGGAATTGTTAAGGTGCAGATGCTGGGTCCATCCCCAGTTCTCTTCGGTCGTCTGGGTGGGCTTGAGAGTTAAACTCTGTTAGGAGTCTGCTTGCTCAGGATTCCTCATAGAGAACTGTTATGCAAACTGTGGCTTTAACTTTTCCTCTGGACATCACCTTCTGTATTCTGACTAATCGAAAGCTGATTTAATCAGAATAACAGTTTAGGTTTGTTTGTTTGTTTGCTAGTTTGTGTTTTGAGACAGGATCTCAAGTAGTCCAGCTTGGCCTGGAACTCATAGTATGAAGTCAAAGATGACCTTGAACTTTGGATCCTTCTGCTTCCCAATTGCTGGTATTAAAGATATATGCCACCACACCTGGTTTATGTCATTGGGAATTAGCTCAAGGCTTCTTGCAAGTTAGGCAATCAATACTAACTGAGCCTAATCCTCAGCATTAGTTTAGATATTTTATTTATTTATTTTGGTTTTTCAAGACAGGGTTTCTCTATGTAGCACTGGCTGTCCTGTAACTCACTTTGTAGACCAGGCTGGCCTTGGACTCACAGAGATCAGCCTGCCTCTGCCTCCTGAGTGGTGGGATTAAAGGCATGTACTACCACTGCCCACACCCGGCTAGTTCAGATATTTTAAATGATGATTTTTATAGTAAACATTTCCTTCAAGTAGTTGTATAGTCTTTAAAAAATATATAAATAATATATTTATTAACTAAAAATCAAGGTACCGATTAGCTAAAAGAAAAATTAATCATGAATAAGTTCTTGAGTTGATATTTTAGTAAAAATCTTTTCAGGTTCTTGATTAATTGTTAGATGATAGATAGACAGAGCTGTCTATTTAGATATATATATGCATATACACAATGGTACATTTATACTCATACATATAGCAAAAATGAGATTATATAAAATGTATTATTAGTTTTTTAAACCTCTGTAAATATATTGTCATGAATGTATCTAAATTGTCTTTTTTTTTTTTTAAGATTTATTTATTTATTTATTGTGTATACAATGTTCTGCCCACACACATCCCTGCAGGCCTGAAGAGGGCACCAGATCTCATTACAGATGGTTGTGAGCCACCATGTGGTTGCTGGGAATTGAACTCAGAACCTCTGGAAGAGCAGTCGGTGCTCTTAACCTCTGAGCCATCTCTCCAGCCCCATCTAAATAGTCTTAATTGCTGCAGATTTGCCATTGTGTGTGTGTGTATATGTATATATAATATATATACATATATATTATATATACATATACATAATATATTATGTTTTTATTAACTTTCTATTGTACTCTGAAGATTTTGTAAGCAAAATGTGGTGGCTCATACCTTTAGTCCCACAATTTTGGGAGGCTGAGGCAAGAGTATTGATGTTAGTTCTGGGCCAGCCTGGGCTGTAAGAGTGAGAGATCTTATTTCAAAATAAACCAACATTTTATCTCAGTTCTTCATTATTAAAATAATACATTTCTCTGTATTTACCTTATTGTTTGTTTAAGAGTAATTGCTGTTTAAAAGTTTATTCAGTCTTTAAAAATCTTGGCTACAGACTGGAGAGATGGCTCAGTGGAGCTCTGGCTGTTTTTCCAGAGAATCTGGCTTTTATTCCCAGTACCCATACGGTGGGATGCAACAACCATCTGTAACTCCAGTTCAAAGGATTCAACACCTCTTCTGGTCTCCGTGGGTACCAGGAACATAATTGTTGCATAGCCATACATGTAGGCAAAACATCCATACATAAAATAAATGACTGAAAATAAATAAATAAAACCTTTACTAGTCTGTATTAGAAATTCTGTTGAGTGTGGTGGTGCCTTTAATGCCTTTAATGAGGCAGAGACAGGCAGAACTCTGTGAGGACTACGTAGAGAGACCCTGTTTCAAAAGGAAAAAAATAAAAGAATAAAAGATATTCTGAAATTATCTTATGTCTCAGTATTTTCCCAATGAATTTGACCCTATGGTTTCCTCATACAAAACTGTAACATTTTTTTGAGTCAGATGCTGCCCAGACATTCTGTCACCATTTTTAATGGCTGTATTGTTAGAATTATCCACCAGAGAAGACCACTTGGGCACGGGTTTAAGCAAATAGAAAGTCTTTCATTAGCTGTCCTGCAGCTACACTGGGTGTTTGGGACCCAAATGCTGTTCTAAGCCTTTCTCAAGATGGGATTTTAAACACAAGAAAACATATACTGGGATGACACACCTCAGTTAGCCAGAGCAGTTAGTCAGAAGCGGAATTACAGAAGCCAAAAAGCAAGATTAATAAATTTAGGGACTTTACCAGAACTATAGATCTTTGTTCTCTTTTTGCAGGTGCTGGTTGCCTAGGTGCTAGGTTCCAAGGCCTGAATGATAGTTCCATCATGGTGTCAATTGTGCTAAGGTCTGGGGACCTACTGAGGGTGGGGGCCTGTAACAGTATATTTGAGTTAGGTGTACTGTAATTGACTTTTTTAACCACAGGTTTTAGCGTGACTTCTAGAAGGCCTAAGCGTGTCATCTGCTTCCTTTTTCTCACTAGATGCGAATCCTGAGGTGACAATGACCATGCTTCGCTGGATCTATACCGATGAGTTAGAGTTCAGAGAGGATGATGTGTTCCTGACTGAGTTGATGAAACTGGCTAATCGCTTTCAACTCCAGCTCCTTAGGGAGAGGCAAGTCACAACAGATGTGCTCAAGCCCCTGCAAGGTGGTGGTGGCTAAGTTTAATTGTGCCAAGCTGTGCGAACAGCTTCTGACATGTGGAGAACTGTAGGGTTCTCTAAAGGTGGTGGGGCAGAGGCTGACTTCTCTCTTGCTTTGTGTCACTGGGAAGCTAATGGTGCTGGCGCTAGTTTGTTGGTCTTTCTTCTCCTGGTTGGTTACCTGAGGTCCTGTGTAAACTGACAACTGAATATGGAAAAATAGAATCCAGGGTCCAGAGTCTTGACTTTGCCTTCCATTCTGTGTTCTTCAACAGTTGATTCTGCCTTTGGATAGATCTAGCAAAGGAAGTATTTGGTTATATACTCCTTTTTGGAGGCACTCTAATGCTTACATTAATCCAGAGAGCTTATGGTTCAGTAGGTTTTGTAGCCAGTATCAATAAGGGCTTATTTCATTGAAGTTAACTGCTTTTTAGGTCCCAAGGAGCTGGCACAATACGTTTTTATAGTGCGTTTTCTCTGTTCCTCTCCCAAGTTGTTAGAATTATAGGAGACAAAATGCTCATCAAAGGATCAGGCAGAGTGCGTTGTGCACCTGTTGTCGCTGTGGCTGTTGATGGCCAGCTTGTTTTTTGTTTTTTTTTTTAAAGATAGTTACTCTTTTTTTTTTTTTTTTTAAGATTTATTAGGTATACAGTGTCCTGTCTGCATGCATGTCTGCAGGCCTGAAGAGGGCACCAGAATTCATTATAGATGGTTGTGAGCACCATGTGGTTGCTGGGAATTGAACTCAGGACCTCTGGAAGAGCAGCCAGTGCTCTTAACCTCTGAGCCATCTCTCCAGCCCAGAGTAGTCTTTTCATAGTACTTCATAATCTCTTTTTTTTTTTTTTTTTTTTTTTTTGGTTTTTCGAGACAGGGATTCTCTGTGTAGCTTTGCGCCTTTCCTGGAACTCACTTGGTAGCCCAGGCTGGCCTTGAACTCACAGAGATCCGCCTGGCTCTGCCTCCCAAGAGTGCTGGGATTAAAGGCGTGCGCCACCACAGCCCGGCTCTCATAATCTCTTTTTTTTTTTTTTTTTTTTTTTTTTGGGTGGCGCACGCCTTTAATCCCAGCACTCGGGAGGCAGAGCCAGGCGGATCTCTGTGAGTTCGAGGCCAGCCTGGGCTACCAAGTGAGTTTCATAATCTCTTTTTATTCTTATGGGTGCATGAGAAAAAACTGGCTCCTCTCTTGGTGATTGAAGGGCTAGTTTCAGCCATCAAGATGGTCTGTTTGTGCTCTGTTGCCCTCACCCAGGAGATCCCAGAGACTCGGCTACCAGGAGCTGCTTGCTCTGTTTTTACTGTGAGAGGGCTTTTCCTTTCAGATGGCCCCACAGCCCCACAGGAATCCATAGACAGAATCTTCTCAACTATCAGTCAGTGATGTGGGCCTGAGAACTGTTTTAATATCTAAATCTAATTTAAACATAAACAAGTCCAAGGTGTATAGAGCTAGATTATTATTAACACAACTAATTAACTATTGTGTTTGTTTAGTAAGTTTCTGAACTACCTAGGAGTAAACTCATACTCACTTTAATTAGATTGTTTATATCTTTTCCCCCAGATATCCTGAGCTTTCTCATTGACCATATCAGACTTGCTTATAAATTAAATTGCTTTAATAAAAATGTTCTGGGGTTTGTATGGATTATTTAATTGGTATAATGGATTCTTTAATTAAAATGTTCATTGTTTATTGATTGATTAGGCCTCATTACGATCAACATTACCAGATGCTCAAATCTGTACTGTTGGATGTGGCTATTAAGTTGTCTGTCACAGCTTTCTTTTTTTTTTTTTTTTTAAAAGATTTATTTATTATGTATACAGTGTTCTGACTGCACATATCCCTGCAGGCCAGAAGAGGGTGCCAGATCTCATTACAGATGGTTGTGAGCCACCATGTGGTTGCTGGGAATTGAACTCAGGACCTTTGGAAGGGCAAGCAGTGCTCTTAACCTCTGAGCCATCTCTCCAGCCCTGTCACAGCTTTCTTAAGAGCTGGGATGGGAGACCAGGACTAGCGTGAGTGCTGACTCTTCAGGAAGTCACAAGAGTGCCCCCTGCTGTCAGGCAGAGAAATGGCACATCTAAGATAACCCAAGAGGCTTTAGCAAATGCAGGCAGTTCACTGTGAAGTCAGTGGCACCAATTTCTGTGATAGAGAGGTCCTGATGGTTTAGAAATGTTAATAATTAAATTGATGAAAAAGTAGGGTGTCTTAGTTACGGTTTCTATTGCTGTGAAGAGACATCATGCCCACAGCAACTCTTACAAAGGAAAACATTTAATTGAGGTGGTGGGTCAGTTCAGAGGTTCAGTCCTTTATCATCATGGCAGGGAGCATGGTGGCATGCAGGCACACATGGTGCTGGAGAAGTAGCTGAGAGTCCTATATATTGCAGCCACCGGGAAGTAAACTATGACACTGAGAGAAGCTTAAGCAGAGCCTGCCCCCACAGTGACACACTTCCTTCAACAAGGCCACACCTCCTAATAGTGCCACTTGCTATGAGCTTATGGGGCCCAATTACATTCAAACTACCACAGAAGGTTTTTATTTTTAATAATATCAGAAAATCTTTTACAAAAGAGTATTATGAAAATGAAAATATTCTAATTATAAATACACATTCAGTGTATGTAATTTGGTTTGTTTGTTTGTTTGTTTGTTTGGTTGGTTGGTTGGTTGGTTTTTCGAGACAGAGTTTCTCTGTGTAGCTCTGCGCCTTTCCTGGAACTCACTCTAGCCCAGGATGGCCTCAAACTCACAGGAGATCAGCCTGCTTCTGCCTCCTGAGTGCTGGGATTAAAAGTGTGCGTCCCCACCACCCAGCTGAAACTTCTTCTTATTGTAACATGTCTACATATTGATTTTAACTTCTTTTAAAAATAGTGTTGGAGGGTTGGTGAGATTGCTCCGCAGGCAAAAGTCCTTACTACACAAACCTGATGACCTGAGTTTGGTGCCCAAAACTCACTTTGGAAGGAAAGAACTGACTTGAAATTGTCCTCTGGCCTTTACCCCTTGGTGCGTTGTGGCACGCACACACACACACACACACACACACACACACACACACACACACACACGAATGAATGAGTAAAGGAATAAATTGGTGGGGAAGGGCTGGAGACAAGGTCTCACCACTAGCCTTTGCTTCTCAGGTGCTGGGATTAAAGGCATATGCTACCACAACCAGCCCTAAATTAATTCTTAAAGTGCCCTGGGAGAGGTGGTGCTTTGCACCAAGTCTGCAATGTTGATGGCAAATGGCTGTGTTCTTGTTTCTGGCCTAGTCTAACTATAAGGTTTGAAAATTTGCTCTTTGTTTTTCCCTTGTCTGTCCTCCCTTCCCCTGTCTCCAATCCACGGTCTGTCTCACTGCCTTCTTCCCCTCTTTCCCTACCTCTCTAACTCTTGTGGTCCTTCCCTGTTACCTAGTACCTCATCTACTGAGATTGAGAATTACCTGCTACTCAGTTATTTACAGTAGTATTGAAGTCCATTAACATTAGCTCTTAAAGTTTGCTATGTCCCTTTTCCATTTTCCTTCAGGACAGGAATGTTGGGCCTTAGAAGGGAGTGGTGAGCAGAGAGGAAATGTAAACTTAGGAGCGTACCTCCAAGTGTGTCTTGTGCTCTGCTGGGTACATCTAACTTTCCTTCATCTTGAAACCCGCAGAGTCTCAACACCTCTAAGATCAAGTACCATCTTTATGTCATAGAAGGGGAGACAGGACTACAGAGACTTCATTTTTCTGTCACTACTAAGTTCTGCCATGTGATTAGAAAAGTTTTTGTTAGCTGGGTGGTGGTGGTGGTGGTGCACACCTTTAATCCCAGCACTCAGGAGGCAGAGGCAGGTGGATCTCTTTGAGTTCGAGGCCAGCCTGGTCTATAGATTGAGTTCTAGGACAGTCAGGACTTTTTCCACAGAGAAACCCTGTCTCGAAAAAAACAAACAACAACAACAACAAAAAAAACAAAAAAAGGTTTTTATTGAGGGTGAAGGAAAGGAGAAGCAGTGGTAGATTAGATGAGGGGGCTATGAGTACCATTGGGCCTCTGTGGCTACCCTTGGAGGGGAATCTGATTGAAGGACCATGTCTTAGCCTCCTCTCTCCGTAGGCCTCATTCTGCGAGAGGCACAATAAGGTTTCCAGGAATTCTGTCATAGAATAAGTCCTGTATCTTCTATGCTAGGACGTGAAGACAACTTTGTGCCACAGGGATGTAGTTGATACTCTCTTGTTAGTCCTTCATCAAGTCTCGTTGCCTGGCTTTGTGGAGATATACATTGTGCTCAATTTTCTCTTGATGTACTGTGGTCTGATTTGTGTGTGGCACTCGAGATTGAATCCATAGCCTCTTGCACACTAGGTCTGACTCATAATTATTTCACTATCTTATCTATTTTGGGTGGTTCTTTAAAATGTAGTTTATTGAATTATATTTATTTTATTTGTAAAACTTTATGTGTGCGTGTGTGTGTGTGTGTGTGTGTGTGTGTGTGTGTGTGTGTGTGTGTGTGTGTGTTTTGAGCGGGTATCTGGGGAAACCAGAACAGCACCAGATCCCTTGGAACTGGAGTCACAGGCAGTTGTGAACATGTGTTGGGAACCAAACTTAGGTCCTTTGGAAGAACAACTCTTCTTAGCTGCTAAACTATCTATTTAGTCCACATACATCCCTCCTGCTCTCCCGCCACCCACACCCAATGTTGCTAGGGATTGAACACAGGGCTTCCCAAATACAAATACATCCTAGACACTCTACCACTGTCTTTCTTTCCAGACCCTGAATTACAGTTTATTCACTTATTTTAATCATCATCATCATTATTACATATGTATAAGTGTTTTGGCTGCATATATGTCTGTGTACCATGTAAATTCAGTACCCATGAAGGTCAGAAGAGGGCATTGGATCCCTTAGAACTGGAGTTACAGGTGATTTTCAGCTGCCATGTGGGTGCTGGGAACTGAACCTGGGTCTCTGGAAGAACAGCCAGTATTCTTAACCTCTGAGCCATCTCTCTAGCCATCTGAATTATAATTTATACAAAATAAAAATTTATCTTTTGGGAGGATTTTTAAAGAGGTATTTATTAAGCACAGACCCTCATATTTGAAACTCTGAGTATTAAAGTTAGTATAATAGAATTGTCTGGAATCTGCAGGCATGTTCCATATAATTCAGTGCCAAAGAACTGAAGCCAATCTGTTTTGTGTTTGATTGCAAAATGACCTGTGCATGTGATTCAGAAGTTTCAAGTGATTACTTTTGAGGCTATTGAGGTTTTAAGCTTCATAATTTTCTTTTTGCAGGTTATTTTGATTCTACTCAGAACAGTGTGGTGTAATATACTATCTAGTACAAGACTGCAAAGCACGGTGTAATCCCAGGCTGAGACAAGAGTAGTCTGACTTCAAAGCTAGCTTGGGCTACATAGTGAGACACCCTGTCTCAAAAATAAAATGTATATGATCAGTTTTAGTAAAATTATAATAAAAATTGAGTTCAATAAGTAAAAATCTCTACATACTTCCTTATGAAACAGTATTCAGTCTTATATCTTAGTTTTATTAGACATAGCTGGTGCCTTAATTATTTTTTGGTTTATTTATTTATGAATGTATTTGCCTTGCTAATACTATTCATCATTAATGAAAATCTCTTACAGATGTGAGAAGGGTGTTATGTCTCTGGTGAATGTTAGGAACTGTATTCGCTTCTATCAAACTGCCGAGGAATTAAATGCCAGCACACTGATGAACTACTGTGCAGAAATTATTGCAAGTCACTGGGTGAGTGAGAGATTGAGAGGTGTGGACAGAGCTTCCACACTGGCAGCCAGAGATCCCAGTGTAAGCCCTGCTTTCTTCAGTCGCCTCTCTGACACATCATCTTTGCTGTTTGCAGTCTTGAAAAATAAGCAGTTGGATTAGATGACCTGTGAGGCTTTTTTTCTGTTCTGAAACTGTTCTGAGGGTTTAGAGTGGACCAGGCAGAGGTAGCTGAGGTTCCGGAGCAGAAGTGAAGAAGGAACACCTGCCTTTAGCATCATCCTTGAGAAGCTGAGACCCAGTGTGCGCTGCCCATGGAAGAGCTTCCTCCACTATAAGAGGCATTCTTAAACTTCAGCGTCTTTTCTTGGGTTTTTATTATAAATAACAGGCTTCACATTTCTTGTTATGGTTTGATTTTGTATTTTTTATGTGTATGCAGGTACACATACATGCTTGTGGAGGCCAGAGGACAGCCTCTGGTAGAGTTACTCAGGTAGTATCCACCATATTTTGAGACAGGGTCCCTCACTGGCCTAGAGCTCACTGATTAGGTGAGTTCAGCTGGCCAGTGAGCCCCAGGGGTCTTCCTGTCTCCTTCCAAGCACAGGGTTTACAAGCCGAGCTTTTTTTTTCTTCACCCCATTAAATAATAAATAAAACAACAACCAATGTTGTTTTATGAATTAGCTTCTGTGATTGTTTTGTATACAACATTATTGGAAGAACCTTGGAATTCTACAGAAAGATTTCTAACAGAACTGGTGTGTGTGTGCTTAGTGCCATGGACTTATAGCCCTAACAACTTGGGAGGCTAAGGCAGGAGGATGCTGAGTTCATGGTCTGAGCTGCAGAGCAAGTTCAAGACCAGCCTGAGGAACTAGCAAGACCCTTTCTCAGAAACATTTTGAAGTGCTGGGAATACAGTTCAGTGGTCCAGTGCTTCCACATGGCAGCTGACAATCACTGTACAGTGGTACAAATGCCTGAAGCCCTCGATTTGATCCCCAATAATACTAGAAAAGTGGCGTTATTGTTTTTTGCTTTGAGGTAAGATCTCATTCTGTAGCCCAGACTGAAGTGGAACCCACTGTGTAATTCAGACTGGCCTCAAACTTATGGCCAACCTCCTGCCTCAGCCTCTTGAGTGTTGGTATTAAAGGCACGTGCTGCTGCTATGCCTGCTGACAACTAGCTTTGAAGAACCGGCAGAATGGTGGCCTTCCCTTGCTGAGAGCACTGCAGCTGTGGCTCAGAGGGTTGTTTGCTGCAGTTCCGACTGTTTTGAAGGGGCCGTCTTCGTAGACTCAGTAGGAAGAGGACTCTAAGCTCATAGTAGGGGTCCTCCATGGCTTGTTCCTGTTGGAGGTCAGCATTGATAGTCGGCTGTCCAGTCTCTGAGGCCCAGCAGAGCTGTGATGAGTAGAGTGTGGTGGCAAGTGCTTCTTACTCCAGGTCCTGACTTAGTTGTTTTCTCACTGTCAGACTGTGCGTGAGCTCTCTAGCCTCCTTAGGCTTCACTTTCTTCTGTAAAACAGGCAAAGATAGTTGGGAAATGTTAAGACCTTAAAGTAGGGCTTGACACATGCTTAGTAATGACAGCTGTTCTTATTAACCCTTTCCATTGTTTTAACCCTAGGATGACTTGCGGAAGGAGGACTTCAGTAGCCTGAGTGCTCAGTTGTTATACAAAATGATCAAATCCAAGACGGACTACCCACTCCATAAAGCTATCAAAGTGGAGAGAGAAGATGTAGTCTTCCTCTATCTTATTGAAATGGATTCCCAGGTATTGTAGAAGCATTTCCATATTTTTCCTATCTCTCCCCAAACCTTAATGCTATCTAGACTCCCTGCTTCCATCTGTACTGTCACTGGACATTCTAAGAAAGTACTGCTGACATGTTCATGTTGCTTTTGAGCATTTTCTGTTTTGTTCTGTTCCTCAGAATTCATCAGTCTTAGTACAATCTAAAGCCACATTCATATTTCCAGATGGTTGTCACAGCAGTACCTGACTTCAGGCCCCAATCTTTGTTTTTATTTCTTACTAAAACAAGTTTTCACAAATTCAGTGCCCTAAACCAACACATATTCTGGGTTGGTTGAGAGCACTTCCTGCTTTTGCAGGGGACACGGGTTTGGTTCCCAACACCCGCATGGCAGCTCAGAACCATCTGTAACTCCATTCCCAGGGAATCCAATACCCTCTTCTGACCTCTGGAGGCACACGTGGTCCACACACTACATTGAGGCAAAACACTCATGCACATAAAATACTGTTTAAAATAGTAACAGCAACACATCAGTTTATTACCTATCAGCTTTGCCTGTTGGAGGTCCAAGCCAAAAGTCACAAGACTAAAATCAAGTTGTTTGTAGACTGTGCTCTTTTATGGAGCTGGGGGAAGAATCTGTTTCCTGCTCACATAAGTTGTTGACAGAACTCTCTAGTAGTCCAAGGCCTCCATTTTCTTGTGAGCTGAAGACTGTTCTCAGCTTCTAGATGTTCCCACAGTCCTTAGCTTAAAAGAAGCATTGCTTCTATCTTTAAAGCCAGCAGAAACAGGTCAAGTCCTAATTTCACCCCTTAATGACCTACTCTTCTACTTTCCTGTTTCCCCCCCACCCCCCACCCCAGACAGGGTTTGTCTGTGTAGCTTTGGAGCCTGTCTTGGAACTTACTGTGTAGATCAGGCTAGCCTCGAACTCACAGAGATCCACCTGCCTCTGTCTCCTGAGTGCTGGGATTAAAGGCATGCACCACCACCCGGCCTTCTGTTTCACTTTTAAGAATGAATATTGTTACAAAGTGGGGCCCTGTAGGCTGGTTCAGAATCCTCTCTAGCTCGTGGTACTTAGCCTTAACACATCTGCAAAGGTACTTTTTTGCCATGTAAGTTGACATGCTTACATCATCTGGTAATTAGGGCATGAACATCTGTGGAGTGGGGGTAGAGGGCATTATTCTACATACACACTGCCTTCAAAGGAGTGCAGATGGAAGTATGGTTTATCATTAGTGTCTGTGCTAAAGAGGACTCTGTTAAACCACCTTTTATGAAAATCTTAACTCTTTTTCATAAAGTTCTCTATGCTGGCTTGTCTGTGGTATCTGTCCTGTGTTGTGTCTGGTGTCTGTCTCCCCCTCCCCACTCCCCCAGTGCCATCTGCATTTCTCCTGTGGTGGCCTTCAATCACCTTTGTCGCCCTTTGCTCAGTAATCACTATTGTTTTTTTGAGACTGAACGCACATGCTCTCGGGAAGCCTGATCGGAAGTGTGAGTGGTGTTGAATCTGAGGACTAAGCAATGCCATTGTGCCAGAGCATTAGAATTGGCACTTGAGCCGGGTGGTGGTGGCGCACGCCTTTAATCCCAGCACTCGGGAGGCAGAGCCAGGCGGATCTCTGTGAGTTCAAGGCCAGCCTGGACTACCAAGTGAGTTCCAGGAAAAAAGGTGCAAAGCTACACAGAGAAACCCTGTCTCGAAAAAGAAAAAAAAAAAAAAAAAAGAATTGGCACTTGGGTAGGAAGTGTGGTGACACACACATTTACGGGAGAAAGGCCATGTCTGTGAATTTGAGAGCAGCCTGGTCTACATACTGAGACCCTGTCTCAAAAAGGGTTTTCATCTGGGAACGATTAAAGGTGGTTGTATTTTCTGTCTGAGTGCTGATTTCCAGATTTCTCTGTGCAGCTCCCTGGGAAGCTGAACGAAATGGATCATAATGGAGATCTTGCATTAGATCTGGCTCTTTCACGGCGACTAGAGAGTATTGCTACCACTCTGGTTAATCATAAAGCTGATGTGGACATGGTAGACAAGAGTGGCTGGAGCTTGTTACATAAAGGAATCCAAAGAGGTAAGGAGAAATGAAATTTACATTTTTCTCTGTACACAATATAACTCTCTGTAGTTATAGTTTTGAAGCTTCCTAGACTCAGTTCCAGGAATTCCCAAAAGACCTTGAGTCTGCACACTTAGCCTGCATGGCTTAGAACTTGTGATTGTTGAGTCAGAGGGTCACTATTGAAACACTATTGGCCTTGTCAGTTTGTCTGTTCATAGTGCCACCAGGGCCTGAGTAAGACAAGCTAGATAGATGATCTTTAAGAAGTAAGTACCTTTGGAGCCAGGTGGTGGTTGTGTATACCTTTCATCCCAGCATTCAGGAGGCAGAGGCAAGTGGATCTCTGTGAGTTCAAGGCCAGCCTGGTCTACAGAGTAAGTTCGAGGCCAGCCAGGGCTGTTACACAGAAACCATGTCTCGGGAAAAAAAAAAAAAAAGGAAAAAAAAGTACCTTTGGAGTAGTGTGGTGGTAATTTCTGTGAGTTCAAAGTCAGTTTAGTTTATATAGTTAGTTTTGGGACAGTCAGGACTACACAGAGAGACCCTGTCTCAACAACAAAAATACAACCAAAACCCAAAAAAAGAAATCCTTTGGGGGCTGAAGCAATGGTTAGTCATTTGAGAGCACTTGCTGCTCTTGCACAAGACTGGGTTCCCAGTAAGTGGTTCACAACTGCTTGTAACTCCAGCTCCCGAGGTTCTGACCCCGTCTTCTGGTTCTACAGGTACACACCCTGACGTCCACCCACACAGACATTTACACATTATTTTTTAAAAAAATTAAAAAGTACCTTTTGTGAGCAACACATGTCTACTTACTTCATTCCATTTTCTTCAGGAATTGTGCCCAGAAGTCTGTTAAAATCTTAGGAAAGGCTTAAAGGCCCAGATAGCCAAAGTAATCCTCAGCAGAAAGAGCAGTGCTGAGGTACCAGCAGTCACGCCTGATCTCAGATTATGTTACAGAGACTCAAGAACAAAAACAGCAAGTTACCGGCCCAGAAGCAGGCATGTAGACTGATGAAATAGAAAATTGAGGACCCAGAAATAAATGCATAGTTATAGCATCCCAATTTTGAGAAATCTGTCAAAAACATACATTGGAGGGAGACTGAAGAGACAGTGCTGTGGTTAAGAGTTTCTCTTGCCAACACCCATTTGGCACCTCACAACTGCCTGTAACTCCAGCTCCAGAGATTCTAACACCTTCTGGACTTCTTGGGCACAGACATACATTTGGTACACACTCACAAACACATATTAAAAAATAATAAGCCGGGCGGTGGTGGCGCACGCCTTTAATTGCAGCACTCGGGAGGCAGAGCCAGGCGGATCTCTGTGAGTTCGAGGCCAGCCTGGTCTCCAAAGCGAGTTCCAGGAAAGGCGCAAAGCTACACAGAGAAACCCTGTCTCGAAAAACCAAAAAAAAAAAAAAAAAAAAAAAAAAAAAAATAATAATAATAATAAAAGTAAAAAAAATACATCGGAGCAAAGACAACCTCTTTTTTTTTTTTTTTTTTTTTTTTTTTTTTTTTGGTTTTCTGAAACAGCGTTTCTCTGTGTAGCCCTGGAGCCTGTCCTGGAACTGACTCTGTAGACTAGGCTGGCCTCGAACTCACAGAGATCCACCTGCCTCTGCCTCCTGAATGCTGGGATTAAAGGCAGGCACCACCACTGCCAGGCTAGACAACCTCTTTAACCAAGAGTGAACCTAGATCTATACCTCTCACCTTCACAGAAATCATTTCAAAACGGATTAATGACCTTAAATGTAAGTCTAAAACTTAGAAACTGCTAGAGCAGCAGTTCTGAACCTGGGGGGTGGGGGGGTCACAACTCCTTTGAGGTTACATATCAGATATCCTGCATATCAGGTATTTACATTACAATTCATAATAGTAGCAAAATTACAGTTATGAAGTAACAATGAAATAATTCTATGGTTGGGGTCACCACAACATCCGAGGAACTGTATTAAAGGGTCACAGTGTTAGGAAGACTGAGAACCAGTGTGCTAGAAGAAAGAGGCGTAAGTAAAACACCTCAGGGTACAAGCACAGGCAAGAGCTTTCTGAACACTGTTCCAGCAGCAAGGAGATACATCCCAAAGTCAAAATGAAGAGGCTTCTGGACAACAGAGAAAACAGTCACCAGAGGGAAGAGACCTTTGCTGGTCACGTATCAGATGGGGAATATTCAAGGGATGTAAAGAACTGCAAAAATTAAACAGTTTTTAAAAAGCATCCAATCAATAAATGAGCTAAACTGTCAGGTCCCAAAAAAGGATATACAAATGGCGAATAAAACCTGAAAGTGTCCCACATCTTTAGCCACCAGGAAAATGCACATTAAAATTCCTTTGAGAGTCTATCTCATTCCAGTTCAGAATGGTTGTCGTCAGGAAAATAAATGACAGGATAAAGAGATGGTTCAGTAGGTAAAGGACTTGCTGCCAAGCCTGTTCACCTGAGTCTGATTCCTACGACCTACGTGGTAGACGGGGAAAATTGACTCTGCAAAGTTGTCTTCTGACCTCCACACTCAGGCCATGGCCATGTGCATGCCTGCTTATCTGCATACACATGAAATAAACAAATACAAAAAAAATAAAACATAAAGGACAAGTGGTTAAGAGTCAATTATGAGGTGTAGAGTTCTAATCCCAGCACACAGGTAGCAAGCTGGGTGTTCTGTGTGTACACCTGAATTCCATCTCCAAGGTAGGCCGAAGACAGATCCTCCCAGCTTGCTGCCTCCAGCCTATCAGAGAAAGTGTAAGCCCCGAGGTTCAGGGAGAGACACTGCCTCAGAGGAATAGACAGAGTAGGAGGGGGACACCCAACAGCCTCTTCTGACTCCTTGCATGCACACAGACAGGCATGTGCACCTGCACATACATGCATGCACTCAAAATGGCACATACAAATAAATAACAAAAATATAAAAATCCTCAGGTGCTAATGAGGATATGGAGAAAGAGGAATTCTGTTTTAATTTTTGAGACAGAGCCTCACTATGTAGACCAGTTGGCTGTGAACTCACAGAGGCTGCCTTTGCCTCCCAAATTCTGGGATTATATTTACTGATAGGAATGTAAACTTGTACAGCCATTATGAAAAATCAGTGTGGAGATTTCTCAAAGTCAATTAAAGTAAAGCTGCTGTGTGGCACAGCTCTTGTTTATACGGGTGAAGGCCTCTAAGTTGGCACACAGAGGTGTTTGTGTATGTTTGTGGTTGCGCTGTCCTAATAGCCAGAAAATGGCTGTTGATCAACAGATGACACTGCTGTCGCTCGGCTGTGGTTTTGTTCTTTAACAGAATGTACTGTGTGAATGTTGATGCTGCTGCAGCTGCAGCTCTCTCCCCGTTCTGGGCGGAGTGTTTAGGGTAAGTGTCCTTCTGAGCTATGTAGAGTGTTGAGCTTGCTGGCTAGTAGAGAGGAAAGTTTTACTCATCACTGGGTAGGAAACCCTTAGAGCAGGGCACTGTGGAGAACAGATGCGTTGTCCCAAGCACACACAGCACTTGGCTCTGGGTTTGTGCTCACTGGGGAAAGTTTCTACCACATAGGGAATTGTTCTCTCCCACTCTGTTTAGTATCTGAAGTGTTTATTTTGGAAACAGATTCACTTGTTACTAAAAAAACAATTAAGTTCCTTTCCTCTCTGGGAGCTGAATTCTTCTGTTTCATGAAAAACATCTCTGGTGAGTTATTAAATATTTGGGTGATTGCTTAGTTACAGAAATTGCCAAGACAGTTTTGATGTGTGTTCTAGAGTGATTTAATCTTTCATTCTGAATTTGTGAAATGTCTGGAAGTATGTGGATTCTAGTGTGAATATAGCAGACTTTCAAAGGGGTGTGGCATGGGCAGAGCACTGACTTGGGCTTGAATCCTGGCTTACGTGTTGCTTTGACAATCACTTGTCCACACTTATGTTGACTTTTCTCGTCTATAAAATGGGAAGGGATCTTTCTGCTTCACCAGGCTGTTAGCATAGTGAGACAGGGTGGGGATGTACCCCAATGAATGCCAGCTGACCAGTAGAGTAAACATAGTGGCCTTTGTCTTGTCTGGGCATTGGAGTACCATAGCCAGACCCTATGGGAATTGTTTTCTTTTCATTGAGGTCCCACTGAAACACTGGGTGGCCTAGAACACTACATGGTAGAGCCTGGGCTCAGACCTGCAGTAGTCCTCCTGCCTCTGCCTCCTGTGTTCTGGCTTTTAGGTATGTGTCACCCCTTCTGAGGGATTGTTTGACTTTGCCTCCTTCAACTTGCTGTTACTTGGTTAGCATTACCCAATGACTGAGTGCTGCCTTTAAGTTTGGCTACTGACCTTGCTTCTAATTTATTATGAGTGATGGGGTTCGTTAATAGATGAATGAAGTCTAGGTCTACTTGGAGATGCATATTAGAATCCACAAAACATTAGTGGTCATCTTACTAAGGAAATGCATCTGTCAGTCAGAAGCATTTGGTGGTGACAGGATCTGTGAGGCCATAGGAGACCCACATAGGGCATTGTTACCATCTCTTCCAATTAGCCTGACCTAAGCAAGATGATGTGTCCTTTCATAACAATTCTAGTTTTCTACTAACTTAAAAACCTGTAATGGCTGGATGGTGGTGGCGCACGCCTTTAATTTCAGCACTTGGGAGGCAGAGGCAAGCGTATCTCTGTGAGTTCGAGGCCAGCCTGATCTACAGAGCAAGATCTAGGACAGGCACCAAAACTACACAGAGAAACCCTGTCTCGGAAGGAAAAACAAACAAACAAACAAACAAAAAAACAATCCTACAATAACCTGGACTCTCCTGACCAATTATTTGTAGTAAATTTTAAAACAAGGACTATTAATTATGGTTTGTATTATCTTAATGATGAAGGTTACTGGCTGTTCCCTGAATAAAACTGTCATAAAACTGAAGGAAAAGTTGTATGTATTGTTTAACATTGGTTAGGAATTTTTGTTTGTTTGGTTGGTTTTCAAGACAGGGTTTTTCTGTGTAGCTTTGACACCTGTCCTGGAACTCACTCTGTAGCCCAGGCTGGCCTCTGCCTCCTGAGTGCTGGGATTAAAGGTGTGCGCCGCTGCCGCCGCCCAGCTGGTTAAGAATATTTTTTTTTTTTTTTTTTTTTTTGGTTTTTCGAGACAGGGTTTCTCTGTGTAGCTTTGCGCCTTTCCTGGAACTCACTTGGTAGCCCAGGCTGGCCTTGAACTCACAGAGATCCGCCTGGCTCTGCCTCCCGAGTGCTGGGATTAAAGGCGTGCGCCACCACCACCTGGCTTGGTTAAGAATATTTTTATGTGGAAAAATGATGACAGTAACGCCTCGTGTAGCTGGCATTGTTGGTCAGTGAGGAAAGCAAGTGGCTGGAAGTCTTCAGCAGGAGATACTGTTTTTCTGGTGCTGAGGCTTGAACTCAGGCCTTTAAGCATGCTGAGCAGTGGCTGAGTTTGAACCCCGTTCTTGCCCTGTTAGATGGAATGTGTGGAGTGCTGTTTCCTTGTCGGTAAGAACCTTACTAGGGCCTAGCTTCCAGTTCCCTTCTTTGTCCTGTTCTCTGCATGTTTTTTCTTCTTGTTTATTTACCTTCTGGACTCTCTTCCCTTAATTCAGCTTCTAATAATTCCTAAAGAGTGCTTTTTTTTGTCTAAAGTACATATAAATGAATGATTATAAATAGATTTTTGGATCTAACCTTTAAGTAAATTTGACTTAAAGTCAGAAAATCCTTTAAAAAGACTTATCATAAAAATGTTGGCGGGATGGTGGTTCTTATTGTAATCTCAGCAGTCAGGAGACTGGACAGGAGAGTGCTGCCAGCAAGAAGCCAACCTGGGCTACAGCCAGCCTGGGCTACAGCCAGCCTGGGCTACCGAGAAGGACCGTTGTCTTTAAAGAAAAATAGGATGGAAGATGGTTTCCATTACACTTTCTGTCAGAACGTAACCATCTGTAGGTTTTCCTGTGTCTGTGTCCTCATCACTCTTCAGAAGGAGACCTAGGACTCTGGTAAGAGAGTGAGTTATCTGAAATCAGAATTGATTGCAGTTAGAGCCTGTCTGTTAAAGTAAAACCCAGTAGCCCTGAAGTTCATCTGTTTTCTTCCCCAATATTTTCCTAAGGCCAATTTTTAAAGACATTGGTGGATGAGTACTAGGTAGAAGCTAATTGGTGCCACCTGGAGGTCACTGAGAAAAATAACTGCTTCCGTCCCCACCAAGCACTTGCTCTCCCTCGCCTCCTTCTCCTCCTCCTCCTCCTCCTCCTCCTCTTCCTCCTCCTCCTCCTCCTCCTTCTCCTCCTCCTCCTTCTCCTTTTCCTTCTCCCTCCTCCTCCTCTCCCCCCCCCCCCCCCCCCCCCCCCCCCCACCCCCCCCGCCCCTTTCTCTCTCTGTGTGAGACTTGATGCCACCTGGAGGTCACTGAGAAAAATAACTGCTTCCAGGCTGGAGAGATGGCTCAGAGGTTAAGAGCACTGGCTGTTCTCCCAGAGGTTCTGAGTTCAATTCCTAGCAACTGCATGGTGGCTCACAACCATCTGTAATGAGATCTGGTGCCCTCTTCTGGCCTGCAGGTGTATATTCAGACAGAACACTGTACACATAATAAATAAATAAATGAATCTAAAAAGAAAAGAAAAAAATAGTCAAAAGTCTCTCAAAAAAATTAAAAAAATAGTAACTGCTTCCACCCCACAGAGGAGGCGGGGGGGGGGGGGGGGGGGGGGGGGGGGGGGAGAGTATGTATGTGTTAATTGGTGCCACCTGGATATCACTGAGAATTAACTGTTTCCACCCCACCAAGTTCCAGAGAGAGGTAGGGGTGTGTGTGTGTGTGTGTGTGTGTGTGTGTGTGTGTGTGTGTGTGTGTGCGCGTGCGCGTGCGCGCACATACACCCTTGGAATCCATAAGAGGATGTCAGATCCCAGGACCTGGAGTTGCAGGCAGTTGTGAGCCACCATGTTAGTGCTGAGACTCCAACTGGGGTCCTCTAGAAGAGCCACCATTGTACTGTCTTTCCTGCCCAAGTCTGTTACTGTTAGACAGTGAGAGCATCTTAAAGGAAGGAACCAGGGCAGGTCATCATGGGTAATCAAAAGGTGGACAAAAGAGCCTTTTGAAATAAAGTGTAACTTTGTGGACTGTTATGGATTTCCACCTCCAGCTGTCCAAGAGATTGCCTCAGACAACCCCAGATGTCCTTCTCCTATGTCTGCAGTTATCACTTGCTGCCTTCAGAGGAAGTGTTGGCCACAGTAACTGCGTGTTGTCATGTCATTGTGTGTTCTGTTCTTTCTTTCAAGGAGATCTCTTTGCTTCTACATTCCTCATTAAGAACGGGGCCCTTGTCAATGCTGCCACATTGGGGGTCCAAGAGACCCCATTACACCTTGTAGCATTGTATAGTTCAAAGAAATACTCAGCAGATGTGATGTCTGAGATGGCGCAGATTGCAGAGGCCCTCCTACAGGCTGGTGCCAACCCCAACATGCAGGACAGCAAGGGCAGGTGAGTACGCTGCCTCCAGAAGAGGGTTGGCATGGCAGCACATAATCGGCATGCACAGTATTGGGCATTCTTAAATCTGATGTCTACTGGAGCTGCACACATTTATCTGGCATGCAATTAAATGTCATGATCAAGACTAGAAGTATTTGGGAAAACATTTGCAGCCTGGCTAAATAAGGTCTGAATTTCTAAGCAATTTATATCATTTTTCTGTTGAAAGCAACCAGAGTGGTCATCTAGTCAGTGTTTACAAGGACTTTCTTTAGCATTTTTTAGGATCACTTGAATAGTTTGAAGAGGAACTACTACCTCAAGACAACCTGTTTTATTTCTCTGAGATCTAATAGTTAGAAAATTCCCTATTTTAAACCCAATTCTGCCTTATGACTATCTTAACTTTTGACAACTTGTTATCTCTAGAGCGTCTTACCTTGGTTGCACAGCCCTTCCTCTATTTGATAGTGTCTCTGGGTTATGTGTAGTGTTTTACATTCTTACAAGTTTTTAGTTTTATTTGTTATTTTATGTGTATGGGTGTTTTGGCTGGATGTGTATCAGTGCTCCACATACGTGCAGTGTCTGTAGACAAGAAGTGTGTAGGATTCCCTGGAACTGCAGTAATGGGTATTTGTGAGACATCACGTGGATGATAAGACTCAAACCCAGGTCCTCTAGAAGAGCAAGTAGTGCTCTTAACCCCTGAACCATCTCCAGCCCAGTTTCTGTTGTTTTTTTGCGTCTTCTCAGAAGGAGTTAGTTTAGGATTCCTTGTGGTTTAGAATTGTGGACAGGGTTGCCTGTCTTGAGGCAGAAGGTGGGAGGCTCTGAAGTGCAGTTCAGCCCCTTGCCTCAGCAGCCGTGGGAAGGGTATAAGTACCACTCGCCCTCAGCTTGGTTCAGTGTTTGAAACCCACCCAGGATGTCAGATTTTTCGAGACTGGTTGTCAGGAGAGGGTCTATGCAGTGGGTCATGTGCAGAGATAAGATGGTCCAGGAGCTTGGTGTTGCTAGTAATCAACCACTCATTCTGCCAAGCAGTTACATCCTTCCTCCCTCGTGCTGATTCTTTGGGTTTTTTTCCCCCTCCAATTGCAGTAAACTTGGGCAGTCTGTCCATCTGAGGTAGAGGCCAGGCTCAGGCCCTGTGCTCCAGTGGCAGCCTTCTCTCAAGGCACTTGAGTACTAAATAAACGTGAAGAACAGGTTCACTTGGACCAGTTCTGTCTTGTCGCTGCTGTCTGTTCCTGTGCTAGTAGAAGATGACAGCGAAGACCAGTTTCTTCTCAGAGTGGTGGGGGATGGGTGGGAGAAAGTGTGACAGAAGCTGCTGTTTAACACACTCCTGCAGGAAGGGGTTAGAAATGGAGGAGAGCCATGGGCCATAAAGCAAATCCATTTTCATGTTTTGATTCTTGGCTGTGGTTTTGGAAAACAGAGTAATGGAATTGGTTGTAGATGGTGATTGTACCAAGGATTCTAGTTCCTGTCTGCTGTGAGTGTCTGGGTTGGTCTGTCTTGAATTGACACTTGTTTTAATTCATTTTATTCTGTTTTACCCTCAGGACTCCTTTACACTTGTCCATCATGGCCAGGAATGAATATGTGTTCAATCAGCTGCTGCAGTGTAAACAGTACGTAGGGCGGCCTGGAGAAATGAAAAGCGGTTTTGAGGGTGGGATTGTGAGTGAAAAATCTTTCCTTATTAAAATTAAAAAAAAACAAAAAATATTGTTCATTTGTTTGTTTGACACGAAGTCTTATTATGTAGTCTAGGCAAGCCTAGAATTCAAAGTCCTGCTTTAGTCCCCCAGGTACTGGCTATCACACCTAGCCTGAAGTTTTCTCTTAAGGTGCTTTACAGTTATAAACCTTAAGTAAAATAAAAATTTGTCCTTTAGAAAGTACAGGGAGAGAGTGAGCTGTTGGCAGCAAAGAGAGGCTTGATATTGTACCTGTCATTCACACGGCCTCTTTATTTTAGGTTAGACTTAGAGCTGAAGGATCACGAGGGCAGTACTGCACTCTGGCTTGCTGTCCAGTACATCACCATGTCTTCTGACCAGTCTGTCAACCCCTTTGAAGACCATCCTGTGCTGAACGGAACGTCCTTTGATGAGAACAGCTTTGCAGCCAGGCTCATCCAACGCGGCAGCAACACCGATGCTCCGGATGCAGTGACGGGTAAACCATGGGCCCAGGGAGTGAGTTTCTTGTTGTGGTTTGATGGCAGGACTGGCAATGCAGTGCTGGCCTCAGACTTGCTAGCTCAGGCTAGCCTTGAATGTGTTGTCTTCCTGCCTTAGCCTGAGTGCTGGGATTACTAGCATGTGCCACCATGCCAGCTTGTAAATGTTTTTAATAATAATACAGAAATGGAATGGCTTACTATTATGAGAATTATTTGTTTTACATTTAATTTTAAGCTCAGTAAAATCCCATTGTGGTTGGTTGGTTTGTTTGTTTGTTTGTTTGTTTGTTTTTTTTTTGGTTTTTCAAGACAGGGTTTCTCTGTGTAGTTTTGCGCCTTTCCTGGGACTCACTTAGTAGCCCAAGCTGGCCTCGAACTCACAGAGATCCGCCTGGCTCTGCCTCCCGAGTGCTGGGATTAAAGGCGTGCGCCACCACTGCCCGGCCTGTTTGTTTGTTTTAATCTCGTGTTCCAAACAATTTAACCAGACATTAGTTTAAGTATTGTAAGCTAAAACATACCTGGTAAGTTAAGACAACGATTCTTAGACTTTGTAGACTCATAATTCGTTTTGCCCTCGTAGAATTTACATTCAGTAAGTTTTTCTTTGGATAGTTATACCTTTAGTATTTACTAGAGTCAGAAAATCAAAATGAGAATTTTTTTTTTTTTTTTTTTTTTTTTTTGGTTTTGAGACAGGTATATGTAGGCCAGCCTGGACCTGAACTGGAGATTCTCCTGCTTCAGCCTCCCAAGTACTGAGATTACGGACACAATCTACAATATCCAGCCTCTAAAACCAAGAAACTTTCATTTTTAGTTTGATTTTTAGGTTTATCTTCTTTTATGTGTGTGAGTGTTTGATGCGTGTATCTTTGCCACATGCTTGTTTGGTGCCCTTGGAGGTTAGAAGAAGTCATCAGATCTCTGGAAATGGGAATTAGAGATGGTTGTGAGCTGCTATGTAGATGCTGGGAACGTGGGTCCTCTGGAAGAACAGCAAGTGCTTCTAACTGCTAAGCATCTCTCCAGATCCCAAACTGAGAAACTTTGAAGAGCTGTATTAATCAGTTTATAGTATAGAGAATATACTCATTATGAAAATAACTTAAAACAAGTTAGTGAGAAGAGCAGGTAGTTTCTTGTATCTACATTTGTGTTCAGTCTTTCCAGACGTGCTGTTTTGGTTAAAGTGACGGAAGAATGCACATCCTTTGAGACACGTGGAAAGGGGAGGCACATTTTGAGTATCATAGGGAAGTCACACCAGTTTGTGCTTTGAATGGATTGTTTTTTCTGTGCATGGTTCTAGAACATTATGCCTTAGTCATTGGAGAGTGTTAGTTCACTGTGTTGTGGATGTCCTGTGTTTCATATTTCAGAACTTCACTCACTGATATCGCTGTTCATCTCATCAGAAGTCTTTCACTGTAAAGAAATATCAAACTTGGAGTTGCAAAGTTTTCCAAGATTCAAATTTTCATATTAAAGTTTACTTTTTATCATTAGGTTAAAAATATTATCAATTATTTTTTCAATTGTTTTTCTTAAAGAGACAGGCTCCTTTTGCTCATTTTCAAGAGAATGTCTACTAAATGATCAAGTTTGGATAACAGTAGTGTAATGGGAATCATTCTGAGTAAAAACCCTGGCCCATGACCCTGTGCTGAAATTGTTCAGCATGCACCTTAATGCATGTGTGCTTCCTCCAGACAGCATGCTTTGCTGTGGAGTAGCAGCTTTGCCGTACTTCTCACGTTACACACAGGCTCTTGCAAGCTCATGAGCACAACATGCTCAGTGTTGAGAGTTAGTAAAATTAGGTGGTTTTGGTTTTTTGTTGTTGTTTTGTTTTGTTTTTCGAGACAGGGTTTCTCTGTGTAGTTTGGTGCCTGTCCTGGATCTCTCTCTGTAGACCAGGCTGGCCTCGAACTCACAGAGATCCTCCTGGCTCTGCCTCCCGAGTGCTGGGATTAAAGGCGTCCATCACCACCCAGCTAGGAGGTTTTTTTTTTGTAGCAAAAGTATAGGTTTGTTGACTGTGAAAATGAAACCTTGGCACTGCTGTGATCTGTTAGGCATTTGAATCCCCGACACTGATTTGGCAACATCAGTGCCAATGTCAGCACAGTGTAGGGAAAAGTAAAGATTCTGTAAAAATGGTTCTGATCTATTGATGCCCTGCAAGACTCCAGAAACCTACAGGAATCCATAGGCCACACTTGGGATGTCCCTGTTTTCATATATTTCACTGAACTGGCTAAAGAAAAAATGGTAGTGTTTTGTTTGTATTCTTTGTATGTTTTGCTTGTTGTTGTTGTTAAGACAGGGTCTCTTAGCCCTGGCTAGCATGTGCTACCATTCCCAGATCAGCATGGGAGTATTTTAAGGACAAGGATTCCATATATAAGTAGCGAATACTCACAGAAAGCATGAGTTGGGGGCTTCTGAGATGGGTTAGTGGGTAAAGGTGCTTGCCACCAAGCCTGATGATCTGGTTTGATCCTCAGAGCCCACAGGATAGGAGATAACAGTCCCCTGAACTCCAGACCTGTTTAATGCATTGTCTTATTCACCCTGTACACATACACTTAACACACACACATAAAATAAATGGATGTCAAGCATGGGTAGAAGCCATTAACAAAGACAGTTGATTCCTAGCTTCCCTTTTTTAAAAAAGATGAATAGTAAACAATACTTTTGTTAAAGTGATAATAACTTTTAATAAAGGTAAAAGGGCTGGGGGTGTAGCTCAGAACCACATGCCTGTGACTTTGAATTTAGTTTTAACCCATGATACTAAAAAGAAAGAAAGAAAGGTCATATAAAATCACCACTCTAGCTCTAGATGGCTGTCCATGTTTGTATCCAAGCACAGGCTAGGATCACTGCAAGTTCAAGGCCAGCCTGATTCATACAATGGCTTCCAGTCAGCTAGGACATAGCAAGATCTTGTCTGAAAAAAACAGAAGAAAGAGAAATTCCACAGTAGATAACGAAAGCTAAGTTCTACTACACTGTTTTAGACTAAACACCTGGAAATGCCATCATGACTACATAATAATCTATAAATTATATTGATTATTTACCATAGTTTTTGCTGATTTCTGACTTTAATTACATTGTGTAAGAGTGTGGCATGCAAAAGACTGGTTCTTTGGTATTTAGGACTTGAATTTTGTTGTATTATCATTTTCTCTGTAAATTTCCCACCTGCTACCTCCATATCATTGAGCTTGCACCCAGGAACTTGCATAAGCTGGCAAAAATATTACTGAGCTGCATTTTCAGCATTAGAACATGTTCTTTTTAGAATGTGATATATTGTTTAAAATAACAAGCATTTATTCATGGGAATGCAGCATTTTCTTTGTTATTAACTCAAAGTTGTCCATTAACACTGTTCAAATCTTCATGTACTCTAATCAGCTTTGGACTGCTCTGTCTTTCATCTCCTTGAACCTCTTTCCCATCCTCCCTCCTTCCATTAATGATAGGGATCAAACCCAGGGCCTTATGCAACTAATAAGTACGCTGCCAGTGAGCTATACCCTGTGCCCCTCCCCCACCATTGATTGGTCTCTTAAATTTTTCTTACTGTTGAGACAGTATTTTACACTATAAACTTTGAGTTTTAGCCTAGTTTTTTTGGTTTTGAGGCAGGTTCTAATTTAGCCCAAACTGCTCTCAGATTTGATGTATAGGTGAAGATGACCTCACACTCCTAAATCTTTCCCTCATTTTTAGATTTATTTATTTTGTTTAGTCTCAGCTCTCTGAGTAGAACTTACTGCCTTTAGCTTTTGTTACCTATTATGAGGATTTCTTTTCTTTTCTTTTTTTTTCTTTTTGAGTCGAGGTCTTGCTATGTTGTACTAGCTGACAGAGCTACCACATAGAGCTATAGGAACCAAACCTAGGGCCTTTTCAAGAGTATTCAGTGCTCTGAACTGCTCAGCCATCTCTCCAGCTCCCTCTTTATTTTGCCTTCCAATCTCCAAGAGGAGATTCTTGGCATGTATTATACCCAACAGAAGTTGAGATCAGAATGACGACAACTATAGATGAAGTCACTGTCTGTGAAGCGAAAGAAAAAAAATGATATAAAGACCAAGTAGTGTTTTGTCCATTTCCTTTTCTTTCTTTTTAATTGAGGGTGAATGTTCGTTGGTGTATGTGTGTGCGTGTGCTGTGTATAAAACCGAGCATGTGGAAGTCAGGTGACAACTCTTGGTACTTGGTTCTCAAGGCAGAGTCTCTTTCTATGTATTCCAGACTAGCGAGCCCTAGAGTTTCCACTCCTACCTTCTCCTTCCATCTCACTGTAGAAATGCTGGCATTACAGATGTATCTGACTACTATTTACATTGTTCTTAACCCCAGGAGGCAAAGGCAGTCGGATCTCTGTGAGTTCATGTCATTCTGGTCTACAGCAAGTTCTGAGTCATCCAGGACTACACTAGTAAGGCCCATCTTAGGAAACTAGAAAAAAATGAAACACAGCTCTGGAAATGGAGTGGGCCGTCGGGCAGTGTAGCAGGCATTTTGCCTGACGGAGCCTTCTCCCTGGCACTGCTTTGTCCTGTTTCTCTTATTTTTATTTTTCAGTCTTCATATTCATTTTATTCAGATTTTCAAGCACCACAGCTTCAGAATGTGAGATTTTTAAAAGATTTATTTTTAGTTTTAATTATGAATATGCCCATGTGTTTGTATATGGGTATGTGCAAAAGTATGCAGGTGCCTGCTGAGGCCAGAAGAGAGCATCAGGTCCTGTGGAGCTGGAGTTACAGTAGTTGTGAGCCACCAGACTAAAGTCAGGTTCCCTGTAAGAGCAATACATGCTTTTAACCACTGAGCTATCTCTGTAGTGCCCAGAACATGAGACTTTATGTTGTGTTTGGAAATGGAGTTGGAAACACTGTTCTGGAGCCAAAAACCATTTGGAGAAGATTTTATTTTTCCTAAGTGTTTTATTCAGAAAATAGTTACAGTGCTAAGCAAAAATATTCCTGAGCCAACAAGCTTATAAGGCTGTAGGGATAGAACTGAAGCATTTGATGGGCATTTTCTAGTATAGCCACAATGATGAGGCCAGGACATTGCTACTTGCACCCATCTTCCGAAGAACATTTGAAAGCATCTCTAGGCCTTTTTTTTTTTTTTGGTTTTTCAAGACAGGGTTTCTCTGTATAGCCCTGGCTGTCCTAGAACTCACTATGTAGACCAGGCTGGCCTTGAACTCACAGAGACCTGCCTGCCTCTGCCTCCTGAGTGCTGGAATTAAAGGCATGCTCCGCCACTGCCAGCTGTTTTTGCTTTTTTGTTTGTTTTTAAACTTAAGATTTATTTGATGTATTGTGGATGTTTTGCCTGTATGTATGTCTGTGCACCGTTTGCATGCCTGGTGCCCATGGAGGCCATAAGAAAATTGGATCCCCAGGAACTGGAGCTATAGACAGTTGCCGTATAGACATGGAACTGCCGTGTTGGTGTTATGAATCGAACCTGAGGCCTCTTGAAGGATCTAGTACTGGAAGAGCAGCCACTGCTCTTAGCCTCTGAGCAATATCTCTAGTCCTAGACATTTTTGATTGTTACAGGTTCAGAGCTCCTGGCATCTGATGGGTAGGAGCCAGGAATATTCAAATGTTATACAACTTACAGAGCTGGCCCTATGGCAAAAGGATTAATTATCTCAGGAAATGTGATCAGCACTGCTATGTGGGAGAAACCTTGCCCCTACCCAAGCCCTACAAGGAAGTACAGTGAGCTGCCAGCAAGGGTGATGTCTGGTGTGGGCTGGCCAGTAGGTGGTAAGGTAGGGCAGGGTGTTGTGCAGGGTGGAACTTAATTTTGTGTCCATGTAAAAGGAAGAATGAATATGGCTTCTTTCTTGTAGGAAATTGTTTACTACAGCGGGCAGCCGGGGCAGGAAATGAGGCTGCAGCTCTTTTCCTGGCAACCAGTGGTGCCCATGCCAACCACAGGAACAAATGGGTAAGTTGGCAAGGGCAGCTGGGGGAATGGCTGTGGTCTGTGTAAGAAATGGCAATGCTGGGTATTCAGGAAAAATGAAATAGTCTCTTTTTTTTCTTCACTTCTATGAATGTACATTCATATGACCAGTGTAATCTTTGTGTGTCCTCAAAGACTGTCGGCTAGTAACCATTATCCAGAGTTTCCTTGTATAGCCATGTCCTGAACTAGATCCTGTAGACTTTGTAATGGAGTGAAAATTAGCAAACAGGAATGTAAACAAGTGCTGTAATAGTTTCTTGAGTCTTTTGGTTTTGGGACAGTTTGATGTGACCCAGGCAGGACTTACCTTATGATCCTGTCTTAGCTTCTCCAGTGCTGAGATCACAGGCATGTGCTGACCTGTATTCTTCAGGTCTCCCATGTGGCTGCTGCTTCAGTCTGTCTCTAGGCAACAACACTGACCAGATCATGGCCTTCCCTCACCTGCACTTGTACCTTTAGGTTTCAGTTACCTGTGGTCAGTCATGGTCTGACAATATTAAATGGGAAACTGAGAAATAGTCCATAAATTCTAGGTTGTCCACCAGAATAACATGATGAAATCTCACCCAGTCCTAGTTTGTGGCTCACCCCTCTGTCCAGTGTGTGCCTGGTGCACATGCTACCTGCCTGTCCGTCCCTTACCAGTTCTCTCCTAAGAGGGACTGACTCAGTATCAGTGCTTATCCTCATTGTCACAGTGCCTGTCTCTTGTCATTACCTTCACACATCATAGACTGCACATCCTCACAGGAAGAGGGAGTATGGAACAGAAGACATTTGGAAAGGCCGCATTCACATGACTTTATTTAGAGTATATTTTTGTAATTGTTTTATCTTATTGTTGCTAATCCCCTTTCTGTGCCTAAATAATAAACTAAATGTTATCGTAAGTACTTCATTAGGAAAAAATAGACATAGGGCTTGGTATTCCCTATGGTTTCAGGCATCTCTGGAGTGTCAAAGATTCTCTTTCCTGTAATCAGGGCAGTCACTGTTAGGTCAGCAGTAGATCTTTGGGGTTGGATAGTCCTGAGCTTACCAGCTTTCTCATCTCCTGCCTTAGTCTTAAGACAGTGTACTTTCTGAGCTCCAGCATCAACAGCTGTAAAATGGAGTTCATCTTGATGTCATAGGGAATGTGTAAGATGAAAAGAAATAGGGACTGGAGAGACAACAACTCTGATTAATAGTGCCGCCTGCTCTTCCGGAGGACTTGAGCTTGGTCTCCAGCACTCACTGGACAGGCTCACAACTACCTGTGACTCCAACTCTAGGGGCATCTTACACCTGGCCTCTGCAGACACCTGCACTCAATTGCATACACCCACACACAAGTGTGCACAATTAAATATAAAATCTATTTTAAAAAGGAATGCTGGGCTGGGCGGTGGTAGCACGTGCCTTTAATCCCAGCCCTCGGGAGGCAGAGCCAGGCCTCTGTGAGTCGAGGCCAGCCTGGTCTACAGAGCAAGTTCTAGGACAGGCTCCAAAGCTACACAGAGAAACCCTGTCTTAAAAACCAAAAAAAAAAAAAAAAAGTAAAGGATCTTGGGGTTGGAGGGATGACTCAGTGGTTAAGAGCACTGGCTACTCTTCCAGGTTCAATTCCCAGCACCCATATGGCAGCTCAGAACTCCATTCCCAGGGGACCTGATACCCTGTTCTGGCCTCTGTGGGCTCTGTGCACCAGAGATATACCAGAATATATTGGGAGTCTAGGGGAGAGGGCAGTGCCATCTTTCTGCCCATGAAATCTACCCATGTATATGCACATGTGGCCAGAGATTTTTAAAAATGATTTTTAATCATGTGTATGTTTTGTATCTCGTGTGGGTATATGCTTATGTGTATAGATGCCCAAGGAAGTTAGCAGTGTTGGTTCCCCTGGATCTAGAATTACAAGAAGTTGTAAGTTGCCTGACGTGTGCCAGGATTAAACTCTGGTTCTTTGGAAGAGCTATCCATGCTCTAAACCACTAAGCCTTCTTTCCAGCCCTGAATTACTCATTCTTAGTAAGACAGACACTCTGTCTCCTAACTTTCAACAGTCCTCCCAGGAGCCCACAGTGTATAGCAGCTCTTGAATGCAGTTCATGGCAAAGCCTTAGGAAGCCTACCACGGAAAGGCACAGTGAATCTGACATGAGAGCAAGTGAAAGCAACACTGACGGGCCTGGGTGCTCACTTAGGAGTTTGGCCTTTATCTCGTCCAAGGATGATCCATAGAAGGAAAGGTTTGGGGTAGAAGAATGGTTCGATCATTAGAGACTCAGAAGAGCTACCTGGGTTGGCTAGCATGGTGAGCATTCCAGTGAGTCAAGGCTGGAGCCAGGCTGGAGTTGCCTAGATAATCAGTGACCTGTCCTGACCTCTTACATGCAAGTCGACAGGTTTCAAGGGAGTAATACCAACAGGTTTATACCTTCTTAGGACTCTCAGGAAGAAGGCAAGAGAATTTAAGGTGTTTTTGATGGACCCATGAATCAAAGGGGGCTGACCAAGAGGAGCAACTGGTGTGGGGGAGTAAATTCCATTGCAGCCATAATCTGTACAGCCTTGGAGGCGAAGAGATGGGCCGAAGACCTGGTTGTAGGCCCTGGGGAAAGTCACAGGAGTAGAGGAATGTGGTTTAGTTGATAGAGTGCTTGCCTAGTATACATGAATCCTTAGGTTTGATTCTCAGCACTTCATAAACCAGATGTGGTTGTGCATGCCTGAAGTTGAAGACAGGAGGATCAGGAGTTCAGAGTCTTCCTCTGCTACATAATGAATTTGAAGTCAGTCTGGGATGCACAACACTATGTCTCAAAAACAAAAAAAAAAACAAAAAAAGAAAAAAAAGAAAAAGAAAAACCCAGGAATAGACAAGGCCACTCACTGATGAGCATGTGTAGGGAGAGGGGCTGAGCAGGAGGATAGGCCTGGTCGGTCTATATGGGGCTAGGGAGTAAAAGCACCCGGTCCATCCTTTTGATGGTTCCACTTCTTTGGGTAAAACACATTCAGTCATGTGTTTACACATATCATAAACATACATATACACAGAAATGAATAGGTATGTGTTTTCTTGTAATGTTCAGTCCCCGAAGAAAATCAAGAAATTCATATTAGCTCCTTTAGAGGAAGAGAATTGTGTGCTGGAGGTTGGGAGGGAGGCAAGACCTAAAGTGTTGGCACATCTTTTGAGTACCAAGTCTGGTATCTGTAACCATGAAAACGTCGTCAGTGGTGCTCCCCCCTTGCAGGCCGCCCACTCTCGGGAGCTCTCGTTCACCTGTCCCTTCTTAATCCATGTCGGTTCTAAAGAAAATGCCTTTAGTTTTTAAAGTTGGGGAAGGAAGTCTTGATCAGAGCTCACAATGAGGTTGATGTGAGCAGATTAAAGCAGCAAGTGCTGGTCAAGGAGCTAGCCCTGCTTCCCTCTGGCCACGGGGCTGCTGTTTTCTGCCGGTGAATTTGGTGATACCCGGTAGTTGTTGGCTGTTGTTGTTCTATAGAGAAACAGAGTCTTTGCATAATTAGGAAAAAATGTGAGAACCAAGTAAAGGGATAACCAAGGTGGTTCTGGGAGAAGAACGACAGAAAGATGCTTGGGAAGACACTAAACAAACTGAAAGTTGATGGTGCTGAGGGAGTGGAGTCAGCCTCATGAGGTCAGCTGGTGACAGGAGAAACCCAGGGCTGGGGCTGGCAGTGTGGCCTGAGTTTTGGTACTTGTACTTTCAGTATCCCTTTGTGACAGGAACTCCCAACTCCCTTTCATGGTGATTTGGGTTTTTGTTTTATTCAGGGAGAAACTCCTTTGCATACAGCTTGTCGGCATGGCCTGGCCAACCTCACAGCAGAGCTCCTGCAGCAAGGTGCCAATCCAAACCTGCAGACAGAGGAGGCGCTGCCTGTGTCTAAAGAGACTCCGGTCCTAATGGGTTCTGCAGATGGCATCTACCTGCAGACACCGTTGCACATGGCAATTGCCTATAACCATCCAGATGTGGTGTCTGTCATCCTGGAGCAGAAAGGTAGGTGGTTGAGCAGATGTCCATTGTTGTGAGCTGTGGAAAGTAGTGGTTTGGGCAGCTGATTTCAGAGGCTGCTGTTTCCCTTTGTGAGTCTTATACAGCTGTTTCTGTAGTTCTCACAATGCAGTCTCTGCAGTGGAGTCTGTTTTTGTTGTCTGGGGAATGTGGACGTTTTAAGAAAATTAATTTACCTTTAAAATTTTGCTCCCTTTGAAAAGCAGTTAATTCTGGCCAGCCAATTAGTTTATAACTGAGTCTTATCCTCTTGAATGTCTTAAATGTAATCTGAGGAGCCAGGTGTGGTGGCTCATGCTTATAATCCCAGCAGTCAGGAATCAGACAGGAAGATCGCCAGAAATTTGAGGCCAATCAGGGCTACCAGTGAGATCCTGTTTTCCTCCTCACCTCCACCTTGATCAAAAAAAAAAAAAAAAAAAAAAAAAAAAGAAAGAAAGAAACTGATTCTGTCATCCATAGGATGGTGAAATCAAGTTAAGTTTCTTTTCCTTTTAAAAATATTTAGCCAATGCTCTTCATGCCACCAACAACTTACAAATTATTCCGGACTTCAGCCTCAAGGATTCCAGAGACCAAACTGTGCTAGGCCTAGCGTTATGGACTGGTGAGTTATGTCAAAGGCTGTTGATTCTCAGATAGGAGATGAGTAGGTGGGTAGTCTAGAGGGGGCAGGAGGAAGTGGCAGGTAGACTGGAGGGAGCAGGAGGAAGTGGTGGGTAGACTGGAGGGGGCAGGAGGAAGTGGTGGGTAGACTAGAGGAGGGCAGGAGGAAGTGGCGGGTAGACTAGAGGAGGGCAGGAGGAAGTGGTGGGTAGACTGGAGGAGGGCAGGAGGAAGTGGCGGGTAGACTGGAGGAGGGCAGGAGGAAGTGGCCGGTAGACTAGAGGAGGCAGGAGGAAGTGGCGGGCTAATGATTTTGTTGTAAAATAACTTTTTGCCTGTTATGTTCACTGAAAACTTGCTGCCTTTGAGAAGCTTGTCTGTCTGTTATCAGGGCCGTGGGAAAAGCCAAGTGCATGACGGGCATGTTTATTTCCCAGGCATGCACACAATCGCTGCCCAGCTTCTGGGCTCTGGAGCGTCTATCAATGACACCATGTCAGATGGGCAGACTTTGCTGCACATGGCCATACGGAGGCAGGACAGTAAGAGTGCACTCTTCCTCTTGGAGCACCAAGCCGATATAAACGTCAGGTGGGAGGAGTAGCATGCTCTCTGTAACTCCAGGTCATTTGTAATTGAGATGCTTCAAAATCAGAGCCTGGCTTTTAGATTGGATTTTTTTTTTTTTTTTAAATTCCTTGTGGCTCTCAGAATGTGTAAATGGGAGTCAGGCCTGGGTGGTGCATACCTATAATTCCAACTGCTTAGGAGACAAGGCAAGAGGCTAGTTTAAGGCCTAATTGAGCAAGTCAGAAAGACTGTCTCAAAATGAAAAATTTCAGAAGGGCTAGGAAGTAAGCATGTGGCACACACCCTTTAATCCCAGTACTCGAGAGTACAAAGCAGGCAGATCTTAGTGACTTGAAGGCTAGCCTGGTCTCCCCAGTGAGATCCTGCCCCTAAAAACAAAACATAAAAGAGTAGAGTGCAGCACTCTGCTAGAGAGCTTGCCTAATGTACTTGACTCCTATCCAGGATCTCCAAACAGTCTTATGTATCCTAGGCTTCCAGCTCTCTGTAGCTGAGGATGACCTTAAATTTCTGATCCTCCTCCCCACCTCTCCCAAGTGCTAAGATTGCAGGCATGTGTGCTGGGAATCAAGGCCAGGGCTTCATGAATGCTGGACAAACATTCCTACAACCAAGCTATATCTCCAGCCCTATTTGTTTGCTTTTTGACTACAATAGCGAGAGGGGGCTGGATTTTCTTTAAAGGTGGGAAAGACAGATACAGCTATTTTAGAGATCCAGTGGCATCTAGGCTTTGGAAAACCTGGATAGTGCTGTTTTCTTTGGCTGCCTTTACAAGCATTGGTTTTGATTGTGATGGTTATGTCTTGCTAGGACTCAGGATGGGGAGACTGCCCTTCAGCTGGCTATCAAAAATCAGCTTCCACTAGTAGTTGATGCCATATGTACTCGAGGAGCTGACATGTCTGTGCCAGATGAAAAAGGAAACCCACCACTGTGGCTTGCCTTGGCAAGTAATCTGGAAGACATCGCTTCCACTCTGGTGAGTCATGCATAACAGAGCCTGTGCTCACAGATGAGGATATGTTGTGTCGAAGATGGATTTGATGCCTGCTGTCATAGGAGCAAGAGGTCAGCCAAGTAACAAGCAGGTCAAGGACAAACAATGGAAAATCACATGAACAAGTCCAAGATTATAGGTCTGGAGAGATGATTTAAGAGTATTTGTTCTCACAGAGGATCCAGATTTGACTTCCAGCACCCACATGATAGTTCACAACCGTAACTCCAGTTCAGGGAATGTGATGCCCTCTTCTGACATCAGCAGGCACCAGGAATGCATGTGGTACACAATCATACATGTGGGGAAAAAAACCACTCATATGCATAAAAATAAAACAAGTTTAACAAGGTCTAAGGCTCAGCCAGGCATGGTTGTGTTCACTTTCTCAGCACTGGGTAGGTAAGGCTGTGCATCTCTGAGAGTACAAGGTCAGCCTCGGCTACAGAGCAGGTTCCAGACTATGCAGTGAGACCCTGTCTGGGGCGGGAGGGAGGGTAGTACTTGGTGCTGGCCAGTACTTCTATCTGGGCTGTCTTAAGAGACAACCACAAAGGAGTGCTCGAGTGGAAGGATTGTCTCAGGCATCTCCTGGTGGGGGCTGATTTGATGCTGTGACCATCAGCATATTACTAAATCCCCAAATCTCAGGTTTGTCTATATGTTGACAAGACAGATCTAAGAAGTGAGGTAAGCCTGGAGTCTGAGGGCCTGCATAATGACATGGAGGTATGTTGTACCTGAGGATTTTATCAACTGTTTTGAGGGATTACCTATTAATTACAGGTGTGTGTTGCTAGGGGACTTTGGAGTAGACATACAAACAGACACTGTCCTTAATAGAACACAACTGATGAGTACTAATGTGTACTTCTGAAAACATGCTCCTAGGACGCAGTTTAAGATTTTGCACAGAGCAGCTTATATTTATTATAATTTTTTAATGTGTATGATGTTTTTCCTGCATATATGTCTGTGCACCATGTGCATGCCTGGTGCTCATGGAGGCCAGAAAAGGGCATCAGATCCCCTGGAACTGGAGTTACAGATGGTTGTAAGCCACTGTGTGGGGACTGGAAATCAAACCGGTATCCTCTAGAAGAGCATCCAGTGCTCCTAACCAATGAGCCAGCTCCCAAAGAGCAGATTTTAGTCCGTGTTTATAAGACTAATGAATGGTTATGATTGATAAAATCATCAGTTACTTGTTGACTATATCTTATCTGAAAAGTAATATACATATTGCTCAGAGTTGAAATTAACATTTTTACTTTTGCTCGACAATGTGAGAAAACTGTGTTTCTCTGCAGGTCAGACATGGTTGTGATGCCACGTGCTGGGGCCCAGGACCCAGTGGGTGTCTTCAGACACTTCTGCACAGAGCCATTGATGAAAATAATGAGTCCACTGCCTGCTTTCTTATTCGAAGGTCTGAGAAGCCCAAGTATCTCTCTCTTACTCTGCTTACTGCCAACCGCTTCTTCCTCATGTTAAGTCACATGCATGTAGTTGGCCTTGACTTTCATAATTAAGATTATCAAGGGGCAACTGTTCTGTCATGTCAGGTCAGCTAAGAATCAAGCTAGCTGCGGAGGAGGGAGGGGCTCACATGCCTGGATCAGAACCATCTTCTGCTTCGTTGATTGCATTGACCCCTTTTACCTTCAGACCAGTTCCTGCTGTGGAGGCGAGGCTAGCTTGGAGGAGACCATATGGGCTCCTCTGGGCCCCACCACAACACAGGAACCGGAAAAGCTTGTAGCCCGCCGGGCAGCAGTGGTGCATGCCTTTAATCCCAGCACTCAGGAGGCAGAGGCAGGTGGATCTCTATGAGTTCGAGGCCAGCCTGGTCTACAAAGCGAGATCCAGGGCAGGCACCAAAACTACATGAAGAAAACCCTGTCTCGAAAGAAAAAAAAAAAAAAAGCAAGGTTAATTTGGGAAACTTTGCAAATAGTGTTCCTCAACATTTAAATATGTGCATATCCTTAGGAAATCTGCAACAGTTCTGATTCCCAGGTTGCCCCTAAGACCAATTGCAAGAGAGGCTATGGCAGTGGCACCCAGGCTCTCGAACTTGATGCCAAGGATCAGGGCTAGCAGAATGTGGCAGCGATGGCTTTGTTGTTAGAGTGGGTAAAGCTGCTGCTCTCTAGCACATGCTGCTAGGCCAGGTGGATGGTGACTCTGTTTCCCTATTTTAGTGGCTGTGATGTGAATAGTCCCAGACAACCAGGTACTGATGGAGAAGGAGAAGAGGAGGCAAGAGATGGGCAGACCCCCCTGCATTTGGCAGCCTCATGGGGGCTGGAAGAGACAGTTCAGTGTCTTTTGGAATTCGGTGCCAATGTCAATGCACAGGTATATAGTTTTTCTTTTCTGGGGAGGTAAACTTAAAGGAATCTTCTCTTGTGACAAAGGACCTTGTACATTCTCCAATTCTAGACTTCTGTTTTACCAATTGGGCTTTATTATGACAGATAGTGACCTTGAGTCATGTAGGCTGTCTGGTAATTGAATTGATTTCAGGTTAATTCTCTGTGCCTTGCTTTTCAGCATAAAGAAGGTTGTTTGATCTGTTGTACCTTCTTCTTAGTTCCCTTAAAGATTTCCACACAAAATGGGGTTAGTCTCACACTGAGGACTAAGGACTGTATTTTAAGGACTGTGTCCCATTAATTAGCTCACTGATGCTCTTCAGCGTTCAGACCTGTGGAGGGAGTATCTTTGTGAGCTTTTGTCTGTCTGTCTGTCTGTCTGTTAGCAGACAAGAGGACAACCTTGGGTGTTTTTATTCAGGCACTGTCCAACTAATAGATTTTTTAAGATTATTTACTTTTATGTTTCGCGTGCATGTATGTAAAAGTGTACTATGTGTGTGCCTGGTGCCAGAAGAGACCAGAAAAGGGCACTACATCCCCTGAAACTGGAGTTACAGGCAGTTGTAAGCCTTCATATAGCTACTAGAAGCTGGGGTCCTCTGAAAGAGCAGGAGCAGCCAGTGTTCTTAAATGCTGAGCCATCTCCCCAGCCCCAAAATCCACCTTATTTTCAGACAGGGTCTCCAGTTGGTCTAAGACTGGACAGCTAGGCTGGCTGGCCAGTAAGCTGCAGAATCTACCTGTCTTACCTTCTCCAACACTGGAATTACAAGCCCATGCTCTGTACATGGGTCTGAGGATCAAGCCCCAGTTGTCACATTTGTGAAGCAAATCCTTTACTGCCTGAGCCGGCTCCTCAGCTCCAGAACACTGTAGATTTACAGCCGATGCTTCATCAGCAGAGAGTTGTGGAAATGAGAGCTGAGGACGAAACTGTGTTTGTGCTGGGCTCTCGCTACCACTGGGGCAGTGTGGTCACTGGAACTGTGAGAAGTGTGGTGGAGAGAAGCTGCCAGTCATCTTTATGCTTTACCTCTTTAAAAACTGATTTCAAACACAGGGTCTCATAACTGAAATTTATTTTAAAAATTGCCTCCCTTCATATTGTTCCTGAGTTTTATCTTTCCATTAGCCATGGGAGTTTGTCTCTTATCTCCGTAGGATGCAGAAGGAAGAACACCTATCCATGTGGCCATCAGCAACCAGCATAGCGTCATCATTCAGCTGTTGATTTCTCACCCTAACATTGAGTTGAGTGTACGAGACAGACAAGGGCTGACCCCTTTCGCCTGCGCCATGACTTACAAGAACAATAAGGCAGCTGAGGCCATTCTAAAGCGAGAGTCTGGGGCTGCTGAGCAGGTCAGTGACTAGCCACCACCGTTCGCCACAGCAGAACTTCTCATATGGAGACTAGCCAGAAGCCACAAGGTCCCTTCTACACAAAGACACTTGTTTTAAAATTCACTTCCCCCTTTTCTGAAAATGTAGCTGTTCCAGTGTCTGTGTCTGGTGGCTGAGGGCTGACCTGGTGATATGGACAAGGCTGGGGAAGGGAGCTTACTTGAGGGCCTGGCATTAGAATTCTGTGGGTATGCAGCTGAGCTCACTCTCTGCATTTGCTGGATGCTCTAATAATGAATGCCTCTAAAATACTAACAAACACTGAATTTGAGGTACTTGTGTTGTTTGTCAACTTTTTGAGTGTTTTAGAGGCATTGTTACTGAGCGTATGCATTTCCCTGGTTCTTTGCCATTTCTTTATCATTTCCTAAATCCTGGTTACAACTTGTTTATCTACAACAGTGGGTGGGAAATGACGATATGATTTGATGTGCAGTGAAAGCTGGAATACGTTTGTCAGGTCAGTCCCACAGAAACCCGATTCCAGCCAGCTTGTAGAATTTTGCCAAGACTTAGAAGTAGCCATTTATGGCCAGGCGGCGGCAGTGGCACGCCTTTAATCCCAGCACTCAGGAGGCAGAGCCAGGTGGATCTCTGTAGTTCGAGGCCAGCCTGGTCTACAGACTGAGATCTAGGACAGGCACTAAAACTACACAGAGAAACCCTGTTTCGAAAAAACAAAACAAAACAAAAAAACAACAAAAAAGAAGTAGCCATTTATGATGATGAACAGAGACATGAGCCTGAATGAAATGCAGTCCTGGTACGAAGATGACTGCTTTCTTAGCACAAGCTTTGATACCTTGCCTTTATTATTTTCCTACGTCTGACTGGATATATAGCTTTTAACTTTGCCCATGCTCAGACTGAGTATAAGATAATCATGAATGGGGTTCTCCATCTAGAATGAAACTGGTACTATTTATTGATCTGAGTCCTTTGCAGATTTTATTTACTCCAGCACACACAGTCGACATGTGTGGAGGTGGGCGTGGGGGTAATGCAGAGTGTGGAGTGTGTTGTCCTCCCTTGAACACTTGTACTAATGTATTGATGATTTTCTCTAACTACAGTATATGGTAGGGTTTGATTTGAGGAAGGTGTTCTGGCTACTTCATATCAGCTTGTCTGGGATCTGCCTCCCATTGTGTGTCATTTACTCTAAAGCTTAAGAAAATTTCTGATGCCTGTTTGGCTACTCAGGGAGTGAGATGGGTATCTGGTTTGGTCAAAGCAGAAGCCTTGCAGCTAATCATTAGCTCTTCAAGTGCCTGTCTTTCAGTTTGTCCAGCTCCTACTCTAAGGGTGCCAGGGCAGTGGCTCCTACTGTAAGGCAGTGCCAGGGGGTGGGGTGGCATTTTCTGTTGGAGCTCTGGAACTGAGGAAGGATGTTCCATGACCTCCCCAGTGACCCACTCAGCTTGTGGGCATGCAAGAGGATCCCACTCTTTAAGGGGAGCTGGCTAATAGTGTGGTTCTTACTTGTTTGTTGTTATAGGTAGATAATAAAGGTCGGAATTTTCTTCACGTGGCAGTTCAGAACTCTGACATCGAAAGTGTCTTGTTCCTGATCAGTGTCCAGGCCAATGTGAACTCCAGAGTCCAGGATGCTTCCAAGTTGACCCCACTGCACCTTGCTGTTCAAGCAGGCTCAGAGATCATTGTCCGAAATCTGGTAAGCAACGGAGCAACATGTGAAGCCAAGCATGCTTCAGGGTATGTGCAGAATTTGTCCTTGGAGCTGTTGTGTATGAAAGGCATAAATCTGGGCAACTAAACCAGGAAGACAGATGTGTCAAGAGGTTGCAGGTCCCAAGTGCCCTAGTACACATGCTAGAAGTAGACGTAGAGATGCTGGACTCAGGCCTTGAGGGCCAAGGAGGTTTTGACAGACAACAGAAAAACACTCGAGGTCAGCAGTGTTGTTTGCCTACTATCAGGCTCTCAGCTAAGACTTTTCTCCTCCCTCCCTCCCTCCCTCCCTCCCTCCCTCCCTCCCTCCCTCCCTTACTTGCTGTGTTTGTCCTTTTTTTCCGCCCCCACCCTGCTAACCTGGATGACCTGGAACTCTCTATGCAGATCAATCTGACCTCAAACTAACAGAGATCCACCTGCCTCTGTCTCTGCCTGCCTCCCAAGTTCCACCATTCCCAGATTAGCTGAGACTTTTGAATGAGCTGTCTCTTAATTCTCAGAACTCCAGAAGGAAAGCTTTATACATGTGCAATAAAGAGAGTAGGTTAAAAAGAATCCCCCCAGGCTCTTCTATAGTAATTCATGTAACTAGACTTGCACTTAACTCAAAAGCCTGACTTTCCAGCACAACATAATGTCAGAAAGGGAACAGGCCTGAAAAAGAAAGTGTATGGTGGTTAGACAGAATGTATGTGGATATTTTATATAGAGGAATTTGTTTGAAATTTGAGAATTGTAAGCAGTATGGACATTCCTGTATAATACAGAGAGTCTAATTTGCAGTTTTAGTGTACTGAAGTCTTAGAATTACTATGTCCTTAAGGGACAGCCATTGAACATACTGGTGGATTATTTGCCTTTGCCGCTGGTTTTCCTGTGTTTGCTTCAATAGGAATTTCTGCAAGATCTTCTTGCATTCAAGCTCTGCCAGGAGGGTAGATTGTCAGTTTCTATAGATAAGAGAAGACCTGTAGACTTGGCCCTACTAATGGGACCTTGAACTATGGGAGAGGCTGATTGAGTAATCAACTTTAACAGCTTCTTGCAGGAGCCAAGGTGAATGAATTAACCAAGCATCGTCAGACCGCCCTCCATCTTGCTGCCCAGCAGGACCTGCCCACCATCTGCTCAGTCCTTCTAGAGAATGGAGTGGACTTTGCTGCTGTGGATGAGAATGGAAATAATGGTAATTGCTAGGCATCACATTATGTGCAGTGCTGTGTGCTTGGGCAGTCCTGCTCTACAGTGGAGTTGCAATGCACCCTTGGGTCTGTTCCCCCTCAGGAAGGTTCACTTATACAGGAACAGAGCTCTGGACAGGTCCTGCCACTGAACAGCTTCCCAATTTGATCATAACCCTGGTAGTCTAAACTATTTAGTTTTTCAGTTGCATTTTTAAAAATCATTTAAAAGTAGGTCTGTGTAGGGGAATGTACACGTGAGTGCCAGTGTCCTCAGAGGCCAGAGGTGTTGGATCCTTAGGAACTGGAGTTATAAACTATTGTGAGCTGCCTGGCTTGGGTGCTAGGAATTGAACTAAGGTCCTCTGCAAGAGCAGTGCATGCTCTGAACCATCTCTACAGCCCAGTGACTTTATTTTGTTTTTTATGTACGTTTCTAGAGGATAATTTACAGGAGTCAGTTCTGTCATACATGTGGATCCTGGGGATTAAATTTAGGTCTTAAGGCTTGTTGGCAAGTACCCAGTGGTCGGTCTGACTGTCTGAGTTACTTTTCTACTGCTCTGACAATGCGCCATGACTATCATGGTAGGGAGCATGGCAGCAGGTAGGCCAGCATGGTGCTGCAGCAGTAGCTGACAGCTTCCATCTCAGCCACAATCATGAGGCAGAAAGAGCGCTAACTGAGAATGGCGTGGGCTTTTGAAACTTCAAATCCCACCCTCAGTGACACACCTCCTCCAACAAGACCATGCCTCCTAATCCTTCCCAAACAGCTGCACCAAATATACCAAATAGAGAATCATCAAATATAGGATCCTATGGGGCCATTCTCATTCAAACAGTGAGAGACGGAAAGCAAACACAGAGACAGAAGCCATTAAATCTCATGCCGGTAAAACCACCAGCATAGGAAGCAGCGCTTAAGACATTGCACTGATGACTTAGGGTGGGGTAGGGAGAGGATATGAAAGGATGGCTCTGTACTTGGCTGAGTGCATTTAGATGGGGTCAGGAGGAGACAGAGCTTTCTCTGTGTGCTTCTGGACTCGCACAGTAAGAGGATTTGCTTCCCAGCTCTTCATCTTGCGGTCATGCATGGTCGACTCAACAACATCCGAGCTCTTCTGACCGAGTGCACAGTGGATGCTGAAGCCTTTAATCTGAGGTGAGTGTGACTGGTCCAGCCACAGACTAGGGTACCTGGTGGCCTCGCCTATTGCCTCCCCAAGCCCCAGGTGCACTGGGGTAGCCTTTGGTTCATGGTAGTTTTGATTTTGTAATGACTACTTTTTAAAAATCTACTTTTGTCTGGTATAATAGGTCCTTTAGATTTAGTTAAGATCACAGAGTTCAGAAAATTCCTTCTTTGGTGTGACAGTTAAGACAGATACATGTCTAACCTTTGCAACTCGTTTTTATCAGAGGCCAGTCACCACTACACATTCTGGGACAATATGGCAAAGAGAATGCAGCAGCCATCTTTGATCTCTTCTTAGAGTGCATGCCTGAATATCCTCTGGACAAACCAGATGCAGAAGGTAACACAGGTATGCAAATAAGGTGTCTGAATCTCAGCAACTGTGGAATGTCTCTACCATGGAATCAGGTGTCTGACATCTGAAATGCTTCAGGTACTCCAGAACCTCATCCCTGTGACCAGGCAGGCCTTTACAGTTGTAATTACTCTTAATCTGCCTTTTACTCGGTTAACCAGGACCCTTCCATGCTTCTGTTTGAGCAGAAATAAGATATAACCAAGACTCAGGGGCTCCAGGAAATATGCCTCAGTACCTGTGACATGCTTTGAAGAAGTAGCAAGTTCTACCTAGGTGCTTTCTTGACAAGGATAATAAGCAGGCCTCTCTAGTTTCTTACTTTTATGTGTTTTTGACATGCTTTTGCAATCAGTCTACTCAAGCTACTTGCCCAGGTTGTAGCTTAAGAAGCATGTAGGAAGAGACTTTATGTCCAGGGTTCTGATTCATGGAGACTTAGTTTCAAGTGTCTCTTTGTGTTATATTTTAAAGGTGATTGAGTAAATTCTTAGCCTTGTACCCATGTCCTCATTTGATGCTAGGATTAAGAGCCCTCTTGTTACTGCATCATTTTGAGTTAAAAATTTAATCAAGTGTCAGCTTAAGGGAAGCCAAGGGAGCTGCTGCTAGTTGTAACTGTAGAGAAGAACAGAATAGTTAGATCAGAGCTTAGCTTTCTGCTGGGACAGCATTTCACAAAGAGTGGCTCCTTTGGATGGAAGAACATTCTAGAACATGTTCCTATACTAATTTTACTTCTCTGTATGTACCGAAATCACAAGTCTTTATATTTAGTTACATGGCAAATAGCTTTGTCTTTAGTGGTAAAAGCAGTGATTTTTGACTGGGGAAGCCAACTGAGAAAACTTTTTTTTTTTTCCCTATGTTGGATCTCTACATTAGTTTTTTATTACAGACCTCAACTATAGTATCACCTGGTTTCTGGCTGAACCCTTTTTTGGAAGACATACCAGATTCTGCATGGAGTTCTCACTAGCACTTCAAACTCTTCCATGTCTGCAGACGACTAACAGTGTCCTGTCAGTGCTCTGCTCTGCCTGCCCTTCAGCACTGGCCAGCTGGACTGGTGGGCAACAGCCTTACCTGCGGTTTTGTTTTCCAGTGCTGCTCTTAGCATACATGAAAGGGAATGCCAACTTGTGCCGTGCCATCGTTCGGTCTGGGGCTCGCCTTGGGGTGAATAATAACCAAGGAGTCAACATTTTCAATTACCAGGTTGCCACTAAGCAGCTTCTGTTTAGATTATTAGGTAAGCAGCATACTTTCTATACTCTTCTGCAAGCACAGTTATAATGTTGATGTGTAGAAGTACTGGTGATCTTTAAATCTCTGTCTTTTGGGGGGTGGGGTGGTTTTTGAGACAGGGTTTCTCTGTGTAATAGTTCTGGCTGTCCCTGAACTCAATTTGTTAGCCTCAAACTCACAGAGATCTGCCTGCCTCTGCTTCCCTAGTGCTGGGATTAAAGGCATGCGCTACCACTACCTGGCTCTAAATCTCGTAATTTTCTCTGAGATCTGAACCTGCTGCTTCCAGGCACCATGTAAGGCTCTTTCTATGAAAGGGGAAGGGCCTCTTTTCAGAGTGCTTGCTGTGACAGCCCTATCGTTTTCCCATTTCCCCTAAACTTTTATGAAGCCCACAAGCTCTCAGCTGGTCATACTGACTATGCCTTTTGGCTGGTTTTATTTATTTAATAATTTTTAAAGACTTATTTTTTTGTATGAGTGTTCTGCTTGAATATATGTATGTGTACCATATGCATGCTTGGTGCCTGTGGAGATCAGAAGAAGGCATCAGGTCCCTGGAACTGGAGTCAGGGGTGGTTGTGAGCCCCAATGTGGTACCAGGAACGAAACCTGGATCATTTGCAAGAAAAACAAATGCTCTTAACTATTGAGCCATTTCTCCAGCCCTCAACTCTTTTTTCTTACTTGTGTGTTTTTATGCCTTTCTTTTGAGATAGTAGCAAGAATTAGAATATCCTAAGCTGGGTGTGGTGATGGCAAACATGTATTATCCCAGCAAGAAGTTCAAGAGATGAAAGCCAGGGGATGGAGAGACCTGGGTTGTTCCCACATGGGAATCCAGTGCTCTCTTCTGGCCTCGAGGGGCAATGCACACATGGTGTACATACATACATGTAGGCGAAACACCCATACGGATAAAATTAAATTTAATTTCAATTAAAAAAAAATTGAAAGCCAAGGGCCATCAAATGACTGTGTGGATAACCAAGGAGTCAACATTTTCAATTTGAAAGTATGCTGCTTACCTAAGGTGCTGAGTTTAGCCCCCAGAATCCATGTAAAGGTGAAGGAGGGACTAATTCTACACAGTTGGCTCTTGACCTCCACAGGCAAGCTGTACTTGTATCATACCCCACAGCTCCACTAATAAACAACTTTGAAATCTTTCACAGCCAGTTTGAGCTACAGAGCAAATCAGTGGGTGACATGTAATGACAAAGAGAATGAAAATAGCACCAAGAAAGGAAGGGGAGGGGACAGAAGGATGCTGGATGCATCGCCAGCTACAGTTAGTAGAACTAAGGTCTGGTGTTCTCCAGCACATTAGTGCTGCTATGCTAACAATTCCATATTTGATAAAGAACTAGAAAAAGGAATTCATGTGTTTCCAGCACAAAGAATGATAAAGCTTAAAGGAAAGGGGAAGGCTAATTATCTTGATTTGATCATCACATATTGGTACATCATCAGATCTTCATACCATTATCTCAGAAATAAAATTTATCAAGTGTCAAATTAAAACTTTTCAGAGGGTCAGCAGGATGGCTCAGCAGGTAAAGTGTGTGCTGCCCAAGCCTGATGACCTGGGTTCTATTCCTGAAACCCACATAAAGGTAGGAGAGAAATGACACCGCAGAGTTGTCCTCTGGCTGTCACATACACACATGCACCCACACATATACTTTATTTTTAAAGATTTTCTTTTCTTTTTCTTTTTAATGGGGCTGGAGAGATGCCTTAGTGCTGGCTTCTCTTTGAAGAACCAGGTTCAATTTCCAGCATCTACGTGGTAGAGCACAGCCATTTGTAACTTCAGTTCCAAGGGATCTGACACTCATCTTCTGCCACCCTCTATGCATATGGCAAAAACGTACATGCAGACAGAATGCCCATACATGGAAAAAATAAAATGAAAAGTTGTTTTTTTGTTTTTGTTTTTTTTTTTTTTTAAGAAAAATGCACTTATTTTTAAAGGATTTTTAAATTTCTGTGAATGTATGTATACCTGTGTGAGTTTATATGTACCTCTTTCATGTAGGTGCCCTCAGAGACCAGAGGGTGTCATACCCCCTGGTATTGGAGTCCTTAACCATTGAGCTATCTCTCCAACCCTACTAATAATACTTACATATTTACATTTTAAAGGAACCTTTGTGTTGTTATACATAGTCTTAGTTGTCCCTATGGTATGCACTTGGTCAGCCTTTTCAGCACTCAGTAGGTGCCTGTGGCAATTCTAGCTCCATGTGTTCAACCCATTTGCTGCCCCTCTCTGTACAGAGCAACAGCACCCTGCCCAGGATACTTTGCCAATTTACAGAGTGCAACTGCAACTTGTCTGCATTAGTTTGTTCTTCAGGCCATCTCTCTGTTGGTCCCACCAGACTGAATCACGCTATCCAGAATCCCGAGATCCCTCTCTTTGTTGTTCACACATCCCACTTGTCTGTGGGACAAACAGCCCCCTAAATTCACAGATTCCTCTTCCTTGTTTCCTCTGTTGTGGTTCCCTCTACTGTTTCCAACCCTTGAGCCCCTGGCAGTTTTTCTGTGGTGTGGTCTCTGCTCTCATAGTGTGTTACCCCACACATGCCGCTGATTCACACCTCCAGCTGTGTTTCCTTCTGTTCCAGCATGCCTGGCAAATGCTGATTCTCCAGGCTCCTCTGTGAAGCTTCCCCTGACCAGTTGGAATGTCCTGCGCCTCCTCTGCAGCCTAGTCTGTCCAGCACATCACTGGGTAACAAGTAGTCTTCTGTGTGTGTTACAGATATGCTCTCCAAGGAGCCTCCGTGGTGTGACGGCTCCAACTGCTATGAGTGCACTGCCAAGTTTGGAGTCACAACTCGCAAACATCACTGGTAAGAAAGGCCCCACCGTCATTTGCAGAGAAGCAGGAGCTTCAGCTGTGTCATCACTTCCGTACTTGTCCATGATGAGCCACGAGCCTGTCAGGGCCTGAGCCACTCCTGGGCAGAAGTTAACCAGACAGAATGAGGAGATGGTAGAACTGAGCAGGATCCACTGTGAAGGGAGAATAGGGAAAGCAGGAGTACCCAGACTTGCGGCTTTCCTGGGTGCTAAGGTTCCATCACTGCCTCACAGGGTGCTAAGGACTAGATGGCAGTCTTAGCAAGGTGGGCAGCTTATAGTCTTGCTGTTTGCTTTAGCTTAGCTACTAGTTGGTATTTTGTTAAGAACTAAATATGATATGGGACTTGGTGTGATTTGGCTGGCAGTTGGCAGAGTTGGCCACAGATGCCAGTCAGAGTTCCCTGGCCATTTGGGAACAGTCTGCTTTTCAGTGCTCCTCACACTTCTTTCTTTGCCTCCACAGTCGTCACTGCGGCCGTCTTCTCTGCCATAAATGCTCAACCAAGGAGATTCCTATTATAAAGTTTGACCTGAACAAGCCTGTGCGGGTTTGCAACATTTGCTTTGATGTACTGACTCTGGGTGGAGTCTCCTAGTGAGCCCCAGGAGGGTCCAGGCCTGCATCCCCTGGTACCTCCCCAGCAGCTGCTCTACTCACCAGCCTGCCTCCTACCCAGAGCAAGAGCTGGCAGTTGTCTTCCTGTGGCAGAAGACTGGAATAATTACAGACCCTGGTGTGACCCATTTCAGATGATTCTGTCTGACTGTCAAGCTGTGGTCTATTGCACTAGATGTCTCACTGGTCGGACCAGGCCAGTGTAGCCTGGGTGACCCGTGTGATAGGCACCGGCTAGCAGCACACAAGGACACTTGGAGTCAATGTTCCCTTCTGATAGTATAGTGTCCATCTCGGAGAATTCCGTCTTCCTGCCTGGGCTGACTCAGAGGCAGAGCCTGACAGAGTAGAGAGCAGCTGCCAGACAGAGCTGATTACTCTAGGGTGGTGACTCCTCTCCGCGGCTATGGCCTTTAATGCACAGTGTTTTCATAAAGATAATAGGAACCTCTTGCCCTCAAGTCTTTTCTTTCTTTTTTAAGCTAAGCTGTATTTTTTAGTGAGCTGCCCCTTTTAAAAAGGTGAAATCTTTCTAAACAGGGTTCAAAGATGAGAGCTGAAAAATTGTGGCCTTAACAACCGAAAGCTTTACCAATGTTGATACTGCTGGGTGTCCGAGTGCAGCGGCAGCTTGACACCCAGCAGCTGTCTCATTCTCTCGTCTTGCTGCGTCCTGTCTGTGGAGTCCTCAGTCGCTGCCACTTGAGTGGTACAAGAAATGCACTTTGACTGTGCTGCACTTTTTCTAAAGCTGCATCATTGGTGAATCCAACTCAAAAAGCCCTTCACATCCCTTCTATAGTGGCTCTGATGGCCAGCTCGGACTAAACCTCAGCACACACTGATCTTAAAGGGAAAACTACCAAGAAGGAAGAAACTCGTACTGACGAGAAAGATGAGTATGACTTGAGTCCAGGTCCTCTCTCCCTGACACATCCTTCCTGCTAAAAGCTTGCCGTGCATGCTGAGTGCTGCTGGGGCCAGTTCTGAGTAGTGCCCTGCCCATCAGAGCCAGCAGCCAAACTGTGAGCAGCCTGTTTTGGAAGTCTGGCTGAAATGTGGAGCAAGGCTCTGAAGCACAGGGCGTTGGTTCCTCCTGCTGCCTGTATTAACCCTGGGATGCTGGGCCTCTTCCTTTTTAATGTTTGGCCAGTGTTTTGGGTTGTTTCTGGCTTGGAATTTAATTTTTTTTTTTCAATTTTATTATATTGCACACTGAAGGAGAAAGTTCTACCACTTTTTTTTTTTTTTTTTTTGGTTTTTCAAGACAGGGTTTCTCTGTGTAGCTTTGCACCTTTCCTGGAACTCACTTGGTAGCCCAGGCTGGCCTCGAACTCACAGAGATCCGCCTGCCTCTGCCTCCCGAGTGCTGGGATTAAAGGCGTGCGCCACCCCTACCCGGCCACTTTTTTTTTTTTTTTTTTTTTAAAGAAACAAAAACACAACTACTCTGAGATGAACACTAGTTACACTCAGAGATTAGCAGTGTCAATCACACACACTGATCTTTTTGAGACAGTTGATAACCCCCCATTATCTGCATTAATGGAGTACGGATGTATGAATAAAGGGACTTCTTTTGGCATCGCTCCCTTTCTTGGCTAGTGGGAGGCCCTTTCTTGGCTAGTGGGATGTCCTCCATTCTGTAGAGTTAGACTCTTTAACTGCCTACACACATAGAAAATGTGCTGAGAAACCAGTGTGCTACTTCCTGAAAGTACTTGTGTGATTTATATGTTTAATATTAGCTTGTATGCAGGGGTTGAAAGGAAGAGTTACTTGGAGGAGTGCCACTGTCCCCCAGCCTGTGACTTACTTCATAGGGAGTTTTTATGGAAATATTTAGCCAGTCTTGGCCAACAACTATATGAAGGAAGCATGTGGTCTGTTTCCAATTTATTGTTGCCTAAAAGGGATCACAGAGACCTAGAATTTAGTTGGTGCCATGATTTCTTTAATGAGGAAGGTAATTATGGTTCCGCTATGAACCAAGGCGGGTGGCACACATAAACTTGGTTTATGATCACAGTGAGAGGGAAGAATAGGGAATCAGGGTGAAGCTGACCATTTTGTCCTTGCCCTACAACACCAGTTTCAGTAACAATTTTGCCTATAACTGTACTTAAAACCTGAAGATCATGCCCCAAAATATGTGGGTTCAAGCTTCTATTCCTTCAGAGGTCAACATAGTGACCAGCTATGGCAGAAAGAGGCTGTGTGACTTGAGCTCGGTACCCATGCTGCAGACATGGCTCAGGCATCCTTCCACAGCCCGACCATGCCCTGCTCCCTGCCCTACACTCCTGCTGTGCACTGCCCTGGCCAGGACCAGACTTCCTGTGTCTCTCCTGTGCTCTCTCCATGCTGACCAGACTTCACCATGGAACTGCTTAGCTGTTCTTGTTCAGTTTTAATCAGTACCTTGACAACTTGCAGCAAAACTTCATTTTATTAATTGAAAAAGCTGCCAGTTGTGAATGAGCAGAGCAGGAAGAATCAACGTCACTGAAACACAATTGCTGCATCAGTTAGCACTGCTGTGCTTGCCTAGCTGTTTAACTGCCTCTTATGCATCTCTAGTCTTACTGCATCATTAGGGCTTTTTGTTTTTTTTAGACAGGTACAAACCATGTGCTGATCGTAGCTAGTTTGCTGTGATCCTCTAACAGCGATGTCCCACCAGCTTAAGTGCCTACACTGAGGACTCCCTTGTTTCCAGTTGTCTTTCACTGGTGTCTCACTCAGTGATGTGTTACAACACTAGTTCTGGGCCTATTCCACCCCAAAAACTAATTCAGTCAAGGCTGAATATTAGACTGCTCAGTTCACCTGCCATATTCTCTCCAAGGAGTGGGGTCCACATGATGTTTTTACCCTCTACCTCAGGGCCCTGAGTTGTTTCTCACTACCTGTCAGCTTCCTCCTTTTCCTTGAATGGGTCTTTCAGGGAACTGGGTGTGTGGTCTCACTGCCCTTCCCAAGTCGTGCCTGCCCCCCATACTCAACTGTTCCAGCCCTAGGCTTGTTCGCAGACAAGGGGTGGAGGGCAAAGCCTCCATCTAGGATTTCCTTACCTGGAGAAAAGAACTTGGCTGAACTGCCAAATACTTCGGCCTGAGAGGCAGCAATAGCATCATGTACAAGTAAATGTATGCCTCCCTCACAAACACTGGCTTCCTTCAGGTCCAGCCCCCTAGAGCCACCTGAAGCCAAAGAGTTCCCTTGCCAGCCCAACAGAGGAAGCAGCTCAGCAAAGGTCTCTGAGTCATGCTCACTACAGAACTGATCTAATGAAAACCTGAGTGTGTGACTGGTTAACTAAATAGTTAAATTCCCAGTGTCAAAGATGCCTTAAAGCCTTTCTCTGGAGGATCATTGCCTATACAGTTCCTCTTTCGTGTGGCATAAATAATATATTAACTGTTACACCTGACAGCATTGGTTTCCTATAGCAAGGGAGTCTGGGGACGGCTGGACTTACTGACTTGCCTGTTTGGGAGCTGTGTGGAGCTGGGTGTTCTGTGACATCCTTGTAGGACCAAGGACAAGGCAGCAGCTGGGCCTTTAAAACTGCAGGCACATGTTTGGGTAGATCACTTTGGCTTCCAAACCACTCTGGTGGTGCTCAGTGTGGGAATGACAGCATCATCTGGGACCATGGCGCGCTTAGCAGCATTGTTTCTTTGGAGTCTGTGTAATGGAATGTATTTTTCAAATATTGGTATTTTCATTTTCTGTAATACTTCCTTATAATAAAAATGAGGCAAAATTGTGACTCTTAAGTGGAAGCTTTAATTAAAGACATTTATGTTATAGCTACTTCTAACCCAGAGGTACCAATGAACATTAAAAAAAAAAAATTCTAAAAAATTGAGCCAGGCAGTGGTGGTACACACTTGTTATCACAGAGGCAGGGGGATCTTTGTGAGTTTGTGGCTAGCCTGGTCTGCAGAGCTAGTTCCAGGACAGCCAGAGCTACATAGAGAAACCCTGTTTCAAAGAACTAAAGATAAGAGGGCTGGAGAGTTGGCTCAGTAGTTAAAAGCAATTGTTACAAAAGACTTGGGTTCCATTCCCAGCACCCACATGGAAACTCACAACCTCAAGCACCAGGCATACGTGTGATACACAGATATACATGCAGGCAAAGTACTCAAAGTAATAAAAAGAATATATTTAAAAACATCTAGAGCAGCTACCCTTTACATTTCAAATTCTCTATTTTATGTGACACATATTGGCAGCTGTCACAAAGTGTTTTGTGTAGAGTGAGCAGCTGCTGCACTCTCTCCCTGCCTCCCAAGTTCAAGTTTCCGTGATGCATGTGAGTGCTGATGGAGTTTCAGCTGTCTGGCCCGTGGAAGTTGTCCAGAGAATCCTGGACTCCTTTATTCCATTATTTCATAAGGAATCACCCATGATGAGCTTACCACTGGCCAATATGAAGAAAAAGGGGGTGGGGGCTGGCACTGTGGGCTTCAGAGAATGTCAAGGAAGGTCTAGTGGCCTGCAGAGTAAAATCTGGTCCATAAAGCTGTTCAACTCTAGCATGAAAAAGGAATAAAAATTCTGGTGAGCGGGTCTTCCGGATACTTCCTTGGACGAATGTGTTCTTTTCTCTAGCCCACTTTCCTTTTGCTTGCCAACCCAGACTCAGACTAGCTATGTGATCTAGCTCATTATGTAGGGGCTTCTTATGAACTTGGATGTCCCATCCCCTTTAATCCCAGCACTCGGGAACCAGGCTCAGGGCTGTCTAGAATTCAGAACAAGGTCCTTGATTAGTTCACTGTGAGTTCCTGCCCTGGGAGTGCAAACATCATGCTCATGGTCCACGAATGTATGAATCAGTCCAGTGTGTCCAGTGTTAGGCTGACAGGATTCATCATTCAAGCCCATGAGGGTAAAACCTTTTGTGGGGGTGGGGATGGGATGGTGCAGGGTCTCACTAAAAGCCTGGACTGTAGGGAACTTGCTATTTAGATCAAGCTAGTCTCAAAGATCTGCCTGTCTCTGCCTCTAGGATTCAAGGGTTGCACCACCATGCCCACAAGAGTTGAGCAACCAAGTGCTGGTGGAGAGCTGGGCAAGAGTTGAAATCTACTCTGTGGGACTATGGCTAATGAAGGTACTCAGGCAGGGCCTCTGTAGACAGGACTGTTGAAAAATAAACAGGAGACTAATGGAGTGAGGGAGAGAGATTCCCCAGAAGGAAGGGTTTGCATGTAGGGATTACATAGAGCAAGACCAGAGAGCATGCATGGCACATAGGGAAGGAATAGCTGCCAGACAGGCAATGCAGGGGACCCCTCTGCCACAGTGCTGCGTGTGATCCTCAAAGATTCTCCCCCATAGAGCCCCTGTGTACTGGGTGGTTTTGTGTGTCAGCCTGACACAAGCTAGAGTCAGTCATCAGAGGGGAAGGAGCCTCAGCTGAGGAAATGCTTCCTTGAGATCCAGCTGTAAGGCATTTCCTCATTTAGTGATCAGTAGGGGAGGTTTCAGCCCAAGGTGAGTGATTCCACCCCTGGGCTTCTGGTCCTGGGTTCTATAAGAAAGTGAGCTGAGCAAGCCAGTAAGCAGCTCCCCTCCATGGCCTCTGCATCAGCTCCTGCCTCCAGGATCTTGCTCTGTTTGAGTTCCTGTCCTGACTTCCTTCAGTGATAAAAAACAATACTGAAGTGTAAGCAAAATAAACCCTTTCCTCCCCAACTTGCCTTTTGGTCATGGTGTTTCTCACAGCAATAGAAACCCGAAGACACTCTGGGAGGTCTAAGTGGGGACTACCCTGATCATCATGAAGAAAGATGACCTACCACAGCAGGGAAGCCAGTGGAATAGCAAGATCTGCCAGCCTAAAAACAGACCAGAAGGAGGAGGGATAAAGAGGAAGAGCTAGCAGACAGGACTCAAGGGTGCAGACTGGCCGGGCGGCAGGAGTTCCGACCACCTGCCAGGTTTCTCCCCGGGGTGGAGTAGGGATGGTGGTAGTGATCATATGGTATCCTGACCAAAACCAACTTGGGGAGGAAAGAATTTATTTTATCTTACACTTCTAGGTAACAGTTCACCACTGAGGAAATCGGCAAGAGCCAATGAAGCAGAAACTATGGAGCAATGCTGTTAGCTGACGTGCTCAGCTGACATCTTTTTCTTGCTGTGTGGCCCTGGCTGTCCTGGAACTCATTGTTGTAGAACAGACTGGCCTCAAAGTCAGAGATCACCTGCCTCTGCTGGGATTAAAAGTGTGAACCTCCATGCCTGGCTTCAGCTACCTTTCTTACACAACCAGGCCCACCTGCTCAGGGGCAACACATCCCACAGCAGACTGGTGCGCACCCCTGCCATGTGCCTTCAATTAGCAATTTAAAAAAAAACCTAGTCCCCATGTGCACCCACAGGGATATAAAGGGATCAGTCACGGTGCTTCTTCATGCTTTTAATCCCAGCACTTGGGAGGCAGAGGCAGATAGAATCTCAATGAGTTTGAGGCCAGCCTGGTCACACAGCAAGTTCCAGGGCAGCCAGGGCTATATAGAGAAACATTGCTTTTTGTTTATTTGTTTTTTAAGAACAAATGAAAGAAAGAAAATGCCTCACAGACATGCCACAGGCTAATGTGATCTGGGCAATTCTTCAGTTGAGATTCTCTTTCCAGGTGACTCTTAAGTTTGTGTCAAGTTGACAGCTGAAGCTAACTATGACATCTGGTGACAGAGAGGATGAAGGCATTAGCAATGATTAGCAATGTGGGGTTTGTAGGGCTGGGGAGATGATTCAGTTGATAAAGTACTTGCCATACAAGCAGAAGGCCTGGACTTTGATCTCTGTAAAAAGTCAGTCATGATGATAGACACCTGGAGCCTAGCACTGGGAATGAAGTGACAGATTCCTGGAACTTGCTGGCTAACTAGTCTTGTCAAATAAGAGTTACAGGTTCAGTGAGAGACCTTGTCTTATAGCAGGTGGAGAGAAATACAGGAAGACATCTAACGTCACATTTCACCGATACATGCACACGTAGACATCATGTACGCTAAAGAAAAAGGCAATGTGGGATTTGCAGTACCTCCAGAAAGAGCTCACGGACTTCTTTATTATCGAGCCCTTTGGATTGGGGATACTGCCTAGCAGTGTGCTGCCTGACGTAGGAGAAAGAAAAGTCAAGGAGAAGGTTCCTGGGGATGAAGCTTTCAGAGATGTGGAGGAGCTTTGGTGGGATCAGTGCAGTAAATGAGGGCTTTATGGGGACCTTGCAGGACATCATGGTCAATAGTCAAGACAAATGAAGATCAAGGGCCTAGGGATGTAGCTCAGTTGGTAATGTGCTTGCCTAGCATGCATACAACTCTGGTTCAATCCCTAGTACTGTATAAACTGGGCATGGTACCACATGCCTACCTACCGAGTTCAAGGCTAGCCTGGATACATGAATCCTGTCTCAAAAAGCCAAGTAAATTTTTAAAAAGTAGCAGAGATCAAAATAGGTAAGAATTAGCAAGGTATAGTGGCACAGGCCTTTAATCCCAACACTCGAGAGGCAGAGGCAGATGATCCCTGTGAGTTCCATGTCAGGACAGCCAGAGCTCCAGGAGCAGGTGAGAACAGACCCCTGCCGAGTAGGCAGGGGAATTCTGCAGGGAATGAGCTGAGAAACCTGGGGCAGAAGCCCTTCAACATGTGGGGTAGTTACAGAAACTTCTGGGAGGCAGGGACAACATTTCACTAATGATAGGGAAGTGAGCTGTTTAATGCACACTCAAGCAGGGGCAATCTGCGTGTGCTCTATCTGTGTGAGCAAAAGCTTTCCTATCCCAGAATCAGCCCATCCCAGTTTATTATCACATCTCACTGTACCAGCCCAGCTCTGATGGAGTCAGTAAATTCAAGTTTGCCAGCTGGGCGGTGGTGGCGCATGCCTTTAATCCCAGCACTCGGGAGGCAGAGGCAGGCAGATCTCTGAGTTTGAGGCCAGCCTGGTCTACAACGTGAGTTTCAGGACCGCTAGAGCTGTAACACAGAGAAACCCTGTCTTGAAAAACCAAAAAAATAAAATAAAATAAAAAAATAAAAATAAAAGTAAAAAAATTCAAGTTTGCCTTGGAGTAGAGGTTTTAGAAATGTTACAAAAGTCAGACATTGGGAACTTAGTCAATTACCTTGTGACTTAGAACAGTTACCTTGATTCTGCAAGATTTGAGGCTTCTTTGGAAATGCCTGCTTCTCTGCTGAGAGCCACATTCTTGTTCTGCTACTGCTCCAAGTCTCAGCAGGACTGGCATGATGGCAGAGCTCAAGCTCTGATTATGGCAGCAATGAGTCCGTGGGAAGTCCCTTGCTGGAGCTCACAGACTTTCTCCAGGCAGTTCTACGTTGATCACACTGTGTTCATGAATGACTGCAGGCTCCGAAGGAAGATGACAGGGGACCAAGGTTCCAAACAGTGTCAAAACAAACTGACCATACCAGGTAGGTTATCATGCTCCTGTCTCAGTCAACAGAATTGTGACACACATTTGCAGAGTGAGGGTGGAGTCCTTGACCCTCCTGTTTTCCTGCCAGGAGCCTCCTAGAGCATAAATATTAAGGGCTTTCTGGAGATCTAGGGAAGGTTCTCCATGTGTCATCAACATACAGGACACCATCTTAGGGTGGGAAGGTACACTCGATGGCCAGAGGTGAGCAGCCTGGGTATTCTTCCAAGTTGGGGTTGTCCAAGTCCCCACGATTTAGGTGTCTAGAGTTGTCTTGTTGGTCACTAGAGGGGCCAGTTGTTCTCACACACACACAGTGGGGCTCCTTGGCCCCTGGCTTATACAGCTTCCTGGGGACACCAGTCCAGTCTCTGTTCACACCTCCACTAGGAAAAAGGGAAAGAAGACTTCTTAAAAGCCTGAATTCACAAGGCCCGGAGCAAGGGAGGGCTTGCAGGGTGCTATGAAAAGAAGCAGTCCTTCATTCTTCTTCCTATGTCACCAGTGCCTTCTGAGTCTACCTACATCCAAGATTGTGTCGCAAGAAGGACAGCCAGGTCTCAGACTGTCCTGTTAGGCTCCAATGGTGCCATAGAAGCCATGTCTCTGAAAGTTTCCCTTTTTGAACCCTCACCTTACTGCCCGGAAGTAAAGCAGAGAGGATGGTGCAGTGGCTTCCCCTGGAGAAAGCCGCCGGTGGCTTGGGCTGTTTGCTCTGTCTACTCAATGGATAGACAGATCCTGGGGGAAGAAGGCAGCTCTATCTGGTGGTGGTGGTGGTGCTGGCGGTGGTGGTGCTGGCGGTGGCGGCGCATGCCTTTAATCCCAGTACTGGTCTACAGAGAGTGTTCAAGGACAGTCAGGACTATTACAAAAAGAAATCCTATCTTCAAAAAACAAACAAACAAACAAAAAACCAAAAAAGAAGGCAGCCCTACACAGCTTAGCACACAGGAGTGTGGCCCCTCTCCCCAGTCCTCCTCAGGAAGAGCTTGACTGTTGGTTTGATCCTTTGCATCCAGGAGCTTTGTCTAGTTCTGGTTTCCACTGTCATCTCACCAGAGCTAAGGGAGATGTGAGAGAGCAGAGCTGAGGTCTGAGTGTGGCTGACCAGACGGTTAAAGCAGACAAAACCATGTCTGGAATCATTCCTACGGCACCACGCATAGAAGCCTCTCTCACTGCACTGTGCTCGCGCAGGAGGAGACTTCTATCCAGCCTGCACTTCCCGGAAACGCTCAGGGTACTAGGGCTTTTATGTTTTGGTTTTTTTATGGTTTGTTGCCTTGCTTTTAACAGTGCTAAGGGTTAAACCCAGGGCCATGTTCCAGCAAGCGCTCCACCATTAAGCTACACTCCAGTCACCACAGTGCTTTACAAACATCTGGGGATATCACTCAATTGGCAGAGCTTGCACAAAGCCGTGAGGTCAAACCATCGCTGGCAGTACATAAACCCAGCATGATGGTGGTGGATGCTGCTAATTCCTGGTCTCAGTAGAGACAGAAGCATCAGAAGTTCAAGGTTATCCTTGAACAGAGAGTTCGAGGTTGATCTAGGATCTCCACATGAGATTGTGTTGCAAAGAAAATAAAAATAAACAGTACCTGAGGGCACCAAAGAATGGCTCCACCTCCCACCCCACTCTCCTGCAGGCGGGCGGGCGGGCGGGCAGGCGGGCAGGCGGGAATAATTTGTGCTGACAAACAGGAAACTGAAAATCATCTCTGGCTGAACAGGCAGAAGTAGTCAAGAAGTAGTACCCGAGCTAGAGAAAGCCCAGCTTCTCTAGCTCACATATTGCTTCTCTAGGATCACATATTGCTCCTCTTGAGTTTGGGTCCCTGCACGCACACTGATAGCTCACAACATCCTCTAACTCCAGTTCCAGGGGACCCAAGACTTTTGGACTCTTGGGCATTTACATTCACATGACTTTTTTTAAAATTTTATATGTATGAGTGCTTTATCTGTGTGTATATATGCGTACCATATGTGTTCCTGGTGCCTGCAGAAGTCCAAAGAGGGCATCAGATCCCCTGGAACTGGAGTTATGGATGGTCGTGAGCCACCAAGTGGGTGCTGGATCCCTCTGTAAGAGACACAAGTGCTCTTGACCATTAAGCCATCTCTCCAACCCTGTATATACACACTTAAAAATAAAAATTAAAAAGAAAAGAAAATCATGAAACTTTATGGGCCGGAGAGATGGCTCAGGAGTTAAGAACACTTGCTACTTTTGCAGAGCACCTGGGTTAGGTTCTCAGTATCCACATGGCCACTCACAACTGCCTATAACTCTAGTCCCAGGAAATTCAATGTCCTCTTCTGACCTCTGCAGGCCCTACATATACATACATACACAGACACTCCCAATACACACAAAATAAAATGAATTTTAAAAAAGAAATAGTACCTGTGCCATCGAATTCCCAGAGCAGCAATTCTCCTTTAGCAGGATCTCTGGGAGACTGAGAGGGGAGGAAGAGGCCCAGGTCTCAGGCCTTTCTCAACCCTAAGGTTTTCTTTCGGTTACTAAAGGTCCTACTATCAGGATTTTCCTTTAATGCCCATCTTGTGGTTTGAATATGACATGTCCCCAACAGGTCTGTAGATTTGAAAAACTTGATCCCTAGATCCTTGAGCAGTTTGGGGAGGTTGTAGAAGTACCTGAGTCCTAGCTAGAAGTAACTCACTGGGGCAGACCTTAAAGGTTGTGTCTGCTGCTGGTTCTGGCACAACCTCAGCTTCCCCATCTGTAATGATATGAGAACTACACACCTCCACGGCCACACACCAAGCTGCTCTACCATGCCTTTTCTGCTATGGTGGACTGTACCCTCTACAACCTTAAAACTGGTTAAATCTTTCCTCCCTTAAATTGCTTCATTCAGGTGTTTTCATTACAGTAAGGAAATGAATATAACTCAGAAGATCTAACATGTACAGCAGCACATGCAAGCTCCCTAGCTTAGCAGTCAGTTGTGGATTCCCTGAATAACAAATAAATAGATAATAAAAGGATGGCTTAGAAGCTGGATTCAGGAGAGGCACGGAGAAGACGGGAAGGCTGCTTACCTCTTCTGGGAGCACCAGACCCGGCTCCCCTTAGCAGAACTCCACTCGGCATTGCACGGAGGGAACCTGTGCTTTTCTCTCTGTTGCTGTTCACTCGCCTCCGCGCCTTTGGCCACCAGGGCCTCCACCTGGGTTAGTTCTGGAGTGGGCAGCCCATCCTCTCCGTAGAACCTTCCAACCAGTCTCCCTGAGATAACAAGGAAAAGGGCAGAGCAGCAGAGAGGGTAAGGCAAACCCTTTTCTCCCCAAGTTCCTTGTGGGCATGGTGTTTCGGCACCTCAATAGAAACCCTACAACAGAAACTGGCACCAAAATCACCAGGTACTGTTGTGACACACCTGGCCAGTTGTTTTGGGGAGGACTGTAGAAGGACTTTGGAACTTTGGGCTAGAAAAGTCACTGAGTGTTCAAAGCTTGGTGAGCTGTTCTATGGGAGGCGAATGGAAGATAAGAGTGTTGAGAGATGCAAATGATGGAGGCCTGGCTTGTGAAATTCCAGAGGATGTCTGAAATCACTTAAAGACTCTATCAGCGCCATTTGCTATTTTGAGTTTAGAATCTGTGATTCTGGTTAGCTGGGGCTAAAGAGTCAGCTAGCTGCCAACATGGAAATGATCATATTTTTATCACCTCCAGACAACATCAGTTCCCTGAAAACAGAACGTGTGTGACACATTTATCAATGCTCTGTAGTGCTTGGGGGAACACTGAGTATTTAGTAATGTTGAGTGAACATACAGTTAGTTTATGAGCCCACATTTTTTTGGGGTCCATGTCCAATTACTTTGTCTTACAGAACTAGTTAGTTAGTTAGACCAGCTCAGAGCCCATGCTTTCTCCTCTACCACTTTCTTCTGAAGTCCTTGGTGGACATAAGAGAGAGGAGGATAGTTTTTAAAATGGCTTTCAAATTTTCTTAATATTTAAGCTATGAAAGCAATTACCAATTGGTTGCAGCCTACAGGCTAGTACAAAAAAGGTTTAGCTCTTAAAGTACCACAGCTTGCTGTGTCCAAGGCCTGAGGTCTTAAAAGGCACCACCTTACTAGGTAGAGAGGAAGCCCCAGAAAACACTTCAGGGAGGTTTGATCAAATAAGAGGTAGCGTGGGTCCCACCTCTCTAGTCAGTCTCTGAGGACTGAGCTGAATTGAGGTTCCAATGGAAAGCCCTAGACTTCATTCATACTCTCAGGTCCCACTCCCTTGCCAACTTTCCTGTGGTTTTCAATCAGAAATGTCCTCTATAGGCTCAGGCACTTGAACACTTGATCCCTAGTTGGTGGTGCTATTGGGGTGGTAGTGTCGACTCGCTGAAGGAAGTAGGTCACTGAGGGCAGAGACTTGAGCATTTATAGCCTTGCTGCCCTTCCCTTCACATCCCCTTTCTGCTTTGTGATTATACTTAGAGAAGTGATCTCTCAGCTTCCTGATGAACTGCCTGCTGCCATGCTTCCCTTGACATTACAGACTTTCTTTCTGGAACCATTAAGCCCAAATAAAGCTGCCTTGGTCCTGGCAATTTATCTCAGCAACAGAAACTAGTACCTCCCTCAGGCCTTCTATGTCAAGAGCAGTGGATCTCTCCTGACTCCTTCACATTCAGGTAAGTACTTCCCTTCATTCATGGCTGATGGGTAAACCTTGTCAGTTCTGAAATATATTCTTTTTTTTTTTTTGGTTTTTCGAGACAGGGTTTCTCTGTGCAGCTTTGCGCCTTTCCTGGAACTCACTCTGTAGACCAGGCTGGCCTCGAACTCACAAAGATCCACCTGGCTCTGCCTCCCGAGTGCTGGGATTAAAGGTGTGTGCCACCACCGCCCAGCCTGAAACATATTCTGATTGTCCATTCCTGTCCATTTCCACTGCTGCCACCTTATCCAACCTTCCAGTTGGCCTCTGCTGCAGCTCAGGCTTTCCTATAGTACTTCCTCCACAAAGCATCTGGGGCATTTCCACACCCTCCCCCCCCCCAACCAGTGCTCAGAGCACAACTAGGGCTCCCTACATGGTGAGTGAGTGTTCTGCCACTAAGGTATGACCTTACCTAGTAACCTTTAATTTATTTCGAGACAGGCCCCAGTATCTAGCCTGAGGCTTTTGATTCTCCTGTCTCAGTTTTGTAAGTTTTAGAATCATAGGCCTAATTTGGATGCTCTTTTCACTTTTAAATTTTTTATGTGTATGAGTGTTTTGACTGGACCTATGTCTGTGCACCACATGTGTGCAGTGCCTATGGAGCTCAGAAGGGACACTGCATGTTAGAGCCCCTGGAACCAGAATTACAGATGATTGAGAGCCACCATGTGGTGCTGGGAACTGAATCTGGTCCTCTGAAAGAGCAGCCAGTGCTTTTAACCACGGAGACATCTAGCTCTCCAGTCCCTTGTGTACTTTTTTTGTTTTTCGAGACAGGGTTTCTCTGTGCAGCTTTGGAGCCTGTCCTGGAACTCGCTCTGTAAAACCAGGCTGGCTTCAAACTTGCAGAGATCTGCCTGCCTCTGCCTCCCAAGTGCTGGGATTAAAGCCATGCACCACCGCCGCCCAGCTGAGTACTCTCTTCAACACGTCACCTCTATACCTGACTAAACCCTCCGGTAGCTACTCAAAGCATAAATAACACACAAACTTCTTCCCGAGGCATCCAGGTCCCACCAGTCGTTCGGCTGTCTACTCTGCCTCTCCCTAAGCCACCTGCTCCTCCTTCCCGTGCTCCAGCACAGGGTTTCTGTAGTACCTGAGCAGGCCTTGCTGATACCCACCTCAGGCACCACTCCTCCCTCAGTCTGCTACACTCTCCCCAGATCTCAGTATGGCTACCCTTCCTTCTGCTGGTCCCTTTTCCTGTCTTCACAGCCCTGTGTGGAGATGCCTGCTTAGTCAGAAAGTGTCCCGTGAGGCCCAGTACTCGAAACAGCTTCACACAGAGCATCTGTCTTTGTTTTTGTTTTTTCCCGAGACAGGGTTTCTCTGTATTGTTTTGGTGTCTTTCCTGGATCTTGCTCTGTAGACCAGGCTGGCCTCGAACTCACAGAGATCTGCCTGCCTCTGCCTCCTGAGTGCTGGGATTAAAGGTGTGTGCTACTGCTATCCAGCTCAGAGCATCTATTTTAAATGTCTGTTAAATAAATAGATGACAGATCATGACCTTAGTGTCAGATTAGACAACTTTAGGTTGGCTTATAACCAAATTTTTGGTACAGAGGGCTTTGGATGGCATGGGATGATTCTATCTTGTTGAGACATGATATCCAAAGAGAGGCTAACAGGAGCAGAGGCAGAATTTTAGATGCTGTATTATGAGAACAGGTTTACCTTTTGGGTCTCTAAATGTGTATCCAGAGCACAACAAAATCTGCCTCATTTCCCCTGAGGTCCAGCTGTACAACTACAATGATAGCTTCTTAACTGTGTCCAAGTCAATATGATCCTTGGAAATTTGTCTTTATCCTCTGATGTTCCTTAAAGTCTTAGATGGTCCTCATGCCAAAGCTTTGGCAGGAATTGCACTGAACACACTCCTGTGCTGTGGAATATTTGTACACTGTATGAAGATGTATTGCTATTATTGGTGTAATAAAAAGCTGAATGGCCAATAGCTAGGCAGGAGGTGTAGGCGGGACTTCTGGACAGAGAGAGACTGGGAGGAGGGATCTAGGTTTGAGATTTCAGCAGCAGACTCAGAGCAAGTTGGCTGTGCCATAATAAGAAGAGGTAACCAAGCCACGTGGCAAAATGTAGATTTAAAAAAATGGGTTAATTAAGTTATAAGAGCTAGTTGGGGAAAATCCTCAACTAAGGCAAACATTTCATAATTAATAAAACGTCTTCAGGTCATTATTTGCAGGCTGGAGGTCCAAAGATAGTCTGACAAGAATACTTGCTACACTAGGGGTATTGAAACAGAAGGATCAGGGGCTGGAGAGATGGCTCAGAGGTTAAGAGCACCGACTGCTCTTCCAGAGGTCCTGAGTTCAATTCCCAGCAACCACATGGCGGCTCACAACCAACTGTAATGAGATCTGGCGCCCTCTTCTGTATACATAATAAATAAATAAATCTTTAAAAAAAAAAAAAAAGAAACAGAAGGATCAGGACTTCCATGTCAACATCAGTATGCAACAAGTTTGAGGCCAGCCTGGGTTCTATGAGACCTTGTTTCAAAAAGTCAAGAAAAAAAAAACCAAAAAAACAAAACCTCACCATAAAGCACCAACTAGGCCTCAGAATAACTATGACCCATCTGAGCATAAGTGAAGCTGAATACGATAATTTCTGATAAAGACTGAAGTAGAAACAAAGTCTAACTCCAGCCAGTTACAAGCAGCCAACCAACTTAAGGCTCTGTGACCAGGGACTTTCCAACAAACTAACAGAATTTAAAAAGCTAGGGCTAGAGATGAAGCTTGGTCCGTAGGGCTGCTTGCCTAGCATGCAGGACTTCAGTAGATCAGCGACACTTCAACTGTCCCTTGGCAACATCCTGGAGAACAGGAGAAACAAGTGCACTGAGTAGAGAAGACATATATGGTTGTGACCTTGGGGACCATGTAGGGCAGACTAAGGGTATGCTAACTGTGGGAAAAGGAATAGATGTGGGATAAGGAAGGTCAACAATGGACGAAGATGAGGAGCAAAGAGGAATGGAATGGAAAGGCACTCACTTCAGATCTTATAAAATTAGAGCTTGAACAAGTGGATGTTGAGTAGAAGAGTTAAGGAAAATATCATGGTTCTCAGAATAAGAAGCCCAAGCAAGTCGGGCGGTGGTGGCGCACGCCTTTAATCCTAGTACTCGGGAGGCAGAGGCAGGAGGATCTCTGTGAGTTCGAGGCCAGCCTGGTCTACAAAGTGAGTTCCAGGAAAGGCACAAAACTACAGAGAAACCCTGTCTCGAAAAACCAAAAAAAAAAAAAAAAAAAAAAAAAGAAGCCCAAGCAATAAGGAAAGCAAGCCTTTAGAGGCATTAGGGGCAGGAAATTCCAATGGTAAAGGGACACTGGTATCCACAAGAAGCCAGTCAAGACCACATGGGGCTCCATGAGAGGTGGGGCTGCACATAGATGAAAGGACTGGCCTCAGCCATCTTAGATTTCAGTGCTCAGGAAAGAATGTAGTGATCGCTGTCTGTCAGTTGTCTGCTCATTTAAGAGTTACATCCCTCATGTATCACCAGTAAGCAATAAGTGCAGGACAACACACAACTGGCATTAATACATGAGATGGAGGCAGTAGGATCAGGAATTCAAGGCTAGCCTGATCTACATAGTGAGTTTGAGACCAGCCAGGCAGCATGAAACCCTGAATTAATGAATAAATGAATGTGTGATTGGCATATCTTCCATCTCAGAAACAGTTCACTCAAGATGTCTGCTTCATCAGAGAGCAATCAAAAGGAAGCCTCAGAACCACGCACAAGTGGCTTCAGGCCTTCCTAACTGTACTGGAGCCATGGGGCGGACACCTCTTGGAGTTGGCTGGTCATATCCAGTGCAGATGATACTGACTGGGGGCCACTGACATCAAAGTATAAGGCCTGGCCATCCTCTCCCAAGACTATCCACAATTTCATCTTCTTCTGAGGATTACTGTGGAGACTCACAGAGGTTTCCTAGTGAGATCCGAGCTTGCTTTACCCAGCAGGTCTGCATAGGGGAATGACTGGACCACGGGCATGGTTACCAGGTGTTTGGAAGGGTCTGCACTTGGCTTTGCAGTATGCTTTGATCTAGCAAGGGGGTCTTTTGCCCTGCCCCTTGGCATTGTTATAAAAAGCCCATTTGAAGAGACAGAAGGAGCCAGGTCCTCCCAAAGCTATCCTGTGTTTCTGTCTGTCTCATTTTTGCTATCTTTCTATCTACAAATTCCTTTTTCCTGTCTCCTCTTCATAGGAACCCTGAAAAAGGTGGGAGCTGGCCTCCTACAGATTACTCCTATACTACCAGCAAGAACCTAATGTGAAAAACCTGGGGCTGGTTTCAAATTTTTACCTTGAGCCCAGTTCCTAAAGAATCCAGGTACCCTGAAAAACACGGCAAGAAAAGCAACTGAAATCTAGGTACCCTGAAAAACACGGCAAGATAAGCAACTGAAATCTACAGTCAAGGACTACATACCGACAAATACATAATTTTTCTCGTAGAATGAAATCCAATTTTGAAGTATCAGTATCTCAGAGGAGGACAAGCCAGTTACATCATCCACAAGTCCAGCTTCAGAAAAGTCTCCTGTCACAAACGCTCTAGATGCATCCCGGCCTTCAGGAAAGAAGTTGCCAAAGATTTGGTTATAAATCACAATATTTTTTTTAAAGATTTATTTGTTTATTTTGTATACAGCATGTATGACTACAGGTCAGAAGAGGGCACCAGATCTCATTACAGATGGTTGTGAGCCATCATGTGGTTGCTGGGAATTGAACTCAGGACCTCTGGAAGACCAGTCAGTGCTCTTAACCTCTGGACCATCTCTCCAGCCCAAATCACAATATTTTACCAAGTAAAATTTCTTTTTCTTTCTTTTTTTTTCAAGACAGGGTTTCTCTGTGTAGCCTTGGCCGTCCAGGAACTCACAGACAAGGCTGGCTTAACTCACAGAGATCTGCCTGTTTCTGCCTCCCAGGGACCTCTTGGACCAGGAACAAGAATTTTTGGTAACTGTCATCCACTTGGTTTTTTGAGATCTGCCTGCCTTCCAAGTTCTGGGAATAAAGGCATGCACCACCACACCTAGCCCATCAGCTTTTATTTAACTTCAATAATATTCAATTGATAAATTCAAAATGGTAACTTCTGGCTTCCATGACACTCCGCTCCTGGTTTTCCCAGCACCTGTCTACTTAGCCCTAGGGATCAATTATTATCTGCACCTTCTCACTTCACCATCTTATCCACCCATGTGGTTTCATATCCTCTATCTAGGCTGTATGTTTAGCCCAGGCATTTCCTGAGCACTAGACCTGTATATCCAACTTCTACTCAATGTCACTTAGCTGTCTCACTGCCATCACAAGTTCAAAAGCCTATTTTGAGCTACTGGTCATCAGTCCCAGGAAATGGTCATTTAATCTCCTCTAGTGTTCCTTATCACCAGTTGCTCAATCTATAAATGCAGGCTGGATACCTCTTTTATCCCCCCATCTAATTAGTGCCAGAGTATTTTCTTCCTAAATAGTTCCTGTATTCATTCACTTGTCTCTACCTGCTACCCAACAATCCCAGTATGCCATCATCTCTCAGGTGAACTACCACAGAGGACCCCTAGTGGGACCACATTTCATTCTACCAAACTATTCTTCAGGTAACACTCAGACTAGCGTTTTATTTTATTGCTATAAATTGTGTGTGTGTGTGTCTGTGTCTATGCCACATGTGAATGCATATCTGTGTTTATGTGCATAAACACTTGAGGGGGCCATCCAACATGGGTGCTAAGATCTGAATTCAGGTGCTCTGGAACAGCAGCAAGCACTCTTAACTGATGAGTGAGTCTCCAGAACTACACTGCTTTTTTTTTTTTTTTTTTTTTTTTTGGTTTTGTTTTTTGAGACAGGTTCTTACTATGTTATGTAGCTCTGGCTGACCTATAACTTGCTACATAGACCAGGCTGGCCTAGAACTCAGACACTGGCCTATCTGTCTCTGAGTACTGGGATTAAAGGTGCATGGCATCATGCCCAGCTCCCTAGACTGATATTTTATATTTTGGTTTTTTCAAGACAGCATTTCTCTGTATAGTCCTGGCTGTCCTGGAACTTGCTCTGTAGACCAGAGTGGCTTTGAACACAGATCTGCCTGTCTCTGCCACCAGAGTGCTGGGATTAAAGGCATATGCCATCTTACCTGGCTCTAGACAAAAACAAAAAACAAAACCTTGTTGCTGGACAGTGGTGGCACATGTTTTTAATCCTAGTAACTCAGCAGATGCAGGAGGATGTCTGTGAGTTCGAGACCAGCCTGATCTACAGAGCAAATTCCAGAACAGTCAACGCTATACAGAAAAACCCTGTCTCCAAAAACCAAAACCAAACCCCCCCCCAAAAAAAAATCACGTCATTTTCTGCCAAAATTCTCACAGCCTCCCTTTGCCTTATGAGAATATCCAAAATCCTTACCTCAGTAGCATTTGCCCCCAACCTTATCTAGTCACTTTCTCATGGTGCTGTCTTCCACTTTCCTCCTCCCTGACTAGGTTAGAGGCTTTGGTAAACTTACTTTTCCCTTTAAAAAACATATCACAAACTGGCTTTAGTAAGAGATGCTAGGTCAATGAAGTACTTGCTTTGCGAATTGGAGAGCCTGAGTTTGGATTCCTGGCACCCAGGGAGACACAAAGACACAGCAGGGCATGCTCGTCATCTCCGCATGGACAGGCATACAGAGGAGACAGCGCTTTACACCCATGAGGATTGCTACAATAAAAAGACATTAAGAGCCAGGATTGCTGTGTATTCATGGACTGCCTGGGCTATATGAGACTTCATCTAAAAAATGAAGTAGGAGGAGAAACTGGGGATGTATTTTAGCAATAAAATGCTCACCTAGCTGTTGGAGAATATTACTTTAAGATGTGTTACATTTGTTTACGCTCTGGAACACTTGTTTAATGATGCAAAGATATGTTGTATTTGTTTATGTTGCATTTGTTTAACTCTGTGAAGCTGTGTTACTGTGCCTGTCTAAAACACCTGATGGTCTAATAAAGAGCTGAACAGCCAACAGTGAAGCAGGAGAAAGGATGGGTGGGGTTGGCAGGCAGAGAGAATAAATAGAAGGAGAAATCTGGGAAGAAGAGAGATCAAGGAGGAGCAAGAGAAGAAGGAACAAGAGAACAAGAAGAGCAGAACTTCAGGGGCCAGCCACCCAGCTACACAGCCAGACACAGAGTAAGAAGAAAAGGAAAGGTATACAGGAGTAGAGAAATATAAAAGCCCCAAGGCCAAAGATAGATGGGATAATTTAAGAAAAGCTGGCAAGAAACAAGCCAAGCTAAGGCTGGGTATTTATTATTATGAACAAGCCTCCGTGTGTGATTTATTTGGGAGCTGCCAAAGAACAGAAAGGTCAAAAACAACCAAAAACACCCAGCATGTATGACACTCTGCATCCAATCCCTAACATTAGAAAACAAAACAAAACTTTTAACAAGTTTAACAAATCAGATGTGTGGAGAAACTGAAACTCACATGCATTCCTTGTGGGGATATACAGTGGTACAGAGACATGTGAGTCAGTCAGCAGATCCACATCCAGATGAATACTAGGGGAACGGACAACATAGTCACCAATTTAATACTAGAGATCTCTATAAGAAGTGGAAATAGGGCCAGCAAGACGGTGAAGTGGATACAAATGCTGGTTGTAGGAGCCTGACAACTGGAGTCTAATCAGTGGAACAGAGGTGTCAAAGCCAAAAGCAGTGGTGTGCATCTGTAATCCCTACACTCCCACAGCGGGCAGAGGCAGAAGAATCACCTTAGACGCCTGCAGGCCAGCCAGCCTCAGACACACAGCTAGGGAGAGACAAGAACAAGGAGGGAACTGACTCCAATTTTCTCCCCATCTCCGTATGTCCAAGGTGTGGCACACACACTGTAAGCATATACACTGACCAAATAAAAATCTTAAAGCGGAAATAACCCAAAAGTCTATCAAATGCAGTTTAGTATTTAAACATGCAATTATTATTTGGTCATAAAAAAGAATAAATGCTGAGTGTGGTGGCAAGCCTTTAATCTTTGTGAGTTCCAGGCCAACCAGGGCAATGTAGCAAGACCTGATCCTTTAAAAAAAAAAAGTATCGGCCACATGCTGATACACTATGGATGAGTAAAAGCCAGACCAAAAAAGAACATGTGTGAGGTGTGTGATTCTACTTACAGAAGGTGCAATCAGTAGGAACAGAATGTACACAGGAATTGCCAGGGACTGTGGGGAGGTAGAGAATGGAGAGGGGCTGCTAATGGGTAGTTTCCTTTGGGGATGGGCAAAATGTTCTGAAATTCGATAGTGGTAATGTTGGCATACATAAAAACACTTGTACACTTTAAAATAAGTTTTGTGTGAATTGTATCTCAATAAAAGTAAATACTGACTGCATAAATGAACAAATCTGCTTCCCTAGTAGACTGTGTGGGCAGTCAGAGACATCTGGGATTTCTCAGCACCTGGCTGAGGTAGGACCCACAGCAGCAGTCAATCAATGGAGGTCAAATTATTGTATACACAGAACTCAACAGACACCAGCACATATTGTGTAAGGATTCTCCCAGAAGTGGAAGTGTTCATGACAAAACCTGTGCGTACATCCATGACAGAGGTTATCAGATGTTGGTAAGACAGTGTTCTAAAGTGCAGTCAACTGGCAAGAAGAAAAAGAAAAAAAGCCTGGATTCCAGTTCAGCTTTGCTTCTGACTCTCTATGTCCCTGAGGAAGTTCCTTCCTCTTCTGGACTGTTTGAAGTTTGGAGAGAAGGAAGTAATTTGCATTTAAATGCAGCTTCCTAATTCTCATAAATGACCAGTGGAAAGTTTGAAATTTTTGTCAACCTAGTCACCAGCCTTAGGCTCACCCTGCATTTTTCTTCCCCAAACAGTGAGAGGTAGCAACATTTTTTAAATTACTAGCTTGGGAGCTGGAGAGCTGGCTCAGTGGTCAAGAGGAGGGGCTGCTCCCCCAGAGGACCCAGGTTCCCAGCACCCTATTGCACATCACAACCATCCACACCTCCAGTTTCAGGGGATTCGAAAGCCTCTCCTGGCTTCCCTGGGCACCAGGCACACAGGTGGTTCCGAGATGTACAAGCAAGTAAAACACTCACACATAAAATAAAATTTAAAGACCATAAAAATTACTAGGCTGGACATTATACCCACATCTTGTAAGGACTTTAGTCCAATGACATCTTTCAGTCCCCTCAGTTGTTAAAGGGGGGAGGGTGGGCAGCAGAATAAAGTTAATTTGATAAATGTTCTTAGGAGGGCAAACATACCCCATTTTATTCTAAGATTTGTTTCGTCTTGTTTTTGAGCCAGCCTGGCCACAAATTCCTGGCCCAATGGATCTTCCTAGCTCAAAGAATCTCAGCCACTCCAATAGCTGGGACCACAAAACACCATCACTTCTGGCTTATCGTAGGTATTAAAAAAGACTGTAAGAGTTACTTGCTTTCCTGTGTTCTAACTTCATTCTCCCCGTTCTTTTTCACTATCTTTTCAGAAAAGCAGACAAGTGCATCTACTAGAACCAAAGGGGGTGGGGGGACCGACTCAAATACTGTTTTTTTTTTAAGGGGAAACGGGATGGGCGAAGCAAAGGTTAGCTCGGATCACTCTAAAGTGACGGAAAGCACCGTAGCTATATAGACCAGGTAGACTTCTGAATGAATGTAAGCAGTAGCTAGCGAGACACATCTTTCTCCAAATCAGTCACACACAGCGGCGGACAGAAAGCGTGCGGCTATATAACTAGCATAGCTGCGCCCGGGGCGCAAACCAGGATCGTGCAGCCGTGTCCTTCCTGCCACAGCAGTCAGGAACGTGGGGTGACGGGGCGCGGATGAATAAACCAATGGACGAACGCATGCCGCTCGGGTGGCTACGGCCCCGCGCGGGAGGAAAAGGTGTGAGAGCCTCGCTGATACCTGCGAAGCCGCTATAGTGCGCCCCAGGCTCGTAGTGCCTCCGGCCAGAGGACACGTCGTAGACGCGGCCGAGCAACGCCAAGTACAGACCCGGGTCCCCCGGGCCGCCGCGATAGCGGGCTAGCTCCTCGGGTACGAAGAGGCGAAGGCCAGGGCAGGGACCCCACCAGTCCACCAACCACATGGCCATGACCGCCGCCGCCGCCGCGACCAGGCTCAGCACCACGCCAAGCCCACATAGTCTCAGCATCTACACAGCAGCACACAAGCCGCACTTCCGAAATCGCCACCTCTTTAGCCACAACTAAGATGGCGGAGACGCCGGTCGTGACGTCAGCGGCGCGACGCTCGACAAGCTTCAGAGTAAAGTTCACCCTTCGGCTCCGACTCTTTCTCGTACTTTTCCAGCATAGCTTGAGAACGTGAAGCGTGGAGGAGAAAGTGGAATTGCACCGAAAGACCATCTGGGCTTACATGTTGTGTGCCCTCAACAAAGATGGCGGCAAAGGAGGCTAGACGTTGACTTACACATAACAGGCGTGCTCTTAGGCCTTCTCCTACCTGTCGTGAGCTGGTAAAATCCGCTTGACGGCTCCGTTGCGACATCAGGCCTCGCTCCACGGCCAGGAAGCCGGAAGTCGCTGCCGCCGCCGCCGTCGTCCCCACCCCGTCCCCGCCCGCCTGGAGCTGTCGGAGGTTGACAGGTCGTGGCTGGGAGGCGGCGGCGGCAGCACCTCCTAGCACCCAAGACGGAGTCCCCATGGGGAACGCTCCGAGTAACAGCAGCGAAGACGAAGCGGCGGCCGCCGGGGGTGAGGGCTGGAGCCCACATCAGGACTGGGCTGCCGACTCTGGCACGACCCCCAGCCCCGGCCCGGCGGCCGCGGTGCTGCCGTCCGCCGCTGCACTGCTGGAACCCGCCCGGCTGCGAGAGGCTGCGGCTGCGTTGCGGCCCGCACCTCCCTGCGAATCCCTGGTGTCGAGGCATCACGGCGCGCTATTGCGCTGGCTGGAAGAGCGGCTGGGCCGCGGTGAAGAGTCCGTCACCCTGGAGCAGTTCCGGGAGTTGCTGGAAGCTCGTGGCGCCGGCTGTTCGGGCGAGCAGTTCGAGGAGGTCAGGGTGGCCTGGCGACTGCCGGCCGGGGGCAGGGTGGTGGCCGATAAAGTCGTGAAGAGGTGGGCGGTTGCTTTGCGGATGTCAGCCAGGAAGCCATAGGGTCCTCGGGTTCTTAGAATGGAAGCATGGGGTTACCCGAACCCATTCGGAGTGCATCACTCCAGACTTTTGCTACGGCTCTCACCTTTACTAGAGGTGTGGAAAGTCCAGGCTATGTGGCTTTGCTCCAAAAAGAGGAACAAGCCAAAATGTCTCTGCATGTGGTAGTAGGCAGACATTTGTGCAGTTGACAGGCAGGCTTAGTTGCTTGATGGAGCTTATCAGGGTATAAGACAATTATGAGAAAGGATGTGCAAAGATCAAGGGAGTGGCCGTAAAACCCATTCTGTTTTACTGACCTATGCAGATCTTTCGGAGAGCCATAGGAGTACAATGTGGCAGGAGGGTAGCATTACGCTGAAGAGACTCTACAAGCTATCCTCATCTATAGCATACTAGTTTTTCCAAAGTACACACTTGATTTTAGATCATTGAAGAACTTGCTCCAGACTCATTTAAACCGTTATAAGACCTAAAGTTGATAGGGAAGTATTAGTTTTCTTCACTTACGCAATTTCTCCTTATATCTATACTGAACTCTTCAGTTTAGAGTTTGGAGAAAAACTGACCCAGAATTATCCTGTAAATCATTTCATTGGCAAAATTGAGAGTATCACACAAACCTCTTGATTTTTTTTTTCTTGTATCCTTATTACCCTGCTTCCCGGAGCCTTATTGATTCCACAATGTTAGGACAAAAGGGTGTTTAATGAGTAAGCCATATAAAATTGTCAGTCATTGAATGGTTAATTCATAAAACAAGAAACCAACACTCACTTGTAGCATCATTATAGGTTCTGTTTCCCCTAAAGCTTTTGAAATATTTCAAAGATGTTGCCTGCAAATGATGAAATTGTGTACCTAATATGTTTGGTAAGTTTCCCTCTAAAAACTGCCTCTAATGTGTTCTAACTCTCAAGACATGGTGGTACAAACCTGTTACACCAGAATTTGAAAGGTAGTAGCAGGAGGATCAATTCAAGGTCATCTTTGGCTACATAGTCAGTTTGAGTACAGCCTGGGCTACATAGAGTAGCACTGTCTCAAAAGTGTGAAACATATATGCATTCATATTGTATATACACATACAGTCAATTAATTAGTAAAAAGGTCTCCATTAAAATAAAATTCCCCAAGTTGTTCATGGTAAGCACACACATGATTCTAGTACTTGAGAGGTTGAGGCAGGCAAGTCCCTGGCTCAAAAAAAAACTTAGAATATTCATAATACTTTCACTCTAGTGCCAACATCTTTTATGAAAATATGAAGCCTTGGTAGAAAGAACTATGCAGATTTTATTAAGAAGGTGACACTTTTCAGGTTTGTTTAAAGGCAAATGAAGAGAAACAGCTTTTATGTGGTGAGACCAACAGGAACAGAATTATCCATTGGATTTATAGAGATCATGTAATAGAAGGCCAAGAAATCCAGAGAGCCGCCCTAGAAAGATCTCTCAAGGGTTGTGGCACTATTCATTTTTTCAGGGCCTAACTGAACACCAGCCTTCTAGATGGTGGTTCAAAAAGCAGATAGCTGCTCCTATAGAGTATGTAGTATAGTAGAACAGCTAGATTGTAATTTACCAGTGAAAGGTGTGGGGACTGTCAGCCAAGAGAAAGCATAAAGAATAAGTAGGAAGTGTATTTAACCCATCTAAGGTCTTAAGTTGGAGGTTCCTAACAGAGATAACATTTCAGTGGAGGTCTGAAAGTGCAAGAAGACAAGGAGCAGTGCTTTCAGGCAGAGAGGTAATTACACCTTCAGATGTCTACTAAATGGAGAATCTAGTGGTACTGTGTGGTCAGTTAGGCTAGAAAAAACTGCTGCTCTTTTAGAGGACTGGAAACACATGCTGCCTTGTAACTTCTCAGCTCCAGGGGATCCAAACACCCACTTCTGGCTTCCAAGGGCACCTCCACGCAGGTACACACACACACACACACACACACACACACACACACACACACACACGTAAATAAATAAATAGCAAATCTTTTTTTAAAAACCCAAGGAGACAAAATCTAATGTATCAGTGGTTTAAATTATTTAAATATTATTTAAATTATTAAATTATTTAAATAATATAAAAAAGATTTTTTTTATTATTTTATTTTATATGTATAGATGTTTTGACATCATGTATGTCAGTACCCTAGTGCATGCCTAGTGACCTCGGAGGCCAGAAGAGAGTGTCAGAATCTCCTGGAACTGGAGTTACGGTGGTTTGTGAGCTGTCTTGTGGATGCTAGGAATATAATGTGGTTCCTAGCTCTTAACTTTGAGCTATCCCTCCAGCTCTCTATATTGGTACTTTAAACAAATTTGATTTTGAGTCAGGGTCTCATTATAGCCACCACTCGCCTACAACTCCCTGTGTAAGCCAAGGTGGCTTTGAACTCATTTTAATCTTCCTGCTTCAATTTTTTGAATTCTGAGACTACTGGTGTTCATCACTACAACCAGCTAGGAAACTGCTTTCTTATGTAAAGGTCCAGGTGGGCAATCAAGGCAGATGTGGTATTTCCAAATTACCAGGGACCTGGCTGTGTCCTTCTTTTGCTGTACACTTCATAGGCAACTTCCATTTAGTGACCCAGTTTATTCCTTCCATTACTTTTCACTTCCCAACAAATAGGAAAGAGAAAGGGGAAGGACATGACCTTGCCATTCTCTTAGGTAGAGATTACCTTCCACAGGCTCAGACTTAATCTAGTGGCCACACTTAGTTGTAAGAAAAGCTAGGAAGGATCTTCATTCCATGGCCTTATATTTAGCTAAATTTGAGGTTTAATTACCGGGGAAGAAAGCAAATGTAATACTAGTTTTGGCTAGATCATAAATGTAGAAGAATGGATGAGAATGAAGGAGAGGGGCCAAGAATCTGAGTCTTCAACAACCTAGCAAAGAGTTTGTAAATTGGAGTTTTGTTATTGTTTTTGTTTTTTGTTTGTTTGTTTTTGAGACAGGGTCTCTGTAGTCCTGGCTGTCTTGAACTCACAGAGATTTGCCTGCCTCTGCCTCTCAAGTGCTGGAATCAAAGGCGTGTGCCACCACATGGGGCTGGTTATTAAGAAAGTCGTAGTCATGTTACATAGATGACAGAAATTAACACTAAAGAATCCTCAACCCAACACCAAGAACTGATGATTTATAAAATACTGGATATTACTATTTTTATGTGTGTAAAAATCCCTATGATAATCTAGAGCTTTGTCACAGGCTCCTAAAAGTATGTGCACCACATTCCCAAAGGGTGCTTGAGAGTCATGTTTTACAATCCTACCATTCATCAGCTCACCTCCTTCTTTATAACATGTTCAAATACATAGTATCTGATGACTGACACCAGTCAGCTCTGTGAGGCAGATGGATGACAGCCACCAAACGGAGAACTCAGCAAGATTCAGTGATTCACATAAAATAAATTCATTTTGGAGCTGGGCAGAGTGGTTCACACCTGTAATCCCAGCATTTGGGAAACTGAAACAGGTAGAATACTGCAAGTTTGAGGCCAGCCTGGGTTACAGAGTGAAACCCCACCTTGAGAGCTCCTTTGAACATTCTAGCAGGAGCCTTCAGCCACTGCTAAACCCTTAACTGAAGAACAGTCCTCCATTGCAGAAAGTGGTCCTCTTTGACCCAGTGGACAACTTCAGGAGGGACACGCATGGGCCCAGTCAGTTCAGTGGAGTCAACTCTAGCCATCAATGGGGTGACAGATGTCATAGCCAAGTCACCCTCCAAGAGCCTGTCTTTAAAAAAGGGGTATTAAGGCAGAGCCAGGCGGATCTCTGTGAGTTCGAGGCCAGCCTGAGCTACCAAGTGAGTTCCAGGAAAGGCGCAAAGCTACACAGAGAAACCCTGTCTCGAAAAACCAAAAAAAAAAAAAAAAGGGGGGGTATTAAAATTCAGTTTCAGCACTAGCTCTCAAGTGTGGGTCTTCTCACCCCAGAACTATTGCCCTTTTCCCATAAGGATCTGTTTCTCTGGGATTAATCTTTTAACTCCAAAGATAAGTAATAAAGTCTTTAAGTTTCCTTTCATTCTATAGAAAGCCAGGATGTTGTAGTCCCAGGAGAATAAAAAACAAAAAACCACAAAGTCTTTTTCTTGAAGCCTATATACCTTTTTCAGATTTGAGAGGGAGGAGTTGTGATTTGG